AAGTAACGATGCCAGTCAAATTAGAAAACCTTTGGGGTTGTATGACACAATTTAAAAAACCATCATAACTGAAAAGGAAGCGATAATTCAAAATTTCAAACAAGCAGTAACAATAGTGTTTGTATTTCTTTTAAAAATAGAGTCGATTTCAACATGTGTATCGACCACTTGATGAAATCAAATGTTTTTGGATATTCAACAATTCATTTATAATCATTTGTTTATTTTATGATATAATACTAATTTGAGAAAACACTTTGAAATCTTAAACAGTTCACAAGAGTTAAAGAATATCTAAATCATTGACGGCTACTTGTGTGGGGTGATACATTATCGATAACCTATTAAATATCATAGTCTGATAGTGCAATATACAACCGTACGTGATGTCAGCGTTCTAATTTTGGTAATTCTATATTTTTGTCATGTGTTATTTAAATATTAATTAACCAATGCTAGTTTAGTCATTTTGGAAAAGACCTTCCTTAGATGTAAAATCTGTTTATTATCCTTTTGTCATTTGGAACAATAAAACATCGATGTACAAATGTTTGGTTTGAGCGTTCAAATAAAGTTAAACCCAGAACAGTCATACCTGCCGACTTTTCAGAATGCCCATGGGGGTTTTACGTATAAGTTGGCTCTCATAGACTTACAAAACTTTCAAGGGGGCCTTCAAATACATTTTAATATTTTTTTTTTGGCTTCTTCATACTTTTACAAGTCTATAGCCATTGTAAAATTAGTTGTTTTGTTTAAAATTGTGGACAAAATTGCTCTTTCAAAATTTCCATTTGGGAGCCTCCATGGGGGAAATCCCCCGCAAATAGTGACAGGTATGAACAGTGCGACACACGACATTAAGAAAGTGTTATTATCATTCACTATATCACCAAGCCGATACAACTCTTTTGATGGGTTGTAAGTTGCCTGTTGCAAGACATTATTACTGTGCTTTTCCAACATACTTTCCTTTCTCAGTGACAGTCTATTTCCCGCCCATCAAACCAGTCAACACTGCCTTACATATCCTACTATATATATTGGATTAAGGGGTGCATTTGTTTTTCGTCAAAGACAAGCATGCATAAACTATTTGCTAATAAAAGTTAGGCAAATATCAATCTATTTATAGCATTAAAGGAAATATTATTAAGTTCCAAACTAACAAACATCATTAACATCGAATACCTAAAATAGATTATATACAGAGTGATAGCAAACTAGTTTTTTTTATTTTTATTTGTGTCCTGACATTTTTCAAGATCACAAGGACTATAACTGCGGGACGGTAAAAGTGACAATCATCAAGATTGAATTTATATCCATTTTGTCATTAGTAATAACATATCAAAATTTGAAAAGCTCTGATTGAACGGCCAATTACTTAAAGAGGGGCGAAAGATACCAGAGGGACAGTCAAACTCATAGATCGAAAATAAACTGACAACGCCATGGCTAATAAATAAAAAGACAAACAGACACATAATAGTACACAAGACACAACATAGAATACTTAAGACTAAGCAACACGATCCCCACCAATAACTGGGGGTGATCTCAGATACTCCGGAAGGGTAAGCAGATCCTGCTACACCTGGGGCACCCGCCGTATTGGTCATATTATTCCAAACCCGGTAAATAAACTCATCATAGATACCAGGATTGAAATTTTATATTTACGCCAGACGCGCGTTTCGTCTACAAAAGACTCATCAGTGACGCTCGAATCAAAAAATATTAAAAAGGCCAAATAAAGTACGAAGTTGAAGAGCATTGAGGACCTAAAAGTTTTGCCAAATACAGCTAAGGTAATCTATTCCTGAGGTAGAAAAGCCTTAGTATTAAATTATTATAGTCTAATGCGGTAGTTCAAATTCGTGGTGAAAAGGGAAGTGGATTTTAGTTACGACATAAGGAACATATCCGATATCATCTGTGAAACGGTTATTCCATAACGGTCAACCAACTCGTGATGGCGTCCGTACAATTTACGAAGGGATGATTTCAATTTCACCATTTGGAACTCTTGGTTTAATAGCTTCCTTGTGAGCAGCAACTCTCTATCTAGGAAATCATGATAGGAAATACCAGCCCGGGAATATCGGTTCAATTGGGAGATAAATACTCCGTATGCACGCGCTGCTGGAATGTTGCTACATAGAAATGGAAAGTTCACAATTGGAGCTGAAATCATCTCTTTTGTCTAAAAGTTTTGTTTTCAACCGACCCCCATTGTCAATGTCTAGATGTAGGTCAAGATATGAGGCCGACTTAACTGTATATTGTATCCTTTATCTCTCGTTCGATGGGGTAGATGCGTTCAACATAGTCACCAAATTTTGAATTATTTAGTGAGAGAACATCATCTATATAGCGGAAAGTAAAGTTAAAGGATATTGCTAACTTCTTATCTTTTTTCCTAAGAAGTTCCTGTATGAAGTCAGCCTCATAATAATGAAGAAACTAGTCGGCAAGAAGAGGGGCACATTTGGTTCCCATTGAAATACCGACAGTCTATTGAAAAACACGTCCTCCAAACGTAACAAATATGTTGTCAATCAAGAAATCAAGCATCTTGATAATGTCAGTTTCAGAGAATTTTTTGTTTGAATCAGAATGATTCTTTACGAAGTAGGATTTATCGTCGCTCCTCAAGACAAGATACTTGTATCTACGTTCGCCATTCTTTTTTATGAAACAAAGAAATAACAACTCTTTCAATTTGTCTTTTAGTTTGGAATGGGGAATACTTGTGTTAAGTGTAGAAAAGTCAAATGTTTTAATACTATTGTAAGATGAGAGAGTCTTAAATTGTATGTACTCTAAAAGATATTTAGAATCTTTTAGTATCCACATCTGATTCACGCCACCTCTAGAATAGGCAGTTTCACAATAACTTTGAAGCCCAGCTTTGATTGCTGATAAAATAGATGTTAATAATTTAGATAGAGGTTTCTTGGAGCACTTGGAAGACACAGCAATATACCGTTGTTTGTAAGGACACTTATGTAGTTTAGGTATCCAATACAGTGATGGAAGATGCAGTTCTTCATCTTTAGTTGAAATACCAAAGGAACATATTAGAACAAACCTATGATTATCCAGGATTTCCTCTTTGGTAAGTGTCGTGAGGGTATATGTTGAGTTTCCTAGTGAATTGGCAATACCCAATTCATTTATCAAGCAAATTATGTAATGAGATTTACACACAAAAACGATGTTGTTATGGGCTTTATCTGCCGGGACAACGACATATTTGTAATGGAGGTAGGTCAAGTGTTTTGCAACATTTGGGTCTCTAAAGATTGACTTACATGTAGCATGGGTATTGATAGACCCATGTGACCCATTTAGTTATTTAGTTTCTTAATTCTGATTTGTATAAACAACCTTACAGCCTTAATCCATTCGGAAAGAGTATCTATGTCTTCTTTCTCACGTTTAGCCCACTGCCTGGCATAATCCTCGACTGAATCCATCAGTATTTTGAAGTTGTATTTCCAATTGATGGATTGAGGCTCACGATATTTCGGACCTTAGGACAACACATTCCGCATGGAAGTGTTATTGACAATGTTACGGTCTCCGGTAATAACGTGGCCAGCCGGATTATATGTGAATTGGGAACTAGCACAGGTGCCATCAGGAGGTTTAGACTCTGCAAAACGTGTTTGTAATTGAAAATTTTAGTTGCAATTAGTTTGATATAGGTATAAGAAAATATTAGTACAGACTGATCTTTAAAATTAGGAGGTATTTTCGACTGAACTAATTTATGATGACGGATATTGCCAAAGATGAAGCCATTGAGACCTTTGTTGGCAAAGGAAAGTTTAAGAAAAGATCTTTTCCAATGCGAACTGGATTGAAAAGTCTGTGACTTAAAGCATAGACATGACTGGAAACACAATTTTTCAATCATTCAAGAACCATAACTCCTGAACAATGAAAGTGAAAATCGTCAATATTATTTTTGACCTTCATTTTGTCATCAGTAACAACATATTAAAATTTGAAAAGGTTCATGAGTAAATGCACGGACACTGTTTGGCAGCTGCCCACCCAGATCCCTGCCCTTGGTACATCCCCAAATCAATAACAGATTTTTCCTTTGGAAATCCGGTTAAAAATCTGTTTAAGTCTAAAATAGAAGGTGCACATCTTGAATATGTGTGAAATTACTGTGCAAAGTTTTAATTAATGTTGTAAACCATTGAACATACAAATATGGACCAACACCTTATGAAACCTGTTCAACGACAAAACTTGTACCCTCCATAGCAGTCAGTGATAAAATGACTACACATTCTATACAACCGGTGTCCTTTATTTTCACAACACTTTGTAAGATCTATCTTTGTTATGAGGAGTAATTAAATAAAATGTTTGTAACATTTTCTTTGCGTAGTAGAGCTGTTCAGGAGAAGAATCAATCAAATACCACAAGATGAATCTCATCCTGCAGACTTTAATGAAAAAAAATCCAGACATCCCTAGTTTACATCTTTATCCTAACAGATTTCAAAAGCATATTCAAAAACTCACAATATAGCATTGCTAGATGATGGTGTTCTATAACCATATCAGGCAACTCACTGTTGACAAGCGGATGATGGTAACATCCGCTTGTCAACAGTGCAACTGTTCTTTGTGAATAACAGAATTTTCGTTATGTGACAGTAATAGTAACATAACTAGACATTATGATTTTTATTTGAATCTATATCAACCAATTACCAACAACACAGAGACCCCTGGCTATGAATGAAGTCACAGTACTTCTCTGGAAAGAACAAGTGGAAATGAAATACAATAAGAAACACATAAATTGTCCCAATCACTTCCCTTTCATCTTCTATCTAACTTTAATGTAAAAGGAATATCAGTTAATTTCTAATTAACCTATTGACATTAATTGACTTGTTGATATCATTTTTGTTTTATTTTAAACAAAGAGAGACAACCCATGAAACATGCAAATTTAGACCAATATCGAGTCAAAAGAAAAATTTGATTTATTCATGTCTGAGCTCTGACTGACAATCTTGTAGTTGTTTCAATAGTCAAAAATTCACTGGATGGACTGCAATGGTAATCCAATGAAAAATTATAACTACAGATGACAATACATTAATTAGGCAAATCAAATGAAACATAAACATGTGGTGAATCTAAATTTTTTAGTTTTTCTTTAAAACAATTTAATGACAACTCCATCATATGAATGTATACATACATAAACATATAACACCATGAACAGAGTTATCTGACTTTCCTAACAATTTCACATTAAATTTATGTGGCACATGCTATGTATCTGTCATTATATTCTTCAATACTGTTAAGAAAGACACCCATATTTATTGTGTAACTTTATACACACATGAATCTGCTAGGATTTTTTTTAAACAATCCATTTCTCAGCTTGTGTCCATCTCAGAAGATGTATTCCTGTTCTTAAACTCAGACACACTATTCTGAAAAAAAAACAAATAAATGGAATTGTCAATGGAAAAAGAAAACTTTAAACAAACATGGCTGCACAACAGTAAAATCTTTTAAAATGAAGCTGAAAATTTCCATGAAATAATGATTCATTTGTAGATTCTTTTTTATCCTTTGTTTCTTTTTTTTTTGAACTGATCAATCAAAAGTGTACAACATGGAGCTGTCAAAGTAACTTTAACTACAACTATTGACTCTATTTCTCTAAAGTTAGCAAAATAAGACTAATATTATTGTATAATACTGATGTGTTTTATATATCTCATAACATTTGAATATATTGTATTTGTCAGAGCACCTAAGGGAAGATACATTTTATGCCAACTGTGTTAGCCTAAAAATAAAGTCATGACTTATTTACTCTGTGCTATCAAAACAGTGGCTGTCTTTCATGTCTATGTATACTATGGTTGGCATAGCTTTATTGAAGGTAATATGAATTTGTTGAATTTATAAGGACAATGCAATAACAGTTATGATTTTGAGTAGTGCACCAGGGCCCTTCATAGATTTTCTTTAATGTTTTTTAATGTTGTGTTAAAGGCATCAACATAATAGCTTATATTTTTTTTCAATAAGTTATTTCCAAATCAAAAATAAATAAAGTTTAGTACAATGTATTATTCTTGAAAACAGACTTTATTGTTCCTAGTCTGAAATTCTAGTTATTGCGTAATTTTCAAATGTTATTAAAGTGAATGAATAATATCATACATCATGATGTTATTAAATGTAGTTGGATATCCTGCTTTTATCATGCTTTACCATAAGATAAGCTAAAATATCTCCCAACATCCTTATGGGTGTATCTTATACAAACAAAAATACTAATGGCTTTAATAATTTCTTTACATGTCCAGTAAATGCGTTTTTTGTAACAGGAATCAAACCACTTTTATTTCTTCACATTGTTAAACAAGATAATTTCATACTTTTAATGTTCTTAAGGATGCTCAAACACAATTAGCAGAGATAGACAGACAGAAGTTTAGCTTAAGGTTTAATTTGTACTGGCAACAAAGGTTCACCCCCTTGGGGCTACAGCTGCTTTGCATGATTCAATACAAATTCTACACATTAGTCTTTGTATCTTATCCCTCCCTCAAGTTTTAATTTTTATATTGATATGAAAAGGGAGATAACTCAATTTCAAATCGTCAAACAGCTGTTAGTCCCCAATTTTTCCATGTTTTTCCATGCAATTTATTTTGTAAATATACATTAGAATTGTTAGATTTAAAATGTTTAGCTAGTACTAAATATTTTCATTCATCTTATTTCTTGTAGGTTTACTATTCAATCTAGGTTATAGATTCATACATACGAACAAAGAGATGTGGGTATAAAATCAGTGAGAACGCAATATGTGAATAGACTACTCTTTATACCTTGAAGCAGTATCAGTATAAACTTGGCAAATGGTTTATTAAATACAAAAATACCAGACATTAGGAAATTGGAAGAGTTTATCTTAAGGCTTAATTGTGACTTACAATTTATACAGGAGATGGAATACTTCGATTGGTTAAGAGATTTAGTTTGGTAAAGTTTCAAGATAATTGATTTTCAATACATGTATTCATTTCTATTATTGCGGTATATTTACATAAGGCAATAACTTGTCTGTTGAGGTATCTATACATCTAAAAAATTACAAGCCCCTTAGATATCTGTACATAAGAAATAATTGGTCTATAAATAACAGGAATCAAACCACTTTTATCTATGTAATGCAGTTAAGTTTAGTTTAAGATGATGACAACATTATCTAATTTGTAAGTAAATACTTGTTCCCAAGAAAGTATCTTACCTCAAAAGTCCGTAACACATGTTCACATGCACCATTTAAATCTTTTAAACCTTTCTTTAGAATATCTACTGCTGGTTTCCCTGTGAAATATAAAGGAAATAAAGATGTCAAAAACAAAAACTTTTCCTCATGTCCATTATAACTGAATAGATACTAGAATTCCATTATCATTGATCCATGTTTATTTCAAAAAATTGCAACAGATAACCATACTTTTTCTTATTGTTGAAGGCCGTACGGTTGCCTATAATTGCTTACATCCACATAATTTGGAACTTGGTGGATAGTTGTCTCATTGGCAATCATATCTCATCTCCTTATTTTTATATTATAGATTATTACATGGCATTTTCCATATCAGCCTAAGACTCCCATACTGGACTGAGGGCTTTAACCTATGGTCCTGACATGGGTCAATGGATGATACTAGGGTTGATATGGAAAATGCTACGTAATGATCTATTTATCAAATATTAAGCTTATGAAATTGTTACGAGGAAATGGAATAAAAATGGAATGAAAACTATTTATTCATTAAATTTTATTGATTCATCTTTTGTTTTTGTTTGTTTGTTCTTGGTTGGTTTATTTTGGCATTTTTTAAAAGTTCCAATAATTCCTGTTAACCCATCTAGTCAACCAAGAAGTATTGTTTCTAGCAAAAGATGTCATTATATAGGACGTCATTTTAATGTTAAAATGGGTTTATTTCGTCTGAAAGCTGTGCTGATTTATAAAGGGTAAGGTTAGTTTCAGATCAAGTAAGTCTTGCCACAGCAGAAGTACCAGTAGGTAAACACGAATTTTGCATGTGAGGGCTGATGTAGCTCTCCAATTAAAACTGCATAAGAAGCAAAAATATGACGTGGGGAAATCTGTGGTTAACATATACGAAAAACAATGATTAAAATGAGTTGAGAAAATATGCATCAAATCTTTATCATAGTTGATATTTCACATACTTTATTACATATGATGATACTCACCGTAGGTCTGAACACGGAAATTGATTTTATGTTCTGAGGGATGCGGGACACTGTATCCACAAAACTTTACATCAGGACTGCAAAAAAAACAACATGCCATTATCAAGCATATTAAGTGAAACAAAAATGATGTCTAAATATTAAGACTAGTAAATGCTATCAGCTTAAAAGAAAATGATAATGAAATTTTTCTTGATGTCTGACTTTTTTATGTTGACCCTCAGACAACTTTTAAGGTGAATAACAACAATAACAGTATACACTTGTGATCTTACCTGCTTACCATAATAATATGTTTTGCTTTTAGGTTTTCATCCTTTAATAAAACTTGCTTGCATTATTAGGTATGATAAAATGGAGAAATAGGAATCTGATTACAGTAGTTGTCGTCTGTTTATGTAGTTCATACATGTTTCTCGTTTCTCGTTTTTATATAGATTAGACCGTTGGTTTTTCCGTTTGAATGGTTTTACACTAGTAATTTTTTGGGGCCCTTTACAGCTTGCTGTTCGGTGTGAGCCAATGTTCCGTGTTGAAGGCCGTACCTTGACCTATAATGGTTTACTTTTATAAACTGTAACTTGGATGGAGAGTTGTCTCATTGGCACTCATACCACATCTTCCTTTATCTATTTACATCAATAAATCAGTCATCATCACTGTAACAAAAATTTTTGTAAAGATAAACTAAAAAGCTTTACCAATTGTACAATGTACATCTATTTGGTTTTGTTTTTATTATAATCTTCATTATTTCTCAGAGTACTCACTTTTTCATTATAATATAACGCAGAGAATTTCCCAGTGTGTGGTCTTCATTATGGAATACAAATGTTTTACATGTTTCGTCTTCTTCTCCTGGTGTTTCTATCTAAAGTAATTTAAAATAGAATTATCTATTTTGAACATATTTTATTGTTCAGAAACTAAACAAATGGATGAGACACAAGTTTTACAACTTAAAAATGTCTTCTCCAGTACATGCACATTTACTGCTTACCCTCCTGAAGCACCTGAGATCACCCCCAGTTTTTGGTGGGGTTCGTGTTGCTTAGTCTTTAGTTTTCTATGTTGTGTCATCTGTACTATTATTTGTCTGTTTGTCTTTTTATTTTTGGCCATGGCGTTATCAGTTTGTTTTCGATCTATGAGTTTGACTGTCCCTCTGGTATCTTTCGTCCCTCTTTTACAAATAAATGAATATTAAAAGAAATGTACAATATATGTATATATATACTTTTTATAACGTATGAAGATGTTGAAAATGAAGTTGAATCATACCACATCTCCTTATTTTTATATAAAAGTTTAGCTCTATGTAAAATTAAGGAGATGTGGTATGATTAAGCCTATGAGATAACTATCCACAAAAGTTCAAATGAAGTTGATGTTATCAATTAAATGCAACCGTTCGGCCTTCAACAATGAGAAAAATCTAGTCGGTTAGAGCGGCTCGAACCCGGGACCTCCGTTACTTGCTGCGCTGCTGAGTTATGAAGATCCCGGGTTCAAGTCCCCGAGGAGACAATATGATTTTAACACAAGAAACCGGTCACACAAGATTTAAAATTTGAATGATCCAAAGGACTCTCAAGTGACATATTCAAAATCAAAATACAGCATTTTAAGAGCGTATCGACAGTGCTTTTTTGAATTTTCTGAACTCATACATTCGATGTAGCTTTTGTTATTTGATTATAGAAGAAAGAAAAACGGCTGGTTGAGTGCTTAAGAAAATAGCTTACAACTTCAAGACGATGACTACCGACTTCAGCAGGAGTTATTTTCGTGGTATCTTTTTCCTTCTTAGACATGCTGCACACAAAACGAAACTACACTTTTCCGGTTAAAAAATCTAATTTTAGAAACAAATACGGATTTCTACTTTCACTTTCAAACTACCTCTGTTTTACACACTGCTTTTACAGTTGCTTCAACCTGGATGAGAGTGAGACATAATATATTGATATTATATAAGTTTAATAGGACAGCTTCAACATGTGCACTGCACAAGTTTAAGACACCAAAGGTCATAGAAGTTTAAATTTAGTCTTATTTTCACTGTCATAATATCTTTTCTAACTGACATAATATTTCAGGATGTGTATTGCCACAGGCGGGTAAAAGTAAATTTTATTAATTTGATTTAACACTATCAGAATTCTTGCAAATAATAGATCTATGCGTCTCAGCAAAACATTATATTAGGCTTTTAAGACCTCATAAACATTTGGACTTAAAGTTCATGTATTTTATTATTATAATTAAGCTTTTTTTTATTAACAACTTAACAAAACAGACTATAAAATCAGCTGCTTTTCTAGACCAACAAAAACAGGCACAAGTTGTACCATTGCACAAAAAGAAAAATGTACTTGATGTACGTAGGCAACTAGAGACCAGTAATTATTATACTTCACTATTTTTCAAAAGAACATTTCACAACCAGCTAGTTGAATACTTCAATACACACTTTCACCCATACTTATCTGCTTTTTGACCAAAATACGGATGTCAAACTACTCTACTCCGAATCATTTAGGACTGGAAAATAGCACTTGATCAAAATTAGTTTATTCTAAACTTGAAAAAGGCAGTATGGCTCTGACATGTCTGATAGACTGGTTCTTTTCCAATCAATTTTATGAAGGCAAACCCTGAAAAATTTCAAGCTTCGGCAATTGGCCAAAAAACAATGGACAAAAACATTACATTTAACAAAATAAAATGTGAGAAAGAGGTCAAACTATAATTAGGCATCGATCTCACTATTGACTTTGAACTAAATTTTAACACACATATCTCCAACATCTGCATAAAAGCATCTAGACAACTTAATGTCTTTAAAAAAAGACTTGGCAAATACTTGAACAAACTGGGAAAATTAACAATTTATCACTCCTTATTATGTCCAACTTTAATTTCTGCTCATTATCCTTGCATTTCTGCAGCCAGGCAAACACTACTAAAATTGAAAAAAATAGAAGAAAGAGCACTTAGCTTCATATACAAGGATTACTCAGAACAACACATATGATGATTTACAAAAAAAAAATGTACTTTTGAAATAAAAAATGCTATCTCTTAAAGTAAGATGCCCAAGACTCATGGCAATAGAGGTATTTAGAACAGTAAATAAAGAAAATCCATTATACCTACATGATCTTATACATATTAAAGAAAATATTCTTTTAACCCTGCCACATTTTTGCGCCTGTCCCAAGTCAGGAGACTCTGGCCTTTGTTAGTCTTGTATGTTTTTTAATTTTAGTTCATTTATACGTTTTGGAGTTTAGTGTGACGTCCATTTTCACTGAACTAGTACACATTTTGTTTAGGGGCCTGGGCTGAAGCCGGCCTCTGGGTGCGGGATTTTCTCGCTGTGTTGAAGACCAATTGGTGGCCTTAGGCTTTTTCTGCCCTTTTGTCGGGTTGTTGTCTCTTTGACACATTCCCAATTTCCATTCTCAATTTTATTTCAGATATCAAAACTTAGCTGAAATGCCTGCAGTTAGAACTACAAGGTATGGCTTGAAATCATTCAGGTATTTTGCAGCCAAACCATGGAATGAGTTGCCAAACCACTTTAGAACTGAAACATCTTTTACTCAATTCAAGAGTCTAATAAACTCATGGAATGGCAACTCATGCCATTGCAATACATGTGCTATTTATTTATTTTTATGTTTTATGTTACAGCTTTGAAACATAGTAGTGCTGCTTATTATATACTTCCACTCTTTTTGTATTTTATTTTCTTAGTCTCTTTTAATTTATGATTGCTGAGCTTTAGTGTTTTATGTTGCTGCTTTTAGCTTAGTGCTCATGTATGCATGTAATATAGTAGTATATAAATTAGTTCAGTCTTGCCTAACTTGCATGAAATATATATGTTTTATGTCTTTTATGCTTTAATATCAGTATTGTGTATATTTATTGTGTAAATGTATGTATTTGTCGGTTATAAAAGCTCAAAGAGCTTATGTGCATTGGCTGATGTAATAATTACTAGAACTGAAAGTAAAACGGAGTGTTGTCAGATCCTTGTAAGCAAAACAGAGAAATAGAGCTGCTATAAATATAGAAAATGTTGTGGAAAAATCTATAATTCAAATTGAAAGTTTGACACAATATACAACTTGAACATTTAAAAAAGTTAATTATTCTATTAGAATGGTATCATACCTGATTGACAAAATCTACAAACATTAGCTAACATAGCAATTTGAAAATGTATTTCATTGAACACTAATATTCCAATTTTAAACTTAAAGGGGCACTAGCTACGAGATATATAAAAAATCTAATACTTATGATTTTTTTTTGTTCAATCATTAATGAAAGTGAAATAGTGAAACAATTATTCGCTTTTAGCCATCAGTATGGTTCAATTTTGTCAAAATAAGCTAAGAAACATTGATGATGAATTATTCACTTGCAAATGAATAATTCAACCTCATTGAATCTGTTTTCATGTGAACTTCAATTTAACCCCTTTGCTAGAGATGGATAATACGTGAATTGTATGTGTAAAGTTATTTAAAGGAAAAGAATGTCATTATTGAAAGTGAAACAAAGGTAAATCATTTGATTGACTATCCGATCCACAAAAAATCATTCTTATACAGGTAAAAAAGATGATAAACATATATTTTTAATCTATAATATGAAATTAAACAGACCTAGAAAAATCCAATAGCATGAGTTCGCTTAAAATCTATTTATATCTTTATTTATGTTTACATCGCTTATATGGTCATCTGATGACTTTGGAGGTCACCTCGATAGTTAATTAGATGGCGTCTAGACTAAAATACACACGAAACGAAGCTACGTGTTATCATGCACATGTCCTGTTAACTGTTTATTTTAGACTTTTAATAGTTTGGATAAATGTTTTACATTGTTATAATTCAAATATGAGAATTTGAGTCAAATCGGTGAACATGAATTTGACAGCTATTGCCCCTTTAACTTAAATTTCTCTCAGGAAATACCCAAGAAATTAGAATCAGATGCATGATAATAAATACAGTATATTCAAATTCAATTTTATTTTCTCCAATTCAAGTATCATATATCATAGGACAATTATCATGATTATTTAAGAAAAAAACAAATAAAAATAGAAAACCTAGAGTAGTAACATAAATATAAAGCAATAAACAACACATATATATTATTGAGGGGTGTAAAGGGGGGGTATCTGCACGGAAGAACGCGAAATAAAATTGCCATTTCACGATGAACGAACAATTAAAAATATCTTGCACGTTGATCTTTTTAACGATTTCACGAAACACGGTGAATAACGAACCTTTTTCACAGCTGCACGTGAAATAAAAATGGCAAAACATGTTGCACGAAAATAACCCTTTACCACCCTCATTATTGGTGACAAGACAAATGGTTGAATGTGACAGCCATCATACAATAAAAAAATACTTCACTCAAACTGTTAATGACTGTTTATTAATCTAAAATCAATTTGACTTCAGTCAAATGTTCACTTTTCTTTGACTGTTTTCTTAGCCTATGTTATAGCTATAGTCATCATAGTTAGATAGACGAAAAGATAGATATATTTTCTATTCACAAATCAAGGCCCATGAGGGGCGCTGATCATTGCTACCATTTATACATTTAAAAACAATGAGTCACAAGAACAAAACATTGTCATAAATAAACAAACTTTTCTTGCTTCTTGAAATTGTGATGTGTCTACAGATTATGTACAGTCATGAGAATAATCATAGCAAAATATTCTTAATTGTAGGGGAGATAAACGAATTCTTTGATTTTTGTGCTCTTAGACTATAAATATTTATAAAGCTAATATTTATGTGTTTATATTATTATTGATGTGTATTTGTAGGTATAAAGAAGATTTAAAGTCATGACAGTTGTTAAATTTTGAATGATGAACCTATGGCATAGAAGACTGTTATTGTTGGTTCTAGTGACTATTTCTGAAGGTGATTAGTCTTTATTGAGAAATTATAGTACACATATATATTAGTTAAAGGGGCACTAACTGTCAAATTCATGTTCACCGATTTGACCCAAATTCTCATATTTGATTTATAACCAAATCCAAATTATAAAAAGTCTAAAATAAACAATTTACAGGGCATGGGCTAGATAATATGTAGCTTCGTTTCGTGTGTATTTTTGTCTTGACACCATCTAATTAACTATCGAGTTGACCTCCGAAGACCTCAGATAGTCATATAAGCGATATAAACATAAATATAGATATAAATAGAAACCAAACTCGTGCAATTGGGTTTTTCTAGGTCTGTTTATTTTCATATTATAGATTAAAAATATATGTTAATCATCGTTTTCACCTGTACAAGAATGATTTTTTGTGGATCGAATCAGTCAATCAAATGATTTACCTTTGTTTCACTTTCAATGTTTACATTCTTTCCCTTTAAATTACCTAACACGCAAGCTTAATGCGTTATCCATCTCTAGGTTAGGCGTTAAATTGAAGTTCACATGAATATGGATTCAATGAGGTCGAATTATTCACTTGCAAGTGAATAATTCATAATCAATGTTTCTTAGCCTAATTTGACAAAATTGAACCATACTGGCTGCTAAAAGCGAATTATTATTTCACTATTTCACTTTTATAAATGATTGAACAAAAAAAATCATACTTTAGATTTTTTATATATCTCGTAGCTAGTGCCCCTTTAAATGGGGTGTGGGTATATGTGTAAATGAGAGAATAACCCAACAAAACATAACAAAAATACATCTAATGTGAGCAAAGTCTTCAGCAGTAAACAAGACTTGTGTGTGCACAGTTTATGTCAAATTCTAAATCATACTGAAGTTATAAAAAAATTAAAAAGTGACAACCAAATATCTGCCACCAACTTCAATTAAATGGCAGCTACTTCAGAAAAGATGAAGCAAAATGCAAGTTATGATCTGAAACCAAAGGAGATTGTGTAGTAGTGAAGATAGTTGCCTATTGTGGCAGATACAAGATTGCTGACCAATTGGAGAATGTGTACCGGTAAAGATCAACTCAACACTGCACTACATAACCTATAATTACAGTGCAGAAGCATAGTGTTGAGGATTGGTAAGGCCCTCTTGTACCAATATTATAGAGGAACAATGAAAAAACAAAGATAAGGTGGGATGATGAAGGAGATTATTGTATCCTTGATCATTAAATTATTTTTGGTTTTTATCGTTCCTGATGAAGTTAAGTGATATTTTAATTTACTTTGAATAAGAAAAGAAACAATCCAGAAAGGTATTTTAGTACTGCTAGAGAATATTTGGTAAGTCCTGATAAGGCATTTCATATAAAATATTAGCACCTTCTGTCAGTACCCCTTAGCATGCTTTGTGTCTAGTGAAGTTTTGTAATAGATTTGTATTTGGTGATGACTTGAGGAGATAAAATTATCAAGTTTAATTATGAAAATTATTGAATTATAATGAAGTAAAAAAAAAAATTTTGTTTGTAAACCTCTTTTAGGGAAACTGAATGTTCTGTTGATAGTGGCAGATGATCTTAGACCATCTCTTGGTTGCTATGGATATGAACCTTTGATCACTCCAAATATTGACCTCCTTGCAAGTCAATCAGTAGTATTTAACAGAACATATGCACAGGTAATTTGTCTATGGTATGGTATGAGCTCTTCGTGTATTTATAAGTTTGTTGCTTTGACTTTTCCTAGTAATAATAGTTCTTAAAAATGTATTAACCAAAATACCGAACTCTAAGGTAAATTCAAAATAGGGGAAGTAAAAAAAACTTACAAAAACTAAAAGCTAAACTGTATCAACCAACGAAATGACTGGAAAACAGTTGTCATATTCCTGACTTGGTACAGACATTTTCTGAATTTTGCTGATTATTTTGTGTATTTTTCATGGAAACAATGGTTACAAAACAGGAAAATATAAAAAAGAAGATGTTTATGATTGCCAATGAGACAACTCTCCACAAGAGACCAAATGACACAGAAATTAACAACTATAGGTCACCGTACAGCCTTCAACAATGAGCAAAGCCCATACTGCACAGTCAGCTTTAAAAGGCCCCAAAATAACCATGTAAAACAATTCAAACGAGAAAACTAACGGCCTAATTCATGTACAAAAAATGAAAAAAAAACAAATATGTAACACTTAAACAAACGACAACCACTGAATTACAGGATCCTCACTTGGAACAGGCACATACATACAGAATGTGGTAGGGTTAAACATGTTAGTTCATCTATTATATTTGTATTGATAGAGAAAATGTGAACTAGAAATCAACCGTTTAAATTTACAAAACTTTTCTAAGTGAATGTTGGTTGAGAGATAGTAGTTATGAAATTTTAAAAAGAATTGTTCCCTGGATCAGTGGTACCCCAGTAGTTGAGAAATTGCAAAGTAAAAAGGTTGGTAATTTGTTTGTCCATTTTTATCAATGAGCAAGTAACTTGTTTTTATATAGATTACTTAATATGACATCATTTATAATATAACCATGATAAACAAACACAACAAGCACTACAGACTATGGATTGCTCTAGAAGGGGAGATAATTTCTTATATTCTTCTTTTCAGCAAGCTATATGTGGACCTAGTAGAGCTTCCTTTCTGACAAGTAGACGTCCTAATACAACACATGTGTATGACCAGCATACATATTGGCGTAAAAAGGGAGGCAACTTTACAACATTACCACAACACTTCAAAAACAATGGATATGTCACATTCTCTGTTGGCAAAATCTTCCACCCAGGTAATGTGTTTAATGGGAAGTAACTCTGTAAATATAGCTGACACAAAATAGATTTAAGCCACTTTAGTACAAAACAAAGAAAGCAATGAATTAAAAAAGTGCAAAAGATTGACAAATTTCCAGTTAATAATACTCCACAAAAAAACAGTGTAGGAACAAAAATGCTGACCTTTGTTCAATGGTACATGATAACAGCCAATAAACTTATCATTGAACCATAAAATAATATTGTTATATTCCATATCCTTGATGTTGATAAATTTTGATTTTAGGTGCAGCTTCAGGAAAAACAGATGATTATCCATACAGCTGGTCATTCCCACCGTACCATCCATCAACTCAGAAATATAAGATGGCTAAGGTCAGTCCCACCCTACCATCCTTCAACTCAGCAATATAAGATGGCTAAGGTCAGTCCCACTGTACCATCTATCAACTCAGCAATATAAGATGGCTAAGGTCAGTCCCACCCTACCATCCATCAACTCAGCAATATAAGATGGTTAAGGTCAGTCCCACCCTACCATCCTTCAACTCAGCAATATAAGATGGTTAAGGTCAGTCCCACCCTACCACCCTTCAACTCAGCAATATAAGATGGTTAAGGTCAGTCCCGTCCTACCACCCTTCAACTCAGCACTATAAGATGGCTAATGTCAGTCCCACCCTACCACCCTTCAACTCAGCAATATAAGATGGTTAAGGTCAGTCCCACCCTACCACCCTTCAACTCAGCAATATAAGATGGCTAATGTCAGTCCCACCCTACCATCCTTCAACTCAGCAATATAAGATGGCTAAGGTCAATACTACTCTACCATCCTTCAACTCAGCAATATAAGATGGCTAAGGTCAGTTCCACCCTACCATCCATCAACTCAGCAATATAAGATGGCTAAGGTCAATACTACTCTACCATCCTTCAACTCAGCAATATAAGATGGCTAAGGTCAGTTCCACCCTACCACCCTTCAACTCAGCAATATAAGATGGCTAAGGTCAGTCCCACGCTACCATCCATCAACTCAGCAATATAAGATGGCTAAGGTCAGTCCCACGCTACCATCCATCAACTCAGCAATATAAGATGGCTAAGGTCTGTCCCACCCTACCACCCTTCAACTCAGCAATATAAGATGGCTAAGGTCAGTTCCACCCTACCACCCTTCAACTCAGCAATATAAGATGGCTAAGGTCAGTACCACCCTACCACCCTTCAACTCAGCAATATAAGATGGCTAATGTCAGTTCCACCCTACTATCCTTCCACTCAGCAATATAAGATGGCTAAGGTCTGTCCCACCCTACCATCCTTTTTGTATTCCAAAATGTAATTGATGTACGTACAAGAATACAAGATAATGAATTTAGTGGTGTACTTTTTTTTTTAGAAAACATTTACATGATTTAATTACAAACCCTGATTTTATTTTGATATCTTTCGTCAAAGGAGTAGGTCCGGTACGACCCCTTTTTGGCCCCAAAATATAGCATTTTTACCAATTTTTTAAAGTGTAAACGTTTAGCTATTTATTGGAAAGAAGAGTACTTCTGTTCCATAATTATGGGCTGTTTTTGACAATAAAATGCACATGCATCAGGCAATAGCATCATAAATTCATGCAATATTACTGAAATCTTCACAATTTTAGCATTTGTGCTAATTTTATGACGGTTTTTGTCCAAAATGGAAGTGGCTGCATTTGTGTTCAGTCTTAATATTTAAATATATGTTGTATTTGATGATAATACATAACATATATAAAGGTTAAGACTGAACACGAATGCGACCACTTACATTTTAGACAAAAACCATCTGAAAAGTGACGTTTTAAGGCATATTTGATAGATTTTTCATAATTAAGCTTGAATTTGAGCATCTTTAATGACCAATTCAGTCCAAATCTTTTACATAAACTAATTGAATCGACTGAGGTAGACACTTAAATGTTTAACAAATGTCAAAAAACTTTCATTAGATGTACTTCGCATAATAGGCCAAAACTAGCCCTTACCGGACCTTCTCCTTTGCAGTTCATTTGAAAGTGGTACATATAGAAGAGTCCTATGATATACAGGCATGTGTTTCTTTCATTTGTATATGGTCTGTTACAGTTTTTGGCAAACCGGATGGTTACACTACATAAACATAACCTGTTCTGTTATAGGTATGTCCAGGGCCTGATGGAAAGCTCTATATGAATATAGTTTGTCCTGTTGATGTGACAGCCATGCCAGAGAAGACTCTACCTGATCTACAAAGTACCCAGCATGCATTACAGATCATGCAGAATGTTTCTAGGTTTTCAGGGCAACCATTTTTCCTGGCTGTTGGATATCATAAGCCTCACATTCCGCTGAAGTATCCTAAAGAATATCTCAGTTTGTATTTTTAAATATGATTATAAGGAAAGATGAAGTATACATCTACAAGACAGCCACCCAACAAAACAATCAAAACATTGTTCAATAAGATAACACCATTATCACACAAGCTGAGGAGTCCTCTTTTTAACAGAAATTACATGAATGATACATCAATATTATGAAAAGTTTTGTGAGGGTTGTGTGCATGTTTTTTTAGATGCAAGCATTTGAAAGAATGGAAAGTTTTAGTGGGAAAGGATATCATTGGATTTTGATGGAAAATGTATGGATTGTAGTGAAGATTAAATTGTATGTTATTTTCAGATTTACTACTGGTATCTATCCATTATACAACTACCAGTACCTTTCAATGAGTTAGATGTCCTTAGTACCTAATTTGTCCTCATATTAAATTGCTTTATATACATTTTTTGATATCTAATTATTTCAGATTTATACCCATTAGATAAAGTACATTTAGCCCCAGATCCTAGTCTACCTCCAAAACTGCCATTAGTTGCCTGGAATCCTTGGGCAGATCTCAGAGAAAGAGATGATGTTAAAATGTTACATGTCAGTTTCCCTTATGGACCCTTACCAAAACATTACCAGGTAAGATGGAACTTAAAAGAACTTGATATTATCGTCTCTTTAGCAGCACAGGTTGTGATTTGTGTTAGGCAATGAAAAAAAACAACCCAGTGGTCTCTTGGAAGCTTGATTGCCTCAAAGACAGGATTCCATAGGTTGTATCTTTTAAACACAAAATACAGAATCCTCAAAAATAAGTTTGTTTACAGTATATGTGAAAGGGGTCTCTTCCGGTATAAATAACAGAAGACTTTCTAGATTTCGGATGGTTTATTACCAGAGAATAAAAACTCTGAAATAACAAAATTATAAACATTAATGATAGTTCATGTAACATAGAATATATTATACACATATTATATCACAGACAATTTTAATTCAGTTTAAACAATTTCTAATATAATAGTGTTACTATAAACATTAGATACACATTTACTATGGAATGTTCATTCATTCAATTGTGTAGTGAAATGTACATCACATGTCACATGTACTTTAATAAACCGGTTTCTGTGACCGACATTTAAATATAACGCTAATCAGTTTCACCGTGTTTACAACCAAATAGAATTAGATGTATCCTTAAAATTACTTCTCGCAAGTACATGAAAGTTTACAATTAAACTTTACAAATATTACAACATTCAAAAAGTATTTACTATGTCTGAATATCGACATATAAATTCTATACAACTGATTTGCTAAAAATGCGCAAATCGTCAAAGGAAATAATCCATGACTTACTATTATTTCTATAGTATAAAATAGTACAAAAACTACAAATTATGCGCTTACCACTTGTGGAGTGAGTTCTCCAGTAAATTAGGAACTTGGTACAAAGTATAAACAAGTAATCTACATCAGAGTCCTGAAAACCAAAATACAATAAAAAAAACGGACTCTTAGTAATTATATAAAATACTAAACACATGACAATTGTATTCAATTCGTCTATATAAAAATAGCATTACGCAAACATGTAACTCAAATATTCTTTTCACAATATACTCTAATTTATCATACATGACGCCATTTTTCTACATGCAGTATTCGTAAAATACTGTTATTACGATATCTCTAAACATTACATAACAACGCTATGACCAGCGGCAAATATTACATTACTCTATAAAAATATGAACTAGCTTCTTTACCAAAATACGCTCATTCAAATCTTTCATTCCGGTGTTATAAACATGCGATCTAAAGAGTAATTACTCTAAAATAGGAAAGTTAACCAAATCTATTAATTTGTGTCAAAATGTTAATAAAGAGGAATGTGAAACTTACTAGTCATGTCTAGAAAACTATAAAGCTGAATCTAGTAATATACAATCTGTAAATATGGTTTCTGAGTTATAACATCTGGATAAATAAATGGACGTCTTTCACTGACCAATGTCCAGTTAAATTCTTCACAAAGATCACAAAGGAAAAACTCAACTTAACCGCCAATAACTAAGAACCAATCAAAACAAGAGTTCAATTTTAACCCCCATGAATATGTATGAGTAACATTACTCAATATGTAAATTATATACTAAATCAAATCTTAAAGGATAAATATCCTTTAATTACAATACTTTGCAAGAGTGAAATAATAAAACTAAGACTCCAATAGGAATTTGATAAGTAGATTTTTAATATAAATCAATGATTTCCAAAGTGCAAATTACATAATTTATGAAGCATAAAAAATCACTCTGCTACATATATACATCATTTTTTATATAATTTTGAATATTAAAAACATAATCAATTATTTGTGGATAATAAACTATTGATTTTTTATAATTTAAACAAGCAATTTATTTTTTGCTTCTTTTATACTGCAATTGTTAAGATGAAGATGAAGAGTGACAGTAAAAAGATTGTGTTCTTTTACTGTATTTTGTAGTACATCAAATATTCTAGATCTGTCTGTTCCCTATTGTATGTAATGTAAAATCTGACACAATACTGAAATCCAGCCAAACTCTTTTAAAAATACTGTAATTAAAATGTACTATTCTGCACTGATAATTTAAGAGTAAGAAGATCTTGCAAACTGGCAATGGTTGCTTTTGTTTTTATGTTCGTAGCTGTTAGTGAGACAAAGTTACTATGCAGCTACCTCCTATATGGATGACCAAGTGGGACAGTTACTGAAGGGATTAGAAAAGTACAACCTGTCAAGTAATACTGTTATAGTATTTATGGGGGATCATGGTTAGTATTCAGTGGGAAAAAAATATTCCTTTAAAATCTAAAAATGTATTTGGTTAATGATGTTTGCTTTCATTTTAGTTGCTTAACAATTCCTCATATTATTAAAAATTATTCATGAATATGAAAATAAGGGAGTTAAATTCTCTGCTTCAATTTCATTGAGATAGTGAAAAAAAACCTCATCAAAGATACCAGGCTTTTAACTTTGTACGCCAGACACACATTTCATTTACAAAAGACTCATCAGTGATGCTCAAATCAAAAAATTTAAAATGCCAAATAAAGTACAAAGTTGAAGAGCATTGAGGACCCAAAAATCTGAAAGGTTTTGACAAATTCAGCTACCAGTAAGGTAATCTATTCATGGGGTAGAAAATCCTGAGTATTTCGAACAATTTAAAATTTTTTAAACAGTTATTTTAAAAATTGACCATATCAATGATATGCCATGTTAACATAGAAGTGCTGACTACTGGGCTGGTGGAAGCGAATCCTGAGATGAGATCTGGTTTAAAAGACCAAGATAATCTGTTGATAGCTATTTCATAGGCACCGCCAATGATGTTAGGCTTATGACATTATGACATTCTCAATTTATTTGACTGATAAAAAACCCTTCTCAGTTGAATAGCTTGAGATGGAAAATTATCACACAATGAGTTCAATGGCAAATTGAAGAAAGTAGTTAAAAAGCAAAATCTTAAATTTTTTAATTAGAAGTTTTTCTGTATATACCGGTATTTAAAAAAAATCAGACATGAATATCTTGCTTTAATTGAACATTCATGCAAAAAAAAATGCATTTCTGTACACTTTTCTAGCTTATTTCAGTGCTAATCTATCTGTATTGATCATTACAAACCAAGGTTTGCAGTCACAATTTTATTACTTATTTGTAACTTAAGGCAAACATTTATCATGTGATATTTTGTTAACACTCATCTTCTATACATCTATCATAAACAATTTGAATATTGTCTCCAGAAAGACCCTTGGGGGAGAGGCCGAAGGACCTTTTTCTGGACATCAGTATTATACCTTTATTTATGGGGGAATTCGGGGTTGGGCCTTTATTTTCACAGGAATTCTGGATTTACCCTTATCTGGACTTGGGAATTAATGATTAATTTTTCTAGATCTAATATAGAATGCTTTATTTTTTGGGGAATCCTGCAGCCACCCCTCTTAGGGGGATGTAAATGAGTGCCAACCGTGCAGATATCTTTGTCAGTATTGTTAGTAAGGTAGAATTAGAATTATCACTGGGGTTTGAACTTACATGAGCAACACGACAGGTGCCACATATGGAGCAGGAGCTGCTTACCATTCCTGAGCATCTGAGATCACCCCCAGTTTTTGATTGGGTTTGTGTTTGCTCAGGTTTTAGTATTCTATATTGTGTTTTGTGTACTGTTGTTTTTCTTTTCATTGTTTTTCCTTAATTGCCATGGCATTGTCAGTTTGTTTTCGATTTATGAGTTTGAATGTCCCTTTGGTATCTTTTGCCTCTCTTTTTAAATATAACTCAGCTTTCAACTGTCTCAGCCTTACTTTGGGAAACAATAATAGAATAGTCTTTTCTTGAGAACAGCTAAACTTGAAAGATACTTTTTACAATACTTACAGAGTGTTGTAAAATTAGGGATGAGTGGCCACCCAATTGGTCGGCAAGTGTAAAAGACTTATTGTAACATCATATCTTATTGGAAATATATCGAAAATGCATTATTTTAAGAATTGCTAATTAAAGCTATTGAATACTATGAATATGTCAGTGAGATTCCTTACTACACTGGACAAAACATCTAATTTTGAATATTATTTCCAGGCTGGTCTCTAGGAGAACACCAGGAATGGTCTAAGTACAGTAATTTTGAGGTAGCAACCAGAGTGCCATTGATTGTTTATGTGCCTGGTCTGACCAATAAAGGACAAAATTTACACAGAAAGTTTATCTTTGATCGCAATTTCATAAACAAAGATAATTATAGAGTAACAAATGCCTTGGTTGAACTTGTTGATGTCTTTCCAACGATATCTGAACTAAGTGGCATTAAGGTTCCTGAATTATGTCCTGATAATGATTCCGATATAGAACTATGCACTGAAGGAACTAGTTTTCTTCCCTTGATTAAAGATACTGTTTTCAATAATGGTGCTTCAGACCTGAAATGGAAATCTGCCGCTTTCAGTCAGTATCCTCGACCGTCAGATTTACCCCAGGAAAATAGCGATCAGCCGAAATTGAAAGATATTAAAATTATGGGATATACCATGAGAACTGATAAGTACCGGTATACTGAATGGGTAGGTTTTGACCCTTTGACTTTGAAAACTAATTGGACAGATTTACATGCTAGAGAGTTATATGTACATGACATAGATCCTGATGAAGATAACAATGTAGCTGGACTATGGGATTATATAGATGTGGTAGCTGACCTGTCTGACAAGTTGCTCAAAGGATGGAGGAAAGCTTTACCTAATTCTTATAATTCTGACAAGCTAAATCACAGATAGAGGAAAGTTCTAACTAATTTTTATAAAAATTAAATTAAAAAAAGGCAACATAGATGAAATTAGTTCAAACTTTTGTGAAGATGCTAAGATGTAACTAGTTTACTTCAAATATGTCGTAAAGTAAGATAAATTGTTAAAGCATATTCAGGTCAAGAGCTAATTATTCAAAAATCACTTAATTTTACACAACCAAAACCAGGTCTGGACCTGAGTGGATGCATGCAATTGATAGAGGTTTCATGAAAACTAAAGCATAACTGATCCTTTTTTTTCATTGAAGCCTCGAAAACATTTACAAAAATTTTCCTTGTATAATGAGTGTTGTAAAATTTCAACTATTGGTAAACAGGAAATGGAAGCATGGCACGATGTTCAAATAGCCTAGGAATCTGATGTACAGTAGTTGTCGTCTGTTTATGTAGTTCATATGTGTTTCTCGTTTCTAGTTTTTATATAGATTAGACCGTTGGTTTTCCCCGTTTGAATGGTTTTACACTAGTAATTTTTTGGGGCCCTTTATAGCTTTCTGTTCGGGGTGAGCCAATGCTCTGTGTTGAAGGCCGTACCTTGACCTATAATGGTTTACTTTTATAAATTGTTACTTGGATGGAGAGTTGTCTCATTGGCACTCATACCACATCTTCCTATATCTATACACCCTAAAACTCATCATTTTCAAGCTGTAGACCAAATATAAAATCATTCCCTTTCATAGAAGCCAAGAAAAGTTTGATGAAAACTGTCATTTGTTTATGTATGTTGTGTTTAATTGGTTTGATTCTTGGACCAATATAGATTTGTTTATGTATGTTGTGGTTCATTGGTTTGATTCTTGGACCAATATAGATTTGTTTATGTATGTTGTGTTTAATTGGTTTGATTCTTGGACCAATATTGATTTGTTTATGTATGTTGTGTTTAATTGGTTTGATTCTTGGACCAATATTGATTTGTTTATGTATGTTGTGGTGCATTGTAATGATTCTTGGACCAATATAGATTTGTTTATGTATGTTGTGTTTAATTGGTTTGATTCTTGGACCAATATAGATTTGTTTATGTATGTTGTGTTTAATTGGTTTGATTCTTGGACCAATATAGATTTGTTTATGTATGTTGTGTTTAATTGGTTTGATTCTTGGACCAATATAGATTTGTTTATGTATGTTGTGTTTAATTGGTTTGATTCTTGGACCAATATAGATTTGTTTATGTATGTTGTGGTTCATTGGTTTGATTCTTGGACCAATAAAGATTTGTTTATGTATGTTGTGTTTAATTGGTTTGATTCTTGGACCAATATTGATTTGTTTATGTATGTTGTGTTTAATTGGTTTGATTCTTGGACCAATATAGATTTGTTTATGTATGTTGTGTTTAATTGGTTTGATTCTTGGACCAATATAGATTTGTTTATGTATGTTGTGTTTAATTGGTTTGATTCTTGGACCAATATAGATTTGTTTATGTATGTTGTGGTGCATTGTAATGATTCTTGGACCAATATAGATTTGTTTATGTATGTTGTGTTTAATTGGTTTGATTCTTGGACCAATATAGATTTGTTTATGTATGTTGTGTTTAATTGGTTTGATTCTTGGACCAATATAGATTTGTTTATGTATGTTGTGTTTAATTGGTTTGATTCTTGGACCAATATAGATTTGTTTATGTATGTTGTGTTTAATTGGTTTGATTCTTGGACCAATATAGATTTGTTTATGTATGTTGTGGTTCATTGGTTTGATTCTTGGACCAATAAAGATTTGTTTATGTATGTTGTGTTTAATTGGTTTGATTCTTGGACCAATATTGATTTGTTTATGTATGTTGTGGTGCATTGGAATGATTCTTGGACCAATATAGATTTGTTTATGTATGTTGTGTTTAATTGGTTTGATTCTTGGACCAATATAGATTTGTTTATGTATGTTGTGTTTAATTGGTTTGATTCTTGGACCAATATAGATTTGTTTATGTATGTTGTGTTTAATTGGTTTGATTCTTGGACCAATATAGATTTATTTATGTATGTTGTGGTGCATTGGTTTGATTCTTGGACCAATATTGATTTGTTTATGTATGTTGTGTTTAATTGGTTTGATTCTTGGACCAATATAGATTTGTTTATGTATGTTGTGGTTCATTGGTTTGATTCTTGGACCAATATAGATTTGTTTATGTATGTTGTATTTGGTTTGATTCTTGGACCAATCTAGATTTGTTTATGTATGTTGTGATGCATTGGTTTGATTCTTGGACCAATATAGATTTGTTTATGTATGTTGTGGTTCATTGGTTTGATTCTTGGACCAATATAGATTTGTTTATGTATGTTGTATTTGGTTTGATTCTTGGACCAATATAGATTTGTTTATGTATGTTGTGATGCATTGGTTTGATTCTTGGACCAATATAGATTTGTTTATGTATGTTGTGGTGCATTGGTTTCATTCTTGGACCAATATTGATTCTTAGACCAATATAGATTTGTTTATGTATGTTGTATTTGGTTTGATTCTTGGACCAATATAGATTTGTTTATGTATGTTGTGGTTCATTGGTTTGATTCTTGGACCAATATAGATTTATTTATGTATGTTGTGGTGCATTGGTTTGATTCTTTGACCAATATTGATTTGTTTATGTATGTTGTGGTTCATTGGTTTGATTCTTGGACCAATATTGATTTGTTTATCAGACCTACAGCCTGTGGATACTTATATTTTGGCATTTCACAAGGTCATGTTTTTTCATGCGGTTTAAGATGTCTTTACACTTAATCCATTAATTGTATGTGTACTGATTGATTTTTGAAACATGATTGATTTATTAGTTGTTATTGACTTTGAACTAGCTGTCAGTAACGGAGAGTTCTCTTAGATCAGTACTTTGCATCTTTAATCTTTTTGTTAGTTGTTTTTAGTGCTTTGTGTCGATCAGATGAGTTAAGCCCTTTTCAAATTTTAAAGCTTGTTCCTATATTGTACTGTTACGCTACAGGTTGGGGAGTGTTGAGTGCTTGCAACCATGCTCCATTCTGCATGAACCTACCCCACTTTAGATCCTGTGATTCAGTGGGTGTTGTTTGTGGCAGTCTATCATATTAGTTTTTGATGAGTTATGCCCTTTTCAACTGAGTTCTATAACTTGTTCTTATTTTGTGTTGTTACACCAGTCCTAGGTTGGTGACGGTTGAGTACCCATGGCAGGTTCTGCATGAGCCTACACCAAATTCAGAGCCAGTTATTCAGTGGGTATTGTTTGTGGCAGTCTATCATATTTGTTTTTGATGAGTTAAGCCCTTTTCAACAGAGTTTTATAAATTTTTCTTCCTTTAATAAGTAATTTACAATAACATACTTAGACAGCTGGTTTGGATCTTACTTTTTTTTTTAAGAAAATTTGCTTTCAACAAATTCTTATCATCACCATCGTTAATTATGTTTGCAAACACTCAACCCTCTCCAACCTGGGGAGTGACATAACATATCAACATAATGACTAATACTTTTCCTGTCTATGAAGAAATGGCATCAAAAATATGGTGTATTTCGAATAGACAGAAAAAATATTACATTCCTTCCTCAGAATTTAATTCTAAATTCCATTTTTAAGGAGCAAATCATGAAAAAAAATTGATGATGTCACGGTCACATGACAAAATTGTGTCTCAGCCAATCAGAAGACATGTTACATCCAAAATTAAAGTATTTATGCATATCACTAATTCAGGTTTCTTCATCTTTTACGTCAGTATTAATAGTGTGTTTAATTATGGGAACAGCAAATATGTCTTCACCTATAGTGCTATGATTCCAAAGAATTGCTGTCTTTGTCCTATTAGAATAAAAATAATTCATGACAGTTTGAATTTATATTGATTTTACCGCGGGTTGGCCCTTTATGTCTATATTTTACCCCTAGAGATAAAATATTTAGCATAAAGGGCCAACACATGGTAAAATCAATATAAATTCAAGTCCCCATGAGTTATTTCTTAAATAGACAAGACAATGCAATCATATAACAATTTTTCTATGTCTGTTTGATTTCATGTAATTGATGACAAAAATATGCAAGTCATCATTTTACCTGTATGAGAATGATTTCTGTGTGTGCAGAAGTCAACCAAATGTTTCTTTATTGTAGCTCCTTTGTTTCACTTTTCAATGTTAACATTCTTTTCCTTTTTATAACTGAACATGCCTAGCACATGCATAAGCAATCTCCAGCTAAGAGTTAAATTGAAGGTTGTATGAATACAGATTCAAATGAGGTTGACTTATTAACTTGCAAGTCAATAATACATCAGCGATGTTTAAGAGTTTATTTTAACAAAACTGAACCAAACTGAATGCCTTGAAAACAGCTAACCCTTTACTCTACATTCTCTGTACAGCAAATGCCTTGTTGTAAGTCTTATTCAAGAATCTTGTATCCAATTTGAGGAAGGGCTATAGATAGCAGGACAATAATTGTATCAAAGCTAATTTACTGTCAAAACATTTATACATAGTCACAAAATTCATGACAATAAAAATATGAACATCAGTAAAAAAAAATAATTACATCAAATTGGAAACATATTTACATATTCAAAACATGAAGTCAAGCACCTTACAATACAAAATAAAATTACATCATGTTTACTGCTAAAATTGACAAATTTATGAGACAGCGTAAATATATTGTATTAGTTAAAGCTTATATAACAGCAAAAATAAAATGATGTAAATGTTGTTTATAGCAGAACAAAGACAATGTTATTGTTTTGGCAAAAGATATTAGAGCCACATTGATTTGAATAACATATGGAAATTTACATGTCCAAGAACCTAAATGAATTCAATTCATGGTTTCATTAACTTCCAGGACAGTTGTCCAAACCTCTAAAAATCACAAAATATGATAGATACTGTGATTAATTTGACCTCCTGTAATTATTCTTCTAAAATAAACATCTACAATTTAACATACAAAATAGGACTTATTTATGTTGTAAATGACAACTTTTCTAATTCACTGGACTTTCACATACTATAAAATATTGTAGTATTGTATCTGCCTATTTTTAAAGGGATTTTTCAAGAGGAGTTTTTTGTATGATGCCGCCAAATTAGTTTTATTGTAATAGAAGATGAAAAATAATGCACAATTACTGTATTTAGTTTTGGACCAGATATTAAAATCTATTATTTAGTAATTTGCGAAATGACAAAGTGGTCTAGATCTGGTCACATTATGGATTTGTATTAAAAAAAAATTAATGGAGTATATTTACAACTTAACCAAAATAGGCTACTCTTTTCACGGTCAAATTGAAAAAATGTTCCAGAATATGAATTCTATTCAAAGTATACCGATATGTTAACACTTTCTTAAATTTACAGTAAAACCATTGTAATTTGAGATCAGATACAATATCATGAGTCACTATAATAGATTTTTTAAATCATGATATGTAATATGTTAATGAAGCATAAAAAAAGTACTAATTATAATAACTCATCAAATATATCATATATAGCTACTATCTAAATATGAAGTGGCATTGTATTTTGAAAGAATTAACTTTAATTTGGAAAAAAATATCAGTAAAATAACTTCATAAGTTGACGATTGCTTCATTCAAGAGGGCATGAGAGGCACTTTTTAAAACCCTGACCACCCATATAATAAAAATTTTCATTTTACTTAAAATTCTTACAGAATTCTAAGGAAAATGCAACCACCCATTTTAATTAATTTGAGTATCTCCCACCTCCACCAGATAAATTTTGGAGTAGCCCTAAATGAAAAATATCTTTACACAATCACATTTTTCTTAAAAAAAATTTTCTTTTCTACTTATGATTACTGTGTTATGTATGTGATACGTAGAATATCTTTGGTGCTTTTAACATACAGTGAATGACATATTACATTGGCAGTGATGATTATACATGTATATTGGCAAAACACTGAATATTGCACAAAACTATTAAACATCATTTGTTTTACATTTCAAACATGCGTCCTTCTTCACTTTACTTTCTAAAGAAATTGTTTTTATTTATCAAAATGAGTAATAATTCAACAGTGACTTATCCCTTTTGATGAATTATTCATGATGCAATAAGAAAATTAACAAAATAAGCTGCATATAAAGAGTATTTTGTATGTGCCTCCGTAATAGATGGTCACTGGCGAAATTCAAAATGAATAACTATTATTATGAATGACATCTTTTTGTTTAGATAATGTATTAATATAGATCAAAAGTATGAAAAAAATAAAGATAGGTTAGTTAGTTTGTTCTTGAGTAACAAACATTTAAAAACATACTTTATACTGTAATGTATCTTACAAATGTGTGCGAGACAAAATATAAAAAGATCGTTAAGAGTGACACAAGTATGAATTTTAAAATAATATAAATAAAACTTAATATCAGAAAGAATCAAGAGATAAATAAAACCTTTACAAACTTTTTTGTAAGTTGCATAAATTATGATTTGATTGGTCATCTCGAATAAACAATGATAAAATTTAACCTTATGTTGAATTAGAAAAATATAAAAATTGTGTTAAAATTGAATTCAAAATAAATTAAATATTTGTCCATTACTATTAAAAAGTCATGTAATATATTAGTCTTATAAACACATTACAAACTGTAAAATAAATTATTAGGTTAATTCAATATGAATTATACAATGCATTCAGGCAAAAAATGCAAAAAGTATACATCAACATGATAAAAAAAGAATTTTGAGATCTATTTAGACTAAAAAGTCCTGAAAGTAAAAAAATGGCAACATATTGAGATTTTTTAAAATATAATTGTGGAATTATGTGACAGGACAAATAAAAATTTGTGGAATCATGTGACAGGACGAATACAAAATATTTAATATATTTTTGCAATTGAATAGATAGACATTCATATTCTATGTCCTTCAATAATGAAGAAATTTTATGTTGGTAAAATCATTTTTTTTAACATCAATAACTCAAAACTTAAATCATGACTTTATTTCTAACACAGCATTTACAGTACAGAGATAACCATGTATAAGAAATAAATTTAACTGTCAATACACCTTAATGCTATTCAATCCAACTCGGAAAAAAAAAAGTCACTTTGACAACTTTCTGTTTGGGTCATTTGTCGCAAAAACAAAGGTCATCAGTAATGAGCTGATGCAGGAAAAAGTTTAGAAAGTGAACATTTTGAAAGTTTATGATCCAATGTTTTGAAACACAAATCAAAGTCATTAAAATGCTTTGTTTGAATTGTTTACAATGGTTTAAACATGTCTCTTTGAAGTGTTTAATGCACAATACATTGTTTAAACAGGGCCCAGACTGGATTATGACGTCATGAAAAAATTGCTTAATTTCAGCAGAACTTAACCGTTTTGGAATCAATTGCGATAAGGTGTATTGACATCAATAAAATCCATCATTTAGCACTTCAAGTACTGTAAACTGAGATACAGTACATAATTGTTTTACCAGTCATGAAAGATTCACAATAAAAATGTCTGAATTTACAGAACTTTAATAAACTTACAACAAAAATATCTAATATTTATATCTAAATAAATTATAAATAACAAAAGAAAAGTAAGACAAGTGAAAGTTATCTCCCCTTATCACATTTATTAAAAAAAGGGAAGATTTGTTGATGTTGGAGCATACATTATTAAATAGCTAGTGCTCCACTTCATCAAAGTTTTACTAAAAAATACAGCTTTTGTTTAAATCACCAGTAGATATAATTGACAAAACAGAACGGCCCAAAACAGAAAAATGTACAGACTAATAAAAGGAACATCTTCAGTGGACTGCTTCATAACTGTGTTTTTATTACTGTAAGTTCAAAAATTAATGTGTGCATTTATTTCTGCAAATCACTGATAACGGGTAAAGGTAAAAATGCAAGATCTTATTAATGTGATTTAAAGAATTTTGTGAAGGAGTATTACAAATGAAATTATGAATGCAAGTTTTATTTCTTACAAACCTGATACTTTTGCATTTTGCAATAATAAAAACATCCCAATAATTTCTGAATTAACAGTAATACACAAAAGTCTGAGACATAGAATTTTAGGATTAATATCAATTGTACTTCCTAAACAATCGTTTTACTCATATAAACTCATCCAAATTAATTGAAATTGTTTTCAAATCTTTAAATAGTAAGCATAGTAAATAAACATGAAGGTAAAAACATTAGGTGCTAAAATAAACAAAAAATATAAAAAGTATTACAATTATGGCTAAAGCAAGAAAATAAACAAAACAAAAGAGATTCTACAAGCTTATGTCATATCTATCATGATATCACATGATACAACATATAAAAGCTACTATTAACAGGTATATTTTCACATCATTCAGATTTGTAATTTCAAGAACCAAACCAGTTTACAACGGTTTTTTTTCTCTATTTTATTCTTTCTGATACTGATCTTTACTCAAAGGGATATTTTTACGATTTTATCTTAGCGGAATTTATCCTCCTGAAAAGTTAAAAATTAACAAACCATTTCCTCTATGATTTATTATTACCGTCCTAAAAGGGATGAAAAATTATATGAATCAAAATCCTTATAATTTATATGACCTTAAATTTCCAGAATTATGCAGTATACCATTCAATGTTCATGGAACACATTTTTTTTAAAATGTTTGGAAATATAAAATCTGTGAATTATGTACAGAAAATATATATAACAAGTTTACAACCTGGTCAATACTGGTTATGAGAATAAAAACACTTTTAAGATCTCATATGGTCCATATAATAATTTGGGTAGAATGTTATATACATTAAAATTGTTCTTTATTAGCTAGCTTTATGAAGGAAAGAAGACAGGGACCTCTCTTTCAAAGACTTTATGTATATGTTAAAAGGGAGATAATTCAACATTATTACTGATAAATATCAAAATTTCAGAAACTTATAGGATTGTTTTGCTTGACTCTTAAAAGATTAAATAAAAACTTAATTACAGTATTTAAATATTCTTTCATATATAACAAAAAACTTAACAATAATTCATAAATACAATATAATACACTGACAACTGACTTTTTATGTCAATATATGAATATATAATTACTTGTTATCAACAGAAAGGTCAAAGTTCTTGAACAAAAAATTTGTTATCCATGAATATAAAAAATGTACTTTCGCAGTATATAGAATCAAAAATTGTTGACATGTCCTAGAAATAAAATGGCTTCTAGATGCGAATTTGTTTTTATCAAATCTATACCTACACTAACATTATAAAACCAGTCTAATAGAAAAAAAGCATGATTTGACAAGTAAAGAACAATATGCACAGAGAATATAACTGCCCTTTTAAACAGAAACTTTTGTTATTGATCTGTATCCCTGTCTTAAGAGCCATCATACTGGTTCCCTAATGACTGCACCAAGAGGCTGTCATAACCCTGTTGATGAGTAATACTACTGTAATGTTCCTCTGTACTGGTTGATATACATATACTATTGTTGTTCACAGGTAAACTTTCTGCATCCATCTGTGGAAGGCCATTTTGATTTTTTATGCTGCCATTTTGACTGAATAAGTTGGGAAACTGTAAGAAACCATTATTTACTTTTCCATTGATGTGGTTATTATATCCATTCATTTGATTTTTTATGAAGCCATTTTGATAGTTGCCATGGTGACTAAAGCCATTAGTGTTTTGAAGAAAACCGTTTTGGTTACTCCAATGTTCTGGTTCTGAAAGAGAAAAGAGAAAATTGCTGAATAACAAGTAGCAAATCTAGAAAATAAAAATCTTTACCGTATTTTTTTAATTTCATTGATTGGAAATTTTTCGAATGAAATATACTTTATCCTGACCAAATATGGCATTTATTAATTGTAGTCAAAATGTAAATAAACCATTTTTTTTTTTTTTAATTTTATGATCCTACAGCTGTATAGTTTTTTAACATAACAGATCTGCAATATCCTGTTTGAATCAATTTAAAAGACCTATAATTTTGATGAATATTACTTATGTACATTAACACATATTTTTGTCTTTGATTTTCATGATTTTCATTTTCAAGCTATGAAACAAAAGGTTAACTAAAAGTGTCACTTTTTTTTAATAGGTTACAATCCATAAACTTCAGACTGGATTTTCCCTTCTTTGTGTTAAAAAAAATGTCAAATGAAGTAAATTCACATGCCCATAGCTAACATTCTTAAACAGTTCACAAGGTGATGTCCCCTCTGTGTTTTAGTGGCCTTTGATATACTTACTTATATAAAGTGTGAAAATAACATAGAACACTTTGGTGTTCTCTGGGCAACCATGGAAACAGTAGGTTGAGGAATATATTTATTAATATTCTCATCAAAACATGACATTGCAGATCTTCCCTGTAGGTTAAAACCATTTTGCTTTAATTGGAGGTGATTATTTTCTTCCCAAAGGACATCTGAGAAATAAGATTGTATGGTTAGGACTAATTACAGTGGATAAACTTTGTATCAATTGAACTTGGACGTACAACAATTGTACAAGAATGACATGTGCTATGTGCAACTGCTCTTTAAAACTGTTAATATGTAAGAACTTGTTACAGTATTTTACTATATGTTTACACAATTTGTAGCCTATATATATATATATATAGCCTACAGTGAAATGACAATTGGCATAATTCAAACAAGATTTAAACTCCTTTTAAAAATATTTTTGTTAATATTTTCAAACGCCAATTAGCCCAAGTGCCATCTCCAACAGGTAAAAGTTATTCCTGAAAAAAATCAAATGGTTAAAAAAGCCATTATTTCAAGGCATTCATATATTTCGTTCATATATAAACTTTGTCATAAACAAATTCAGTGATCCTAAACATGCCTGACACAAATATTGCCTTGTTGAAATGGCTGTGTTACTATTCTTATAAATCCCTCTATAGCCTTGATAGCTAGGTATGGCTTAATTCATACTATATATACACTGCCTAATCAAAGCCTACTTTGTATAAAGCTTTTAAGCAGTGGAAAGCAAAGGATTTATAAAGCAATGCTAGACTACAATGACTTCCAAAATGTCAACTTAAATCTTCTACTGGAATACTGACTCAAAGTAAAGAATGTCATTTTTAATGAAGAATTTAATCAGGAAAAACTGATTATATAAAGTTATATATATATATCAACTACCAGGACTGCACAGGTTATAATCAGATTCCTTAAGTCAAAGTAAATATCAACTACCAGGACTGCACAGGTTAAAACATAATCAGATTCCCTAAGTCAAAGGACAATTGAAATCAGCTATTCCTTTTATACTTTTGTTGACTGTTTCACCATTGGTAAGAAGATTCCAAGGAGACAATCAAAAGCAATAAGTTGAAGAATGACTAACAACACTGTGACCAAAACAAATAAAAAATAAATGGGGAATGTGTCCATGGGACACAGATATAAATTCAAACTTGATCTGTGTTTTGTGGTAATAAGCATTGTGTATTAGTTTCATAACATTTGTTTGAGGCAAACTAAAGTTAGAGAACAGAAACCAATTTCGGGACCCTCTCCGCTACGGCGGAGGTATAACAACGTTCCACAAAACACATAAACAGAAAACTGAACATTAAGCAACATCAACCTCACCAAAAAACAGTGGTGACCTCAAGTGTTCCAGAAGGGAGATCAGTACCTCCATTAGTCAGAAATCAATGTTGAAATAATATACACCTATCCAATTAAAATATTTCAATAGATTGCAGACTTTCCATAGAAAATGTTGAAATAATACACCTATCCAGTTACAAAAAACTTTACAAATGGGGACTTTCCATAGACAGTAGAATTTTAAATCCATGGATATAACCCTATATGAATTTTATAAAAAGAAAGACTTTTCATTTACCTAATCTCTTAATAATACCGAATATCCCTGAAAGGCATTCTGTTATGGGGTAAAATTGGTCTCTGCACAATGATAGCAGTTGGAAGAAAAATTGACAAACAATCTGATTGAAACATAGATCCTGTGTTCATGCTTTCTGTTTTAATAATCACTGCATCAACAAAGGAAATTCAAGTCTCAAAATTTTTGAAGGCATGGAAGATTAAGCCAAATCAATTATCCGAAAAAGGTCTTCAGAACAGTTAAATTAGGAGCATTGTCAGATCCCTGTAAACCCAGTGTGAACACAGGATCTATGGATCAATCAGATTGATTGACAAATTGCAATATTTCTAAAGTTAAATGATATCAAAATAATATAAGCATCTAAAGAACTCATTTTCATACTGTAAGATTTAACACAATTATTTGATTTTTGTTCAAATTGAAAATTAATGTAAAGCCCTTGAAGCTATGATACAAGTCAGATGCGGATCCATGATTTTGAAAAAGGGGGCCAGGCCCCATAAACTAGGCAACATTTGGAGTTGCCCCCTGGCCCCCTAAATCCACCTGCATGTAAACAGTAAATTTGACACTGGTTTTGAAATGGAATACTGTGTATTGAACAATAACTCTTACAAAATCTGTTGGATTAGGAGATATTGGATGTTGATTACCAATTAACACTTTTTTTCTAATCAGCATCTTTTTAAATAAGTAATAATTTGAACAGAAAACATTGCCAGGGACACGTGAATCGTAGGGATAAAAAGCAGGTCATGCATTCTCCAAAACACATCTAACAATAGGATCATGAAATGATGTGAAAATGAAATGCATGCTGAGTGAGCACATCATCGTTCACTAACCTCTACATAAACAAGGAACAAGTTCCGTCAGCTAACGAACCCTCATCTAGCGGACGTGACGGAGGTGCTCTTTCTTCTTGTGGAGGACTTAATGGTGAAGTAGATATTGTAAGAATTGCTTGATAAGATGATATAATATTATTGTTCTCAACAGCCAAAGTCTTCGTGGCTGTAAAGGAAAGGCACCGAGTAGAAAATATCATGTATCGTGTAGAATTCTCAGTTTTGATCTGCATCAGACATCTAAGGCATAAGTTAGGTGGTTATATTTGACAGACATGCTGTTAAGGTTAATTTTGAGTACATGACATGTAGTTTGTAACACTCTTTCCACAGTACAAATTAAAGGCGGGAATGTTTGAACTTAGTGTAATTTTTTTTTTTCAAGTCAAACAAGGTAATGTTTTGGTGTTACTGAACAGAAGCATCTAACCAAACCTGAATCAAATCTTTTACATTATGGTAGCATTTAAAAAACCTCAATCAAATCCATGTCTTCCATGTCTTCTTGAATAAATATTTGATAATCAATATTATATTTGTTTTCAAAAGCAAAATCAATAAAAAAATATTACATGTAAATATTTTAAGATTTTAAGATTTTAAAATTTAAATATATGATAAATATTATTCTTTCCTAGCTATATATAGTAAACAGGAATAAAGTTATATAAAACCTCAAGCTACCTTAACTGAAAATTGAGTTGATTCAGATTAGCTCTAATCTAGTTGTCAAAGGTCAAATGCAATGTTACAAATGGTGTATTTTGACACCTTTTCATTTTGTTATTTAAACTGTTTATGAAATGCATATTTTGGCATTTTTAGTATAGACCAGTTTCCAATTGCCATTTTACATGGAGGCATTCGGGGGAAACGGGTCATTAGACATTGTGACAAAAACATAATTGCTTTGTGACGTCAAATTTTTCCAGGCAAATGCACCAGTTGGAACATCATGTACATGGTGAATGGTGTTGTCTCTTTCAATTTTAACACAGTATGACAAAATTTGAATAATTCAAAATTCCTTCTTGAAATTGTATACCGGAATTGGAAAATCAAATATCAAAATATCCATTTAATATTTTATAACTAAAGATAGACATTACATGTATTGAGGAAACATCCCATCACACAAATTAGTATTTTTAGCCACTAAATAATCTTTAATAGGACCCAGAGTAAGCACCTACATCAATCTGTAGCTTAATATTGTGAAGAATGATTAAATTTTCATCACTCATCACTCGTTCGTAGTCTCTTTTGTCCTTTGAAAGGGACAGATATTTTATCTTATTGCTATTTGGTGTATTTTTCCTTTGATCTTTTTTTGTGATAATTTTGCATATCATGCAACTCTCTTGAGATATAAAACTAACGCTAGAAACTAACGGCACACATGACAGTGTCAATGTAAACGTTAATGACGTCATTGGCAAAATAGCGATAAACAGATTATCAATGGTCTTTCAAACTCCAGGATGTTGCTCGGCCACATCTCATCTCAGGGCTGTCTCCCTTTGATGAGATTGTAGATGAGAATAAAATGCTCCGCTGGGGCGCAGCTTGATACGACCGCAGAGGTCGAACCCTGAACAGTTGGGGCAAGTATGGACACAACATTCAAGCTTGATACAGCACTGAATTTGGATTGTAATTAAATATTTGACACAGCATAGGTTTCTGACACAGAATGAAAGTGGTTTAAGAACTTAAAAATTTTTAATTTACCTATTCAAACCATATCATTATTATTTGCTTATATATATAAATCTGAAATAACCAATTTAAAATGGAAAATTTTAAAGAAAAAAAAGGAAAAAAAAAATCCCCACCCCCCAAATTTTTTGAACCCCCTTATGGTTCCTCATCCCCAATCTCAATCCCAGCTTTCCCTTTGTGGTATGGTACCTTGCAGTACAATTTCAGAGAGATCCATCACTTGAACACAAGTTATTGTCTGGAAACTAGAAAAATGCTTGTTTTTTGGCCCCTTTTTAGCCCCAAATTCCTAAACGTTTAGGGCAATTACCCCCAAACTTAAACCCAGCTTTCCCTTTGTGATATGGAACCTTGCAGTACAATTTCATAAAGATCCATACACTTACACACAAGTTATTGTCCTGAAACTAGAATAAAATGCTCCGCAGGGCGCAGTTTGATACGACCGCAGAGGTCGAACCCTGAACAGTTGGGGTAAGAATGGACACAACATTCAAGCTTGATACAGCTCTGAATTTGGATTGTGATTAAATATATGACACAGCATAGGTTTCTGACACAGAATGAATGTGGTCTAAGAACTTAAAAATTTTAAATTGGAAATTCACCTATTATGGTCCAATATTCAAAATCTAAATACATGGTTAGATTCAGCATATCAAAGAACCCCAAGAATTCAATTTTTGATGAAATCAAACAAAGTTTAATTTTGGACCCTTTTGACCTCAATGTGGACAAAGTTGATAATGTGGCCCAAAAATCAAAAATCTAAATACATGGTTAGATTCAGCATATCAAAGAACCCCATTTATTCATTTTTTGTTGAAATCAAACAAAGTTTAATTTTGGACCCCGATTTGGACCAACTTGAAAACTGGGCCCATAATCAAAATCTAAATACATGTTTAGATTCAGCATATCAAAGAACCCTAAGAATTCAATTTTTGTTAAAATCAAACTAAGTTTAATTTTGGACCCTTTGGACCTTAATGTAGACCAATTTGAAAACGGAACCAAATATTAAGAATCTAAATACACGGTTAGATTCGGCATATCAAAGAACTCCAATAATTCAATTTTTGATGAAATCAAACAAAGTTTAATTTTGGACCCTTTGGACCCCAATGTGGACCAATTTAAAAACGGGGCCCAAAATCCAAAAACTTAATACACGGTTAGAATCAGCATATTAAAGAACCCCAAGAATTCAAGAATAAAACCCCATTGAAATTGGTCAAGAAATAAGCAATTTATACGAAGTATCTTCTTTTGCACAATACTGTGCAATTGAATATTTCTTGCTATTGCGCAATACTGTACAATTGACAATTTCTTGCTATTGCGCAATATTGTGCTATTGGATATTTCTTGCTATTGGATATTTCTTGCTATTGCACAATACTGTGCAATTGAAGATTTCTTGCTATTGCGCAATACTGTGCAATTGAAGATTTCTTGCTATTGTGCAATACTGTGCAATTGAAAATTTCTTGCTATTGCACAATACTTATTATATAATAATTTACACATCCTGTTTGGTGTGTATCTCCTACCATATCATTATTATTTGCTTTTAAATATAAAACAGAAATAACCAACTTAAAATGGAAAATTTTAAAAGAAAAAAATAGGAAAAAAAGAAAAAAAAGGAAACCCCCCCCCCCCAAATTTTTTGAACCCCCTTATGATTCATCACCCCCAAACTCAATCCCAGCCTTCCCTTTGTGGTTTGGTACCTTACTGTACAATTTCAGAGAGATCCATACACTTGAACACAAGTTATTGTCTGGAAACTAGAAAAATGCTTATTTTTGGCCCCTTATTCCTAAACGTTTTGGGCAATTACCCCCAAACTCAATTCCAGCTTTCCCTTTGTGATATGGAACCTTGTAGTACAATTTCAGAAAGATCCATACACTTACACACAAGTTATTGTCATGAAACTAGAAAAATGCTTGTTTTTTGCATCTTTTTTGGCCCCTAATTCCTAATATTTTGAGACAATTACCCCCAAAATCAATCCCAGCGTTCCCTGTGTGATATGGAACCTTGTGGTACAATGTCAGAGAGATCCATACACTAACACACAAGTTATGTCTGGAAGTTACAAAAATGCTTATTTTTGGCCCCTTATTCCTTAACTGTTGGTACCATAACCCCCAAAATCAATCCCAACCTTCCTTTTGTGGTATTGAACCTTATGGTAAAATTTCATAGACATCCATTCACTTAAACTAAAGTTAGAGTGCGAAAACTAATGTGTCTTCGGACGACGCTGGACGACGACGCCAACGTCATACCAATATACGACGGTCGTATCAAAATGCTTGCTTTTTTGCCCTTTTATGGCCCCTAATTACTATAATTTTGAGGGAATTACCCCCAAAATCAATCCCAGCCTTTCCTTTGTGGTATGGTACCTTGCAGTACAATTTCAGAGAGATCCATTCACTTGAACACAAGTTATTGTCTGGAAACTTGAAAAATGTTTATTTTTGGCCCCTTTTTGGCCCAAAATTCCTAAACATTAGGGGCAATTACCCCCAAACTCAATTCCAGCTTTCCCTTTGTGATATGGAACCTTGTACTACAATTTCATAAAGATCCATACACTTACACAAAAGTTATTGTCATGAAACTAGAAAAATGCTTGTTTTTTGCCCCTTTTTGGCCCCTAATTCCTAAAATTTTGAGGCAATTACCCCCAAAATCAATCCCAGCACTCCCTTTGTGATATGGAACCTTGTGATACAATGTCAGAGAGATCCATACACTTACACACAAGTTATTGTCATGAAACTAGAAAAATGCTTGTTTCTTGCCCCTTTTTGGCCCCTAATTCCTAAAATTTTGAGGCAATTACCCCCAAAATCAATCCCAGCATTCCCTTTGTGATATGGAACCTTGTGGTACAATGTCAGAGAGATCAATACACTTACACACAAGTTATGTCTGGAAGTTACAATAATGCTTATTTTTGGCCCCTTTTTGGCTCCTAATTCCTTAACTGTTGGTACCATAACCCCCAAAATCAATCCCCACCTTCCTTTTGTGGTCTTGAACCTTATGGTAAAATTTCATTGAGATCCATTCACATAAACTAAAGTTAGAGTGCGAAAACTAATGTGTCTTCGGACGGTCTTCGGACGACGACGACGACGCCAACGTCATACCAATATACGACCATAAAAACCTACTCTTTGAAAAACCATGGATAATCTATAATTATGTTACTAAATACATCTTCATGTCATAAAACCATGAAAACAAGGAGCAGTTTACATATTATCAGACATGAAATTTTCAAAAAAAAAACAAAAATAAGTTGCAATTGATATGGTTTTTGAATCTTAACAAATCAAAAGATATATTTATTTAGACATAATGGATAAACATTGCATATGACCAGAGTGAAAAAACAACTAGCTTATAATAATGTAGCTGTATACACCATGTACACTGTGTTATCATACCATCACGTCGAGACTTTTTACACTCCTCCTCATCACAATCATCCCGGCTCCTCTTTGTTCCTGCCAGTGGATTGACACGGTGACCTTCAGGTAAGACAGAAAGGTCAGTTTCCATGTCATCATCTGATTCCATTGCATCGCCATTGGTAACAACCTGACTATTTTGTGTGAGATCATTGGACGGATTATATGTGGGGAGTCCATACACTCCCTGAGCATGCTCTGCCTGTGCTGCTCTCTCTATGTATGCTGCACACTCCTGGTACCCACAAGCAGCAGCTAACTGACTGGGTGTCTGCCCATTGTGATTTTTAATTCTACAATAGATGACAAAGACATGAAAGAGATTAAGGAAGAAATTTATTGTTTTGTTGTTTGTGCATCAACCCTTTTCTGTTTTTAGTTGACTCAGTGGTGTAATGTCTCCATGAAATTTTTACATTTCTGACATTGTCTTAATTTGTCACTTTTATCATGCTTTTAGGTGTCAGACCACCAATTCACTCCCTCCAATTTAGAAAGTATGTAAAAGTAGCCCTACTCTTGACAAAAAATAGTGCTTTTGATGTCATTGTTTACTTAAACTAACCAACAAATTTGCAGTAATGAAACTTTTGGTGAAAGAGAAATACATTAGACCATTTTGAGCCAAAATTTACTTGTCTATGAGTTTGTATTAAAAATTGAGGATTAATGTGCTCCATAGTATACTAATTTAAGATTTCCAGAAAACCAGGGGTTATTTTCAGTAGTACTTGACTTTCAAAAGGCAGTTCTTTCTTAGAAGACTTTAAAATTGGCATGTAGAAAGGTGATACATGTACAATTCATGATATACCTGGTTTCTATGAAGTTAAACTTAAGGTAAAATATTAAGAAAGCTGTGAAAATTGCAAAATTTGGTTGAATAGATAGGGATTTTGGATTGGTGGTCTGACACCTAAAACCTACTAATGTCATGAATGTCTTATTTGAATGTCCCTTTGGTATCTTTCGTCTCTCTTCTAAATATATATATATAGAGCCCAAAACACAGACCAAATTTATATACATGTAGCAAAATAGAAATATTAAATATTTGTTTACAGAGTGGATATTGAGTGGTTGGCATAATGAATGTTGATAAAATAAATATTTTTTTAATTATATTTTTCAATTAGCTTAAGCATCTGCATTACATCATACCTACACAATGTACATGTCATGAGAAATTTCCAATAACTTGTATACATTTGTTTTGACAAGTTAACAACTGATACAGAATTGATAAAGTCTAACAATTGTAATAAGATACTATCATACTATGTACATGTTGAACAAAAAGTTATTGTGGCAAATCTACTGGTTTCTAGGTAATCTTGCGACTAAAAATCTACTGGTTTCTAGGGAATTGTGTGTTTAAAAATCAATGGTTTTAAAATGTAGGCCAGATGAACCATGTCAGATGAACTTTAATGCCTTACAATATGGTACTATCACTCCATACACAAAATATAGTTGACCTACAAAAATATTTCCAAACAGAGATCCTGTTAAAAAATTATTGAGAAAAACTACAAATTTCTAGCAGTAACTTGTACAACCAGTAGAGAGAAATGTTATTAACAACTCTTCTTCCTACTGACAAAATACTGTTGACAAAGGATATTTTTGTTGTGATTTATATATCTTATATATACAGTCAAACCTTGGTAAACCACAGTGTGAGAAATGTACATCATGTTTCGAAATGATGAGTCTCCTATAGTGAACCCCGAAACTGATGACTCTGGAAAAGCAGAGGACCCAGATGACTACATTCATTGTCAAGTTTATAGGTATGGTACATTAATTGTACGTCAATTTTGCAATCATGATGAAATTTTGTTTGATAAAATTCTTGTTTTTAATCGGCTTTACCAACGTAGGAAATGAATGATAGACGCAAAAATAAAATCTTGTTGAACAATTCATACAATGCAAGGATTCTAATGCAAATGAAAACAATGAATTCAAAGTGAATGTGAAACGGAAGAGTCAGAAACTGATGCAACCGAGGCCAATTGAATTTACGAGGATTTGTAACACATGCTATTATATTTTTTTTTTAATTCGGAAGAAATTTCTAAAGCCAATTAATACGATGACTAAAGACATGATCATGCATTTTAAAATTGTGAAAAGGCAGGGAACACTTGTAATATCCTTGTCACAGTATTCTCACACATCATGACATAACTTTATACTGGTTTTACTGTAAATTATATTACAACAAAGTATAAACTTACGACAATTTAGTTCCCTGTGATATAAGTAAACTGATACATTCCATATTCCCAGTCCTGGCAGCTTTATGTAAGGCTGTTTCTCCCATGTAGTCCTACAATGTAAGTATAATGAATTAACCAAATATTTCCAGCAATTACAATGTCAATGAATAGTCCTACTATGTAAGCATAATGAATTAATCAAATATTACCAGCAATTACAATGTCAATGAATGTAATCATGGTAATAAATGTCACAAAAATTACAAAGAAACTAATTTAAAATGTTGTTCAATAATTTCACAGACATTTTGTGATTGAATGAATTACAATTATGAGTTAATGAAAGAGTTTTGGATTTGAAATAAAAAATAATTTTAAATCTACTAGACTACCATCATGAAAAACATTATAAGCTTACAGTAAAATACATGATGTGATAATCAATTGTGTAATAAGATCTGAAAAGATCATGCCTGTATGGCTGTAAATGATTAATTCCATTTGTCTACAAACCACACTAAACCTACATATATGCAATCTTTTTTTTAAGTTTATAAAAAGCAACTACTCTATTGGATTTTGCAGAAATTTCTCATTGCATTTTCAAAATTGGTTAAAATCAGGAAATACTTCTGGATGTGGTCGGAATGTCCTCTTTTTCAAATGACTAGAATTATAAAAGGAACACAAATGTTTTATTTCACCAACGTCAGGTGTATGCGTAGCAATTTGTACTTTACATACATGACATATGATTTTTCAAGGTTTTTCATTCTTTTAATTATATCACCAATTTTCTTAAACAGTTAAAAATGCTTAAATTCAGCAGCCATACTGGCAATGACTGGGATTCTGAATCATGCATGACATATTTTATCTAGTTCCAATCTATAATGATAAAAGGAAAATTCATGTGCTTGTTTTATAAATAACTCAAATATAGAACCTAAAATATTTTGTAACAACTGAGGAGATCTTAACCTTATATAAAATGATGGACAAAATGTAAATACCTAATAAAAATAGTGGAAATGAAATGATGAGAATATGATGTACATGTAGATAATTGTCTGTACCTGTATAAGTAAGTTTGCCCCAGATTGCACAAGCCATTGAACACAGTGTGGTTGGCCGGACTGTGCAGCAAAGTGTAAAGCTGTTTGTGAAAACTTGGATGTTATCGTATCCAAACCAACACTTCTTTCGATCACCAATTTTCTTAAACAAGCAAGCTGTGAAGATAATGATAAGTATTTAGAGGCTCACAGAAGGGGTTCTTTTATTTCAATTTTTTTTTTTGGTAGGGATAGGGACATTGTGTTCAGCATTATACAACATTACAATACAGCAGTAAATTTTATACATGTAAGAATGTTTTATGTGTTCATCTCTTAGGGCCATGGATTTTTAATTTGTTGGTTTTTGGGATTTCCTATGTGAAAAAGTCGGGTTGTTCGGTCTGGAAAAAAAGAATAAAAAATTCTTTCAAGACATAACATGAATATAAAAAATATATATCTTTCAGCTTACTAAAATGTTTTTGGTATGCTTTATTGTCATCCTTTTTTAGTTCCAAATATTATTGCTAAGCTGTTTTTAACATACAATGCATTCCATTCCCATATAAGATTATAAAGGGTGGTATTCCACGGAAAAACAGGATAATAAAATGGTCATAATTAACATACGAAATTAATAAACCAGCTACACGTTGATTTTTGTCTACTTTGTGAACAATGAGTTTCAAGCCAAAAACATGTGAAATAAAAATTGCAAACATGTTGCACGGAAATAACACTTTTAATATCTGTGGCATAAACAAAGTAGAGTGGTCCACCGGAAACATGAGCGATATCGGTTTCATCCTTTTTCAGGCAATCCCGTTTTTGATATTCAAATGGACAAACATTTATTTTCAATTCATGATATAAGACAATTCCCAATTGTATGTGGATAACTCCTTCTTTTAACTTGTCTTTCACGTTTGGACGAGTCCATTTTATCCATGAGATGAAAAATCTTATCGGAATTATAACAAAAAAAGAAAACGAACTTATTGTAACGAATTTTTATCATAGGTGTTGTTCCGCAAAATTATTTGCGCAAATGAAATTTCAAGGTCAGTTTTAATTGTCTATTTTTAGAAACGCAAACATTACAGATTATTTCGATTTTTTTTTTTTTTAGAACACAATGTGTAATCATTGCTGATAATGTTTTAACATGCTAAAATAATGCATTTAATTTAAGGAAAATGCTGCTAAGCTGATATTTTATTTATGTTTCAGGGATAATGTATTTCTTAGGGTAATCTGGAATAAAAAAGCATATATTATATCAATTTTATTTTTTTCTGAAAATCGGAAAAATGGGTAGGCGGATCCGTAAACTAACAAATTAAAAAACCATGGCCTAGTATATACATACAAAAATGCATGAGTATATTGAGACAAAGTTTGTATAAAAAATTGAAAACAATTTATAATTATTGATAAAAATTAATTTACAAGGTGAGGGTACACTGCTGTTTTGTAATGAGTATAAATGAACAAGCTCAATACTGTCATGACTGTATTAATATGTGGACAGGTGCCCCTTCAATGAGCCTCATCTGAAAGATAAACATTTTTTAATACCTGTCTGTTTATAGCAGCCCCAGAATGAAGTAGCCATTTTAAACAGTGTCCCTTGCCACTGTGAGCTGCCATATGTAATGGGGTCTGGTTTAACCGCTCTGTTGAGTAGTCACAATTACAACCCTGTTCTATCAAACGCATAAGGCATGTAAACTAAAAATAAATAACTAAAATATAACACAGTGCATGGAAATCAAATGCAGTTAGTAATATTAAATTTATACATGCTATAGGGACTGCATATCAAATAATTTTCAGGTGAAAAAATGGTTTCAACATTTTAAGCTAATAGAACTACGTTAATTGTTGCCATTATCATGATTATCATCATTAATAGTAATCATGGTTATGTATTTACATGATTTAGGAGTTTGCATTTATATGGCTTCTGGCTGGTTTCTCTCTTCTAGTGAAGCTGTCGTCTCTTGGTTATCAAATGTATAACAACATGCCCATTGGTAATCCTTTTGGGGATTCTGTGTTTGGAGCCATTTTCTGATTCGGTGCCCTCAGAAAATTTTTACCAACTACCTAATACATGTAATATACATAAATTTATATTCAAAATTTAAACTGTCAGATTGGCAAAAATTCCTTTATTTCTCACCTGCTTCATGTGAATGCTTCTGTAAGTGTTAGAGCGAACAGTTGAGGTGAACATTTTCTCAAATAGACTTAAAAGGGCTTGATAATGGATTCTGAGGGCAGCCAAATCAAGAAATCGCTCCAGATACAGAATCCTAAATTATTAGCCAATAGGCCCCTTCAAGGTTAATGCAGCCACGTTGAACAGGGGGACGATTTTTTGGATACAGATGGAAAAAGTATGAAAGTACGGGAAATTCTATGCATGTTTTCCAAGCAACTGTTCTGTTTCAATGATGTTTTCTCGTATTTTTCAAACCATTTGCACCCCCTTCAATGTCCATCATCATGATTATGAAAATCTGTCACTCTTTTCACACAAAATCTTACGAGTAAAACCAATCAATTTTAGTCATAAAGATTTTTTGTGAAAAGAGGCCCTGCCCCTATTCAATATGGCTGCAATGGTATCGGGTCCGTTCGCGCCCAATACACGTTCGCACCCTACACGTTCGCACCCCACACGTTCGCCCCCTAGGTCCGTTCGCACCCTACACGTTCGCACCCTTTTTTTTAATTCAAAAACCTGATAAATTTTTAGATGTTTTGTAAAATATTTTTATTTTCATAAATAAATATTCGGGAATTTTTAAATGAAATATTGTTTTAAATTGATTTGATGATTAATTATTAAATGTTAATTATGTATGATTACTGCTAATTGGTATTTATACACAGCCTAATATGATGTTATTGTTGAGTGTTTAAAAATCATGATTGTTGTCATGGTTATTTTAACTTGCTTTAAATGTAAATACTGCATGTATTTAGCTTGGTATGAGTAAAACTTTGAAGATTTTAAATAAAAAACATGAAAGATAATTGTTTTTAACAGCTTGGCTCCTTTGAGCTCATGTGTGTCAGAATCTCACTTTATTCATAAACAATGAAAAAAAATATTTATAGCAATACACTATCCAAAACATGATTACGAATTATTCAACACATAAAAAAAAAACGTTGTCAGAATCCCATTTCCTTTTGAAACAATAAAAAAAAATATTTATAGCAATACACTAACCAAAACATGATTAAGATTTTATCAACACCTAAAAAAACGTTGTCAGAATCTCACTTTATTTAGAAACAATGAAAAAAAAATAATTTATATATATATATATATAGATATATAGAGAGCAATACACTTACCTAAACATGATTAAAAATTATTCAACACAAAAATAAAATACTGGTCGTCAGAATCTCACTTTATTTAAAAACAATGAAAAAAAAATGTTTATAGCAATAAACATTTACCATGACACAAAAAAAACCTTGTCAGAATCTCACTTTATTTAGAAACAATGAAAAAATATATTTTTATAGCAATACACTTACCAAAACTCGTTAACAAATTATTAAACACAAAACCAATAAAAATTGGGCGCAAACGTGTAGGGTGCGAACGGACTTTGGGTGCGAACGTGTAGGGTGCGAAAGTGAAAGGGGGGCGAACGTGCATGGGGGCCAATGTGATCGGGCGCGAACGGACCCGGATTCGGCTGCAATGACCGTGAAAAGGCCTATTGATGGTTAATTTTTGTTTTGAGGAAGTTAAAAGAGTCTGAACCGTAAGAAAGACCCTGATCTAGGTGAAAATTTAAAATTTCAATAACAAATAAATGCAACGGATGGAATGTATCATTTTTATAAACTGATAAATTATACCTTAATTTATAAATAACCTGATCACGATAATTCCAATTAATAATTGTGAATAAACAGAACCTGGTGATAAAATTGTGTAAACATAGATTTGAAATATGAATTATGATTAACCTTTCCGAAATTTGCTGCCCAATGAATAGGGGTCCAACCATATAAACCGTCCTCCTGGTAAAAGTCTGGACCATTTGACAACAACAAAGACATCGCTTCGAGGTCACCGTCGCGACAAGCTCTGTGCAAAGGATAGTGAGATTCAAGCAGATCCTCTGATGTTGGGGACCAATTTCCAGACTCATGTTCGTCTTCCATTGTTTTCTTATAGAACTGTCATTCAATTCTAAGCATTAAACGGTGAAATTCTTTGAGCTTTTCATAACATGCCGGTCTTTCTCGTCTGTTTACTACTTCTCTATCCGGGCACTTGCTAAATTTATTTATCGGAATACGTTTAATATTTCGTAGAGAACGAATTCAACGACAATTTTTTTTTGTTCCATGTATTTTAATACAAATTACAAAATATATAACAGATAAAGTAAGATGTTTAAAAAATGTTTCTTGACAAAAACTCAAGTATCAAAATGAGGGTATTTTTTTAACTTCGTTTTCTAATTATGTATAAAATTTACCCAATTTTAGTCTCGTGTTTTTTCGTGACATCGCGAGAACTGAATTTGCAGACAGCTTTTGCTCTTATTTATTTACTAAGATGTATATAGTTAGTAACGCTTAAATTGCTATATAACAGTGTATATGATAAATTGATAAAGCATTACAGAAGAATCAGTCAGAGGTTGTTCAGATGTTTGCAACCCAAAGAAATCAATTAACTATTCATCAGTGACTGGGGAAGGGAAAATTACAATGTCAATGGACCCATAGATATAATAGCCATAGATAAAGTACTCGACCCACATCAAACGCAGATGATATATGCCGAAATTTTGTCACCCTCTTATTATATACATGTCACGCTTGGTGTTAATTAGACTTTATTGGCAATTGCCGTCGATCGATATCTAATAAATTGTGAATCGGAAGAGGAAGATGTCATTCTTTTTTTAATTCTTCCTCCACTTCGATAATTTAATTCTACATGCCGCACAGATAAATGGTGGATGCAAAGATTGTTGATCATTTGCAAAGTCAATTTTGAGCGAAATTTTTACGTCTCTCTCAAATTTTTCCTTTGGGGTTGGCTTTCCTTTTTGAGGAATAGCTTTATTTTCTTCACATAAACGACATACACAGCGTAGAAGACTCTCATGTATGGTAGTTCCTGAAAGTTGAAATTTTTCATAAAGCAATGCCAGAAAGAAAAAAGAATGAGAGACAAACTTACAAATCTATTTGTATTTTTCAAGACTACTCGAAATGCGAGTATAATTATTTTTTTGTAAAAAGGTTATTTGATACAGTTTTATTTTGTAAATAACTTTCATTATACAAGGTGTTATTGCTTCGCATTTTGTTTGGAATGTTTATATGCATGCTTAAAATACAAGTCAAGGTGATCGATGTCCTGAAATATGCATCAAATATTTGCCACTGAACGTTATGAAATCCAAAAACAAAACAAAGAAGTCATATAAATAAAGTACACAAAAGTAAGCCGACAACTAAACGGGCAGACTTACGGAGGGATATATAGCTGTATGTATAGTACGAAAAACGCCTCTAACACAACTGTAAGAAGGATGACACATGACAAAAGACCTATATTTTCATTCTATCATAGCCATTAAAACGCTTAATCTATATATTGTTTGTTTCAAAAATGAATTTGACAATCAGATTATACCATCAGCTATTAAATTGCAAGACAAGCAAAAAATTGGAAGCATAAAGGTATTATAATTGTTGAAGAAAAAAAAATCAAAGATATGATTATTGTGTTATTTCCCAATCATTTCATGTATACAGTATGTCACATACGTTTTCTTGACCAAACGGCGTTTAATAAGTTTATAATGTATTCCGTTTTTCTCTTTATTTTCAAAAACTTCGTGTTACCGTAGGTGTATAACGACAGAAAGTTTCAACACTTGTAAAATTCTTTTTTTTGTTTTCTAAAATATTATAATTTCTACTTTCTGGCTTTGAATATGATTACACTATTTTGAATCTCGATAAAAAAGAAATTTCTTTAACTCGCCATAGAAAAATTCGACCAGGTTCGACCTCTTAATCACGTATACCATCAGTTAACGCTATTTGTCCTCTTTTCAATCATACAGGTCTCTTTTCCCGAGTGCAACCGATACAAGTACTATGACAATTTGATTCTACATACCTGTTAAGTCCATTTTCCATGATTTCTTTAGTTTATTATTTCAACAATAAGCATAACCTTTTCATTTGTTGACCGTTTTTCTCCAAATAAATTACAATCCGAACAACTTTAACAACCAGACGCTTTTTATTGCTTCCGCCTCACGGCATATTTTTACTTGAGACAGGTAATGCATATTAATTATCAGCTGATAAGACGAGTGCCCGATAATTTGAAAATAATTATGATAAGTAATTAGTCTATTGGGAGGATGTTGGCAGATATCATCTACATCATAGGCCACTACGCGCAGTGCCGTGCTTTTGATATTTCAAAGGAAACTACATGGGGCTCAGTGTGACAAATTCTGAGTACTTTATCTATGGCTATTATATCTATGATGGACCATACAAATTTGGCAAATTTAGATCTGGACACCATTACAAAAGATTTGTATTGCCCATGATTGCATAACCTTCAATAAGATTTTTTTTTAAATATGATGGACCAGAGCTCCAGATAAGAATTCACAAATTGGGGTTTTTACCCACCATTTTTTTATGTAATTGGGTGATAAAGTTTTTTAATTGCATTATCAATTCCAATTCACCCCTCAAGCAAATATCAAATTGGGTTTTTCACCACCAAGCTCCTTAATGTATTGGGTTTTTTCATCAACACAATATTGAATATTTAGGCATGTTATATTCACATTATTTCAACCCCAGATGTGTTTCCATCTTAAATGTGTTTCTTTCTTTGTAGAATATGTGCTAGCTGTTTTATTTGGTTTATTTACTGACGAGCAATTGAACATTTAATTTGTGTCCCGTTTTAAACGTTCTGTCAGTTTTGTATTTTCTCAAAACTTATGTAAACTGCAGCTGGTGTCACTAGTTGGACAGGAACTAATTGCCTTTCTAGATCCCATATGATCACCCTACAGTTTAATTATAGTTGGGGTAGGTGTGGCTAAGTGTTTAGATTTTTGTGTAATATATGTGAAAATTAGGTGCTGTAAGAAAGTTTTGCCAGTCCTTTCACCTATTTGCGAGATCTACTTTTTAATAAAAATAAAAAAGTAGTTTCCAGATTTAAGATATACCCCAAAACCTTGAGGTTTATAGGGTGGTTTATAATGACGGAGACCACATTCTTACAAATAATTCTGCAACATCAAGTAAATAAATGACAATGTTATACTGCACTTGCCAATAAGACAACTATCTTAAGCATCTAGAACAATTAGACCAAAACAAAAAAAGTGTCAAGCTGCATTGACGTAAAAAAACGGATATATGTGTATTCACTCATCAACTAAAATGAAAAAAATAATATATAAACTGTTTTCGTTTAATTCAATTTACATAAATCTGGGTTAAGTTGTCCCTTATCAGAACTTTTGGTTTCCAATGCTTTCAAACTACATATCATGTCATAATTGATTTGGCCTTTCACTTTTTCCAACTGATTTCGTTTTTGACGGAACCCCGTGTTTATCGCTCTAGCAATGTTCTCGTTATGGCCGCTTCCTAAAATCACTAGCTGAGTCTTGTTATCATCATAACTTTCCCTCAGCTATCAAAAAGAAGCCGAAAACATGCTTCTATTCAATATTTTTACCGGACATTTACTTTCGTTTTAATTCATTGTATGTTGCGATAAATCCCGAGCAATTCGAAAAAAAATGACAGCATGTCACACGCTAATTGGATAAACGCCGAGAAGATCGAAATCTTTTCATAAACACGTGTACCTTTTGAGCAACGGAAAATTTCAACAGGGACCCATTACAGCTACTTGATGCAGGGCTCTATTTTTAGAACGAAAGGACATCTCCAATTATAAATATTATAAAAATAGATTTACGCGACGACTGTAATCAAGTAAGGGTAAATAACGCAAACGATAGCGAATAAAAGCGTTAAAAACCCATGTTTTTGGCATATAATTGGGTTTTCCTTTGAATTAATTGGGTTATTGAACCCTGCAATGGGCAATTGCATTGGGTTTTTAATTATTTTTATTGCGTGATCACGCAAATACGCAGCTTATCTGGAGCTCTGATGGACTATTTGATAGTGCTATTAGTGGGCTTTGACCTCAAACCTATGAGGCTATGTATCAAAGGCCCATCGACACCACCTTTCTCAGTATCAGGTCCCTTTTGCTACACGTTCACGCCCTACACATTCGCCCAATAAGTCTGTTCGCAACCCTACACGTTCGTACCCAATTATTTATAGCAATACAAATACACTAATCAAAACATGATCAAGATTTATTCAACACAAACAATGTTGTCAGAATGTCACTTTATCATGTTTATTTTGAAACAATGGAAAAAATATATATTTATAGCAATTCTCTAACCAATACATGATTAAAGATTTATTCAACACAAAAAACATTTTCAGAATGTCACTTTATTTTGAAAACAATGAAAAAAAAATATTTGTAGCAATACACTTACCAAAACTCGATTACAAAATTATTAAACACAAAACCAATAAAAAGGGCGAGAAAGTGAAAGGGGGAGAACATAAATGGGAGCAACGGACCCGGATTCGCTTTTCTCAATCTCATTTTGGGTGGAATTTTGATTGACTTGATTTAATTACCACCAAGTCTTGTAATTTATTTCTTCCAGTGAGTTTGGCATTTCATCGATATTTCATTATGAACAAACTATTGAAAAAATGAAATTATCAGCAAGCATCATATATATGATATAAATCTCATGCTTTCCCTTATTTTTGTCCCAACTTTAAGTATACATGTCACAGACTGTGTGACAGACAATAATAAAAGAGGCAGGCGTTACCTGTGAAAGGGGACAAGTCTGTATACATTAGTTTTTTAACTTCAGAATCTGTTAAAAAAGAAACAGGAATATGGAAACGTTTCCGACGTTGGTCCTGTTGTTAGGGAATTTTTTTGTGACGTCATTTTCAATGTAAACAAAGAAACGCTATCATCAGGTAACGTTTTTTTTCATATCAAAGAATATATAAAATGAAATTGTTATTGTGCTTCTTCCTATATTTTACTAGACTAATAAATATATATTTTACTCAAAGTCTCGTGACAAACGGGACCGGAAGAAAGAAAGAGATTTCTGCGCAGATGTGGGAAACTAAAAAAAGTCTGAAAAAACGAATTTGAGTTCATAAGTACAAAGATTGTTTTGTTTGGTGTTTTTTTATTGATTTTTCTAACGTAATTGATGGTAATTAATATTAATTCAATATTTTTTTTTAGAATAAAAGTGTTCACTTCTATGTATTTAACTGCACACCTACCCTTATTACTGTCGATTATACTTTTAACAATGGATGAAGTGATTCCTATTACCCAATTTGTTTTGGATGAAAAGTTTAAACTTTAGATGCGTTTGAATCAAAATTAAAACAATATCAAGAATCAAATCTTATACAGTAATACAAATGCAGTTCTCGAAAAATTGATACATCAAAAGCAAAGTTTGACAGCAGTGAACTAAAATACTGCGAACTTCTGTATGTAACATCAGTAATGGACGAACATGAAATGATATTAAAAGACAACATAAAACAACTTTACATGTTTCCAACAAAAAATTTGGACGAAAAATATAAAAAACATTTCAAGAGTTGAAAATATTTTTCACCTGAAGCATGACAGACATTTAAAGTGGCTTAAACTTGAAAAAAAGGATATTGCAGATTGGAACTGTTTAGTCTGCAAAACCGACCTGCACATTGCTGCATCATTCGTTGTGATGGCTGCCACGAGTGGTTTCACCAAAAATGCGTCGGCCTAAAAAATGATGTTCCCAAAAGCACATACTGGGTGTGTAGAAACTGTCATCAGTGTAAATAAGATTAAAAAGAAATGTATGCAATATTGTAGCATTGCAGTGTTTACGAATAAAAGTTTTCAAGTTGTATTTTGACTACATACATGTATACATAGTCCCAGCATACATTGAAGTGCATTAACGTAACAATAACAAAGAGTTTTAACATGGGGTATAGACACTTGAATATTGTTGGAGACCATAAGTTGACTTACAGATGTCTTCTCTTTTTCTTGTATTGTTAAGTTGCTGTCAGAGGATTATCAGAGTGTTATGGGTGGTCATTTTGAAAGTTTTTACATAAAAAACTTAGTCTAGGTCATTTGGCAATCAGATAAGTTGGGGAAGTCTTAATTTGGAATTAATTTTTATTGAGAAAGGTTTCTTTTGCCCTGAGGAATTTAAGGGAAAATAATATTATTTGATAATGGGTAAATTTAGGCAGACTGGCTAGAAAAATTGGAATGTTTTATGTTTTTTCATCATTCCTATGTGGGCAAAAAGATAACTATATTGGACAAGAAACAAAATATAAATGAACAAACAGAAAGAAAATGATTTGGAGGAAAACATGTGAAAATGACAAAGATATGTGTTACACTGTACTTGTAATACATGTGCATCAATATTGGATAGTATCATAACTTTCAGTTTACAAATTCTCTCAAATTCAAATCAGTCATTTTTGTTAGCAAGATGGATTGAACGTGCCAATACACACTCATTTCAAAAATTTGCCATTGATGAATTAAGAAATTATTAAGAAACTAATTATAAGGCTAAGGTTCTAACTCCCGTAGGTGATGGAGTTAGCTATTCTTTTTAGTTCCCTTAAGTCATATGCTCCTCAACACTTATAACAAGTAGTTAATCATCCTTGGCTTTGAACATTTGGAGTTTGAGTATTCCTGATGAAGATAAAGATGATGAAAGTAATTCCTAAATATCACTTCAGACACACCAAATTTATAAAATTTTATTTGCATTACTCTCCCCCTTTCCCCCTTCCCTCTCCCCCTTTCTCCCTTCCCCTTCCCTGTCCCCCTTCGTTATTGATTTGACATGTCTGATAAGGAAATACTAGAAATTTTATTATCCTGCTCATGTACAGTGTGCAGAACTCGCCATAATCACAACATGCTTACAGAAATGACTAGATATGAAAAAATGTAAGATATGATTATTTACTTTTCAGTTGAACAAGATGCACAATGATTTTGATTGATAAAAAGATCATATATCTGTTTATAATGGTATAACAGACAGCTGCCTAGTTAACTGACATCATTATGAATACAAGGGAGATAATTTTCATGAGTGTTGCCATTTCCATAGCAGCAGTGTTTCAGTATTATGATTGGTTGTTTATTTCCTTGTTCCTCATGTTTATGACAGCAGTAGGAGTGCTAGGGATATACCTGAGTGTGTCATGGTCCCTTGTTAGAGGAAAACAGTACAAACCTTCCAGTCAGCCTACAGAACCAGCTAACATCAAGGAGTTGTTGGAGAAAATGATGGTAACAGTCTTTTCTTTCATATAAAGTGCTTTGGTATTTAAATCAAATATTGAATTGTTTCCATAGATTTAAGCTATTCCACTTGTACATATGTTGTATCTTTTCTGGCCAAAGGACAGTACCAGCTTGGGCTGTCGTTCATCATCTTTTTCAAAGATCTCCTCCTTAACCACTGAATCAACTGAAGAAATAATTAAAATGATAGATGCTTAGGGTGTGTAGATTATAGTTTGTTAGTTTTATTTTCTGTCCATCAACTAGTATGGCTGCCATGGCTTAAAATAGAACACAAGGGTCAAATGCAAGTTATTGTCATACATGTATATCTTGAAAACGATAAGAGATACAGAAAACAAATTGTTCAAAATTCCAAGATTTTAATACTCATAATCCATTTCACAAAAAATTATCAAACAGCTCCTTTATAGGAGATACTGCCCTTAAACTGACAATTTTTTTACCAATGTTAGCATTTTTGCTTATTAACATGCAAGTATAATAGATACTAGATAGAAAAAAAACGTAAACGCAAAACTGGTCAATCATACAAGATTTTCAAAAATGCCAATACCTCAGAACCATCAATTGATTGCTTATTGGAAGTATTGCCCAACATGCCCATTATCATGATTATGACCACTTTTAACAGGTTTTATCATTTTCATATATTATCTTTAAATCATGAGAATGTTCAGTGCAAAAGTCTACCAAGTAAATATAAATTTTATATAATAGGAAAAGAAATCAGAAACATTAGAAGAACAGAAGAAAGTAGTTGTGTCTCGTAATATTGACAATGCAGTAAGAGAAGTAATGGATTTTGTGATCAGAGATTTTATTTTATCATGGTACACAGAGCTGTCTGTGGATCAAACAACAGCAACAAATGCTATTAAGTAAGTTATTACATCATGTACATGATCAGTGATTTTATGTTATGAGTTATCCCATAGGTGGACTCTGACCTTTTTTTGACATTTTAGTTCATAAGACCCAGACCAGGCTCCTACAGAAATGTTGTGTCTCTTTATTTTGTCAATATATCAGAACTGTAAACAATTGTTATACAAGTTGGAGGTTTAGCTAGCTGTAAAACCAGATTTAACCCACCATTTACCTCAGAAAATGCATTTACCTAGTCAGGAATATGACAGTTGTTTTACATTTGTTCCGTTGGTTGATTTATAAAGTTGAGTGTTTGATTTTGTCCTGTTTTATGGACATCCTCTTTTTTAACTTACCTTGGAAGTTGGTATTTTTGTTAATACTTTTTTGCTACATGAGGTAACAACAAATCAACTGAGGGTTTGGCGCCAACAAATATGTTTAACACCGCCACATTCTGTATATGCCTGTTCCAAGTCAAGAGCCTGTAATTCAGTGGTTGTCCTTTGTTGCTGTATATCATATTTGTTTTTCATTCATTATTTTGTACATAAATCAGGACATTAGTTTTCTTGTTTGAATTGATTTACATTTGTCATTTCAGGGCCTTTTATAGCTGACTATGCGATATGGGTTTTACTCATTGTTGATGGTCGTAAGATGACCTATAGTTGTTAATTTCTGTGTCATTTGGTCTCTTGTGGAGAGTTGTCTCATTGGCAATCATATAAAAATATCATATAAGTTTTACTGAGAAGTATAAAAATCATTTAGCACAAACAAAAAACATCTTTAAATAAAGTCACTAATATCTTTACCAATTTGCTAGCATTACATACAAGATTTTCTTTAAAGGAAATTAAACTTTTAATCACTGTTTAGATTTAACAGTTTGAGATTAAATGATATGATGATAATGTTTCTCTTTTATATTTCTGCTATTGTTCAAACAATGTCACTATTTTTGTGGGTTGTTCTAGAGAATTTAAGTACAGAACTGTCAAAGATAGATTAAGTGACGGTAATCTCTCTCTGTCTCTCTCTCTTTGTAGAAATGACATATGTGTTGTCTTAGAGAATTTAAGTACAGAACTGTCAAAGATAGATAAAGTGACGGTAATGTCTCTCTCTCTCTCTCTCTCTTTGTAGAAATGACATGTGGGTTGTCTTAGAGAATTTAAGTACACGACTGTCAAAGATAGACAAAGTAAAAGTGATGACCCAGGACGTGATGGAACTTACATATCAACATTTCAACAAAATACGCCTATGTTCTGCAAGGTAATTTACAACAGTCACTAAACCAAGGATTTTGAAGGAAAATTAAAGAAGCCCTACAGTCCTACTTCTTACCTGCGTGTGAAGGTATGAAAAGAGGTCTAGTAACCGCCAGACTTGCCGTCCATCCTAAAGATCTTAGGTATAAACTTCCATCAACGTTTCATTTGCTTCCATGGATGGGAATGATTTTATATTTGGTCTTCAGCTTGATAATGATGAGTTGTAGAGTGTACATGCAGCCACTTCCTGTTTGCCGATTTTTGAAATTTGATTGATTTCCTGTACAAAACTATATGAGAAATAAGATAAAAACTTTACAAATATAGATCATAAAAGCATATAACAAAAATGACATGTTGAGAATAAGTGTATGCATGAAAATAAATTAATTCCGAGGTGAAAATTAAATGATTTAAGTTAAAATACAACAATAACTTATTAATGTTTGTTATTTTATTTCTCAAGCAAGGGACCAGATCAAAGGAAATTTATTCTCCATGCATGGTTAGCTAATGAGGACACTGAACTAGAATTCCTAAGAAAATTGTGTGATGCTTTTCTGATCGTTCTTCTACCCAGCCACTATAGAGGTTGTATAAGTCTACGACATTTACTGAGGGAAATATTAACAGGGTCTGGTAAGTCATGTGAACATTATACTTCTATCCAGGCATTATACAGTTTGAACTTGTACAAAATTGACTGCAGGAAATATTAACATTTCGTTATTCATGTATCCATCATTTCTCAGCTCATCCATAAAATAGCAAACAATCCTTTAGAGAGTTGCTGCTTACAAGGAATCTTTTGAACCAAGAGTTCCAAGTGGTAAAGTTAAAGGTCACCCCTTTGAATGATAAAGTACACCATTATGAGTTGGTTGACCTAATGGAATGTCTGTGTCACAGATATGTTCCAATTGTCATAACCACAATCCAGTACTCTTTTCCTCGATTGTGACATCACCAAATGAGACTTATCACTAAATTTGTATTTACCATAAGAAACACAACAGATGGCACTAGTGGAGCAGGATCTGCCTACACTACCAGATCACTTGAAATAACTCCAAGTTTTTGGTGGGGTTCATGTCGCTCATTCTTTAGTTATCTATGTAGTGTTTATAGAACTTGTTAGTCTTTTTGTCGTCTTTCGTATTTTTCCATTGGGTTGTCAGTTTCTCTTTGAGTTTTGAATGTCCCCTTGCTATCTTCTGCCTCTATTACATTAACTGACAGTATAACCAACATCTGGTAAGTGACCTGTTCCACATTAAAGTGATCTGTTCCACATTAACTGACAGTATAACCAACATCTGGTAAGTGATCTGTTCCACATTAACTGACAGTATAACCAACATCTGGTAAGTGATCTGTTCCACATTAACTGACAGTATAACCAACATCTGGTAAGTGACCTGTTCCACATTAACTGACAGTATAACCAACATCTGGTAAGTGACCTGTTCCACATTAACTGACAGTATAACCAACATCTGGTAAGTGATCTGCTTCACCCAGCCATAATTGTCAATGACCTTTAAACAAACATCTGGAGGTTAAGTGTCTAAACTTTATGACATGCTTTCTATTAATTACCTTTAGAGTCTAGACAGAATGTGAATGAATTTTACCGGAATTTTCCAAAATCTGCCATCATCATAGAATTCATGTACATTTGCACATGAAATTTTACAGTGCAAGTAGAGGTCGGTCAATTTAAAACGTATCCAATCGTATCAGGTGCGTTGACATATACATATCTGGGGACATACTAAAATAATATGTTGTACTTTCTTTGAGTGAAATATCGTTGAATATCTGTGGGAGCTGCCCTTACGAGGTACGTGTCACTATGTGTATAACAAATATAAATGCCCAAGTTTAATTATCTCGCGTTCGGAACATAACCAATACGAGTGCACCTTATTTTGAGCCACACAGAATGTCATTTAACTTAAGATTTCCAAATGGTACATTTCTAAATGTAAGGTAATGCAAGATCAAGAAATGAAGCAAACTCAACTCCTTACTGGAAATGGTAAAAACCATAAAACCATAAAACAGGCATGAAATAACAAAAAGGGGGAGACAAACCATCACAAAGGTAGGGGCGGTAAATGATTTATTTGGCCTCCAATATCAAGTCCATTATGTCAAAACAAAAAGTACTTCAAGTTAATGAATACAGGTGAGAAAGTAAAATGGAACGATTTGTAGAACTTTGCTATTGAAACTCAATGGCCAGGCTTGCATAGGATTTTTTTTCTGTGTTGCATTTGGTAATTTTTACTGTCTTTGTGCCACTGCCCCATATCTGTTGTTTTTTTACAAGCCTACGTCAGCTAATGATAGAAACCACTTTTCGTAAAACACCGCCATTGCCAATCCAGTAAAACTGTATAATTGTTTTAGTTATAGGTTTCCATGACATTAGGAGAATAAAGTTTAAAGAGTTTTGATACGTAACATAGACTTTATCTCAGGATCAGATATTGTGTTTTGTTATATCTCCAGATACCTAAACGTCAACATATCATATATGAATGGATACGTTTTAAATATTGACTGACCTCTAGTAGTAAGTAATATTATAGGTATGCTGCTTGAAACTATTTTCACATAAAACAGGTAAAATGTTTTAAGAATTATGATTATTTTTAACTTGCAGTTGTAAAACCAGCAGTAGACATGCTCTGTGACCCCGATTACATAAACAGGAAGTTAATAAGTTACATTGATTATCGTCAGCGACTGTCAGAGGATACGAAGAAGACATATACCTATGCTGCCACCTATGAAGATTTTATAAAACTGATTGATAAGTGTAATGATATAGAACAACTTAAACAAATCAGGTAAGGCCAAATAAGAATATGTGTGGTTCCTGCTTCCCACTGAATGACCCTATTTTAAACCCCTGAATGTGAAAAAAGTATGATATGAACAGTTATTTATTACCATGCTCCCGCAAGGGCAAATAAGAATATGTGTGGTTCCTGCTTCCCACCGAATTACCCTATTTTAAACCCCTGAATGTGAAAAAAAGTGTGATATGAACAGTTATTTATTACCATGCTCCCGCAAGGGGGACATTAAGGATTACCCTTGTCTGTATGTCCATCTGTACATCCGTCCATACATCCCAAAACTTTAGTTTGCCGTAACCAAATATTATGAAACTTAAACACAATGCTTATTACCACCAAACACAGCACAGTTCAAGTTTGAATTTGGTAGTTGTCTCTCTTACTGTTCTTAAGTTTTGTCCCTTTATAAATGGAAAAAAATTGGTGAATTTTCTGTTTCCGCACTTAAACATAATCAACCAAATGTTATGAAACTTAGACGGTGCTTATACATGTAACTACCAAACACATATCAAGTTTGATTTAGGTGATGTCACTTTCACTTGTGTTTTGCCCCTTTACTAAGGTTCAAAGAAATCAAAATATCAATAGTTTTGAATTAGTACATGTACTCTTGCATAAATACAAGCGTGGGCATCTGTGTCACTTTCTTCCTTTATTTTACAGATACAACATCCTAACAGAAATAATTCATGCTACTACTATAGATAATCTGAAGAAAGAACAAGGTCCTATATCTGGTATGCAGTTTATTATCTACATACACCCCTCTTAAAGGGGTATAAGTCAGATCGTCACCTGGTTAATTCAGTACCTATAGAAGAAGTCAAATCGACACCTGGTCAAATCAGCATCTAGTCAGATCAGCACCTATTTAAAGTCATTTCGACATTGGCACCTAATATAATTTTTACTGTTTTCTTTCCTTTTTATTTGAGAATAGTCTTTCGTTTTTTTTATATATATTTTTTTTTTTGCCAAACAATTTTAGAGGTTCATTTTGTTACATACATCGTTAAAAACTCAGCACATGTATTTAAGCAGGAAGAATACACAATAAACAATAATCAGTTGGCTTTTAGTTTGAAGTTTTCTCAATATTCTATTAATAATGTTTAGATTGGTTATCACTTTAAAACTTATGAACTTTGTTTTATATAGATTAGACCATTGGTTTTCCTGTTTGAATTGTTTTACACTAGTCATTTTGGGGCCGTTTATAGCTTGCTGTTTGGTGTGAGCCAAGGCTCCGTGTTGAAGGCCGTACTTTGACCTATAGTTGTTAACTTTTTATACATTGTGACTTGGATGGAGAGTTGTCTCATTGGCATTCATACCACATCTTCTAATTTATATTATATGATAATTACAATAACCTATTTGTAGTTTTTGATCTTTCATATTTAAAAAGAAAGTAAATAAAGAAGCCATTACACAAGCTGTTGTTTAATCCACAGATGAGGATAACAACTTATTTTATTATTGTAATTTAAATTGGATTTTTTCCCTGCCTTTCCAGTCTACTTGTATAAAATGAATAACGTTGGCACCAATCTTGTAGCCGATGTTTACTAGTAATGTGCAGTTGTCATGAAATAGAGGTTCCTTTATTATATAAGTTCAAATAGGAACAGATAGTATTGCCCCATTGATTATAACAAAGTTAAAAATTTCCATTTGGAACTTCTGTTACGCACAACAAATAATGTTGAAACCTCGAGTGAAAATATTAAAAAAAAATCTTGAAAAACGGAGTCTTCGATAGTTTACTTGCAAAGCATAATGTTAATTTTGGGTGCCGAAATAACTACCTTTGGTGCCGAATTAACCAGGTCCCGATTTAACTAGTTTCAAAAATGACTATAATGGGTGCAGATTTGACCAGGTGCCGAAGTGACCAGAATTCCTCTTAAAGATAATCAATGTTTACATTTGAATCAGTGTTGTACATTTCTTTATGAACAAAGAAATAATTTGTTGAGTATAAACACTTGAGAAGAGAAACTTTTGGAAAATTGAAAATATATCTGAAATGAATCAGCAAGAAAGGTTATTGTAGATTTATCTATTTTCTTCAGTGCCAATTTTCGTGGATTGAGGAAAACTTGCTTTTTTTTCGTGGATATTTGAATTCGTGGTTTTGCCAAAATATGCATATTCCTATATATAGTTTCTGTTGAACTTTTAAATTTATGGTTCCCAATGTACCCAAGAAATAAAAAGAAATGGTATCCTACAAATAATAATGAATCTGCAGTAGTCATTTTACAAGAATGAAGTTCTGCTTTTAATATTTTTCTTGTTAAACAAGGTTCTAAAATTCATGTCGACTTCCACTGTTGAAAAATTAGTTTAATATTAACTCATACTCTCAAACTTTGTTTATCTAAGATAAAATGTGACTGGAAAATGTTAAAATCTGTGAAGTAATAGTGGAAGTATTTGTTCCTGTCACATCACAAATAGAGCTTAACAAAAGTTAGTATTTCCCATACCCATTTCTAAGATGGATTATAAAACTTCCCAATACACTAAACCTGAAGATTTCTTTGATAAGAAGTTGACCTTTTCTTTACTACAGGACCATTAATTTTTAACAAGGTTTCAACTGTATATCCTTATAGAAAAACTTTACTATATGACTTGTTAAAAATGATATATTTTACAGATAGAACGAGTCCCACCCCAGGCATTGGGAAAGGAGAATTACTAAAGGCCAGGAACCTGAAGAGATATACCAATCAGGTTTGTGTAATGAAATGTTGTGTTTGGAATTGACAATACATGTATATAAATGACCTTCAGAATAAAAAATAAAGATAAAGGCAGAAGGTGCCAAGGAGACAAAGAAAAAACTTCAAGGCAATGTAAAATAAAGAAAGGACAAATAACTGTCTGCCAAGCACTACATAGCAAGCTTAAGTTTGAGCAACATGAACCCAAAGCAGAGGTGATTTCAGATGCACCAGATATGTCAAATTCAGTGATAGTGAAATAGAATATTTGTGATATATAGATCAATTATATTTTCTATAAAGTTGCATTTATACTATCAGTACATATAAGTTTTAGGTCCCCTAGGTCATGGTCTAGCGGCTTTAAATTGAAAAGCAATTTTCAATATTATGTTTTCTGCTTAAGTTAGTTTGATATGATAGGAAATACTTGTGATGGGATCAATGATATTTTCTATGAAGTTGCATTAATATCAGTTCGATGACTATTTTGAAGTCCTGTCCCCTAGGTCAGGGTCCAGTGACTTCGAATTAATATGCAATGTTGCTGTCAATCAAATTGATTTTTATGAATTTTCTGTCGACAGGCGAGACATATCTTTGTGTCAACACTTTATTTGTTAATTTGTTAATTGTTTTTAGCATAAATATAAAGGACTTTAGTTTTCTTGTTTGAATTCTTCTACATTTTGTCAATCATTGATGTCAAAACCTTTTATATTTAATATACATAATGGGTTTATCTTATTGTTGATGGTTGTATAAATGCTTACATCTATGTCGTTTGGTCTCTGGCGAATAGTTCTCTCATTAGCAATCATACAAAATCTTCCTAAGTCCTTTCAAAGTAGTAATCTTTTGTTGATATGTGAAGACAAAAAGAAAAGAGTTTATTCTGCCAAAGCCAACCTGACAACCCATTTCCCCATAAAAACCCTAAGAAAACAAAAAGAATTTATCCTGCCAAAGCCAACCTGACAACCCATTTCCCCCTTAAAACCCGAACAAAACAAAATGAGTTTATCCTGCCAAAGCCAACCTGACAACCCATTTCCCCCTTAAAACCCGAACAAAACAAAATGAGTTTATCCTGCCAAAGCCAACCTGACAACCCATTTCCCCATAAAAACCCTAAGAAAACAAAAAGAGTTTATCCTGCCAAAGCCAACCTGACAACCCATTTCCCCATAAAAACCCTAAGAAAACAAAAAGAGTTTATCCTGCCAAAGCCAACCTGACAACCCATTTCCCCATAAAAACCCAAACAAAACAAAAAGAGTTTATCCTGACAACCCATTTCCCCCTTAAAACCCAAACAAAACAAAAAGTATTTATCCTGCTTAAGCCAACCTGACAAACCATTTCCCCATAAAAATCCAAACAAAACAAATAGTAGTCTTTATATAAAGAGCATAATCTATAAACAATTCATTTTATTTTTAGTTGTCAGTTGCCAAAACCAAATCTGAGAAGAGATTACACTACCTTGGGGGTCCAGAATATAAAGCTTATGATCTTCAGGATGATACCATGGAAACGAGTCAGAAAGTAGGTCACTATGATATAGTTCATACAGAATACACAATAAAAAGCTTTTGATTCACACAATGATGCTGTGATACAAGTTTTGAGAAGATAACTTATATAAACAAAATATGCAGATGAAGATTAAACTTGCAGAGAAATTTCATGAATACCTTTAAGTAAATGAGTCACTGAGATTTTTCTTCTGGTAAACGTATAGCCTGATTTTAAGGTATGACTTATCTGGTCAGTAGTGCATGCTATTGATTTAAAATTTTCAGTTTGCGAATTTTGTGACTAACAAATATGAGAGATTCAACTTTCTTTAAAAGAAATATTGACCATAGCTAATTGTGGCAATGGAAATGAATTATAATGTTTATTCATAAAATTCACATTGACAACTGATTAAATACTGTTTAAAGAAATAAGTGAACTATTTGCAACAAGTTCAAGGACTTTTTTCAATTTTTTTGGACTTTAACTTGGCTGTCTCTATCACTATTACACCAAAGGACCAAGTGAGCTTTTCTCATCAGTTGGCGTCAGTAGTCTGTCATCATCATCTGTCTTCGTCATCCATTAACTTTTACAAAAATCTTCTCCTCGGTGACTGCTGTACCAAATTTAACCAAACTTAACCACAATCATCATTGGGGTATCTAGTTTAAAAAATATGTCGGATGACCCGACCTGCCAACCAACATGGCTGACATGGCTAAAAATGAAAATAGGAGTAAATTGTAAGATTTGTCTATTATTTTGAAATCCGTTTTGAATATAGAAAATCTGACAGAGCTGAAATGTTCATAATGTTGAATTCTACCAATTGTCCATTCATGTCAAAACTGTCAGGGGACTTCTTATAGGAGTTATATTAAATGACAAATTTTACCATTTTTTTAATTTTTGCCTATTATCTTGAAAACTATAATAGATGAAGAGAAACTTTCAGATGCAAAAATGATCAGCAAGAAAAGATGTACAAAATAAGTGTCTTAAGTCTTTATAAGAGTTATTGCCCTTTGATGACGTTTTTTTACCATTTTTTTGCGTTTTTGCCTTATAACCTATAAATTGAAATAGATCTATAGAAACTCAAATTAGCAAAAGTAATCAGCAAGGCAAGATCTACAAGAACACAATATGGAGGAAATCGTCAGACGACTCCTTATTTTAGTTATTGCACTTTAATGACGATTTTTACCAATTTTTTTGTATTTTGCCTTATATGATATGACTTATTATAGATAAATAGAAACTGTAAATAACAAAAATGATCAGCAAGGCAAGATCTACAATCAAAGTCAAATTTTGCAAATATAGTTAATAGACTATCATTATAGGAGTGATTACTCTTAAACGAGGATATTTTTTTATCCTCTTTTGTGTTTTGAGCATAAACTTATAAAGAAACTAAACAGACAAAACGATCAGCTATACAAGATCAACAAAAAAGAGATTTTTGTCATGAATTCTATTCTATTCTACAATGTTGGAGAGTGAATTTTGTTGAATATGCACATAGACCTAGGTCAGCGACACAGGCTCTTTAGAGCTTCTAGTTTGTTATTATTACATATATGATTAGTTAAAGGGGCATTAGCTGTCAAATTCATGTTCACCAATTTGACTCAAATTCTCATATGTGATTTATAACATACTTAAACGTATATACAAATCAATAAAAGTCTAAAATAAACAATTTACGATGCACGGACTCGATAAAGGTATCAGCATTTCGTGTGTATTTTAGTCTAGACGCCATCTGATTAACCATCTAGGTGACCTCCGAAGACTGCTGACGGTCATATAACCCGATATAAACATAAACATAGATATAAATAGATATCATACTCATGCAATTGGATTTTTCTAGGTCTGTTTGATTTCATATTATAGATTTAAAACATATGTTAATATTCATTTTTACCTGTATAAGAATGAGTTTTTGTAGATCGAATCAGTCAACCAAATGGTTTGCCCTTGTTTTACTTCCAATGTTGACATTCTTTTCTTTTTAATAACTGAACACGCCTAGTTCATGCGTAACCCATCTCTAGCTAAGGGGTTCAATTGAAGTTCACATGAATACGGATTTAATGAGGTCGAATTATTCACTTGCAAGTGAATAATTCATTGCGATGTTTCTTTGCTTTTTTTGACAAATCTGAACCAAACTGGCTGCTAAAAGTGAATTATTGCGTTACTATTTCACTTTCATTAATGATTGAACAAAAAAAATCCTATTTAATTTTTTTCTATATCTCTTTAAGTATGTATAATTATTTTTTAGGTGTTGACATTTCAAGAGATAATGGACAGTCCCAGTGGTAGGGAAGAATTCTCCAGATATTTAAAGAGAACTGATAGTGATTCATTGATGGGGTACGGTAGTAGATTAACTTTTTTGCTCTAAATTTGAGGAAAATATTAGAAATAGTTCATATCTGTGGAAAAATAAGTCGATAATATGATTTTCAATGGAAACTGAAAGGAGTGGAACATGAGAAGTTCACAAATTCACCTCCATATATGCAATCTCAGTTACAAATGGCTCATTTTTACCTCGATACAGAACACATATATTTTTGTAATGATTATATTTTGGTTGTTTTAAACATGAAAATAATTTTGATGATGGTAGTTTAAAGTTGAAATGACAATTTTGTGTGAAAATTAGGTGACCTATGAAATGAGTTAAATTATATAGAGAAAACGTTTGGGAGGGTATGAAAGTAATCGTTAGAGGCAGGTGATCACTGAAACGGGGTGACCCTAAAGGCAGGTTTGACTGTATGTGTTGATGGACAACAAAGCTGTACCAAAATACAAAGTGATCACTTATGTTGTCTTGGATAGTGTGCCTCATCCATTTCGCTATTTAATTTTGTTAATCAGTAACTTCTCAAAAAAGGCTGGAGAAAATTCAACCAAACTTTCATAAGGATATGAAAATGTGTACCTGGTGCTTTGTCAGGTTCTCCATACCAAAATATGAAATTTCTGTGTATATTATTTCGAGAATACAGGTGACAACTCTTCCTCAGAAGACTCACATTTTATCCTTTGTAACTCCTGAGGATATCATATTTTATTTTTTTAAATTCTTTTCGAAATTTATTTTCAAATTATTATTTGCAGGTTTTGGAATTCTGTTGAAAAACTGAAGAATATGGACAAGGTTTGTTAAAGTAATATTTTCATACACTTTTGATAATGAAGAGATATTTACATAACTTAATTTTTCCCCTAGTTTTCCCTTGCCTCGAAGTGGTGCAGTTTATCTGGCTTGTGAGATCTCTCAAGCTCCCCAAATTTTAATAAAATTTATGTCAGCAATGTCTTGGAGAAGTTCAAAAATCAGTGCTGATAAACTATATGCCCCTTGGATTATTTATTATATTTATAATTGCATTGTAAGCACTTTCAAGCCTACATTTGTTTATACGATTTTATGAAGTTTAAATCAATGGTTAACACCAGTAACGTCTCAGATGAGTAAGAAAATCAGAGCAGGTCAATTTTTTTTTACAAGAGTTATTTCCTTGGTAATTTTAATTCTGTAAAAATTGCATTTTAAAGCCCATAATCTTTGAAGAGTTTAATAATCAGCTTCCATCAACTATTTAAGAGGAGTTATGACCCTTGGAAGCAAATATTTTATGTAAAATTGCATTTCGAGCGATCTCACTCATTACACCCTTGTAGGATATTTAGAGCTGTTCCAGATGTAGATGCATGGAAGAAGATGGGAGACACTTTTATTAGACCCCAACCACCCATTCATTTTAATTTTACTTATAATTCTTTGAATAATAAAAAAAAAACCTGATGAATGCTTCATACATCTGTCAACAATAGCAAGATTTATGTTTACAAAAATAACAACCAGAAATATTTCAAACATTTATAATATTCATGTACAATACTGTAGAAATTACATCTAGATTAAGGTTGAAATATATCTTCTACTTTCAGAAACTACAGCACCATCAAGCTAGTGAAATATATCAACAGTACATAGCAAGCAGCAATAGTATTGTAAAACTGGATAAAACTATCATCAAAGGGATGGAAGCTTTTATGTTGGGTAATCAGGTATGTGTTTGTGCCAGGATCTTGTTTGGAGAGTGATGAAGTCAGTGCTATAGATAAAACTATCATATTTTAATTTGAGGCAGGTGTTACCTGCAAAGGAAAATGTGGTGCATATAACTTGAGTCTGGTATTATTCTTTCGATAACCAAACAAAAAATTGTAACCTACCCTTAAATTACCTCCCTTTGATAATCATTGTACCTATTATATTGTTGGTATTGTTGTTAGGACAACAATATGTCTGCCTCCATCTAACCCAGAAAGAGAGGCAATAGATACCAAAGGGACATTAGATTCATAAGTAGAAAATAAACTGACAACGTCATGGCACAAAAAGAAAAAGACCAAAAAACAAACAACAGTTCACAAAACACAAATTACAACATAGAAAACGAAAGACTGAGCAACAACTTGGAAAGAGGACGGGATTGGTATGCATATAAGAAAGCAAGAAATGGAAACACTTAAAAATTCAATATATTTAAGGAATGACTGTAATATTTTTTCTGTCTATGAAGAAATAACATCAAAAATGTGGTGCACTCTGAATAACCTGTGTAGCGTATTATTTCAAAGTTTGCACCACATTTTTGATGTTATTTCGAATGGACAGAAAAAATATTACAGTCATTCCTTATAATTTAATTCTAAATTCCATTTTAAGCCCGAGTAAATCATGAAAAAACAGTTTGTTAAAGTTTGTGATTATGTTAATTTTAGGGGAACCACTTCTGGTAAATCAATGATATTTGGTATGCAGTTGAACATATTTCATTACATATGTTGCATTACATTTCAGGGACCAGAGAAGTTTTATGAAGGTCAAGTGACCATTGAACATATCTTACAAACCCAGCATTATCCGTCATTCCTTGTGAGTGATATATATAATAGATATGTCAGAAGTTTAGAGGATGGTACTCTCGATGCTAAATCTGACTCAGCTAAAGGTTTGTTATACAGAATATTTATTATTATACACCCTGCAGACAAAGTTTAGAGGTATAGTGAAATCACTCCATCTGTCAAAACTGTTGATTCTTTTGTCCAAATTAAACCAAGCATATTATTAAAGATTATGATTTATTGTCTTTGCAATATGAAGGATCCCCTATTAACATGCCTATCATTAAGGAAAAAATTATATCGAATCAAACAGGTAATTGATGATAAAAAAAGTGGGATAAGAGGGGGGAGTATTTTTATTACTTTTCATATATTTCTTGTTATAACCATTAATTGGATATGATGATAGTGTGTCTTATCTAGAATAAATCTGAAATCAGTGACTCAGGGATGATATTATTTTGAGTTCATACAAACTGTCTATTTAGTTCTGTAGGCATTAATTATCTAATTTACTGCTTAAAAACAATATATTGATTTGGATCAAATTGTATTTGAACTTTTAAGTCTAATTTGTGATTTCTGCCAAATGTCATTATTCTCTCCAGGCCCTATGGCTTCCTGCACCAATAAAACCTGCTCACCATGATAAAGCCATTAGTGCTGAAAGTGGCAGTAAACACCAAAAGTCAATAAATCAATCAAATAGATGACCATGGCTTACAACTGTTGGTCTGCAGATTGACATGAGGATGCTTGCATTGACTTTTTAGCTCACCTGGTCCAAAGGGCCAAATGAGCTTTTCTCATCACTTGGCGTCCGTCATCGTCGTTTGTCTTAAACAAGCAAAAATGATTGTTTGTCTTAAACAAGCAAAAATTATCAGCAAGACAAGATCTACATTTAAGACAATACGGAGGAAATTTTACCAATGACTCCTTATTGAAATTATTGCCCTGTAATGACGATATTTACCATTTTTTTGCATTTTGAATTGTATGATAAAAGTATAATAGATAAATAGAAAATTTAAATAACAAAAATGATCAGCAAGGCAAGATCCACAAACAAGTCAAATTTTGCCGATATGGTTGTTAGACTGTCAATCTTCATAGGAGTGATTGTCCTTTATTAAATGAGAGTTTGTTTACCCTCTTTTGTGTTTTGAGCAAAGACTTAAGAAGATACAGAGAAACTAAACAGACAAAATGATCAGCAATACAAAAAAGATTTTTTTGTCTTGATATCTATTCTTGTCTACAATGTTGGAGAGAGTCCATTGTTGATTATACACATACACATAGACCTAGGTGAGCAACACAGGCTCTTTAGAGCCTCTAGTTTGAGATGATAGTATTGTTATTCTACAGATTACTTGCTGTTTGAGCCCAAAGACCATTTTGTTGATCCTGAGGATGAAGATGAAGAAATGTTTGCCAGTCAGTCCTACGAGGCTCAGGCGAGACTCCAACAGCTGGACGAGAAAATAGAGAATAAAACCCAGGCTTTACATGCAATGAGGGCCACAAAGACCACAGCAGCTGATGACTCTAAGGTAGGGTATTTAAATAGAAAATAGGGGATAAAACCCAGGCTTTACATGCAATGAGGGCCACAAAGACCAGTGCAGCTGATGACTCTAAGGTAGGGTATTTTTAAAAATAAAAAGTAGGGGATAAAACCCAGGCTTTACATGCAACGAGGGCTACAAAGACCACTGCAGCTAATGACTCTAAGGTATGAAATGTACAAAAACTCACCATATATAGACTCAACTGACTGAATAAAATGATACTGTAGTGAAATCTTGTTTATTAGACAGGAGTTATTTAGTCAGGAAACACAATACAATTTAATTAGATGGCTGTATAAAGGTAAAAAACAATCTTTAATTAACGACATGTTGTTACATCTTATAACAAACCACCAATCATGCAGAGTTTAGAAGGATTTGTTCATAAAATCTACAGAAATTTTAAGATATTCCATCAACACAAACTCTTAAATAGACTAAAAACCAGAACAGCAAATGACAAGCCTCAGCCTGCTCAGGAAATAGGAAACCACATGTGCATGCTTATGTTCAGTCAAAACAGATGAGAATTATACTTTCAGAAAGAAAAAGTAGAAAAAGAAATAGAAAAGGAACTTGAGAATCTAGAAATGGAGAAAAGAATGAGAGAGGCTCACATACTGAGGACCAGGACCTGGATAGAAAACCAGGGACAATGGAGGGTCCATGTATATGGTGCTGAGGTTAGTTTTTAAATTACTTCACCTATTTCAAGTCTGAAATGGTACTATTTTATAAGTGAATGAATACAAAAGTTTTACCCAGTTGCCTACTAAGAATGATGTTAATTTTTATCATTAAAACGACACTAATTCATAAATGTTATGCTGTATAGCTATTGCATCAAATACAAGAATAACAAATTCTTTATTCAAAGAGGGTTAACATGGTAAGTAACTACAAACGAATCTTCCCTGAGGCCGTACAACTATGTGGCAGGGTTAAACATGTTATGGTTTGAAAACCGAAACAGTTGAATGTTTTTTTTAATGAAAGCTTAAAAGAATCTTAACATACCAAGCCTTCTTCAGTTAGTAGAGGAACAAGATAAGAAGATACTGGTTTATGTTTTTATCTTCTTCAGTTAGTAGATGAACAAGATAAGAAGATATTGGTTTATGTTTTTATCTTCTTCAGTTAGTAGAGGAACAAGATAAGAAGATATTGGTTTATGTTTTTATCTTCTTCAGTTAGTAGATGAACAAGATAAGAAGATATTGGTTTATGTTTTTATCTTCTTCAGTTAGTAGAGGAACAAGATAAGAAGATATTGGTTTATGTTTTTATCTTCTTCAGTTAGTAGAGGAACAAGATAAGAAGATATTGGTTTATGTTTTTATCTTCTTCAGTTAGTAGAGGAACAAGATAAGAAGATATTGGTTTATGTTTTTATCTTCTTCAGTTAGTAGAGGAACAAGATAAGAAGATATTGGTTTATGTTTTGGTTGTTTATTTAACTGGAGGAGATGAAGGCAGCCAGAATCTACAGAACAGTTCAAATGGATGGACTGTATCTAGGAATTTAGCAGAATTCCATACTCTGAATGAACAATTGTGTCAGGTACATTTTAGGTGTATAGTAATCAATTATTGTGTGTATAGATATATCATCAATGTTTTGAATAAGTTTAAATGTAAGAACTGATGACACTTGAAAAATGTAAATGATCTGTAAAATTGAACACCTCATTTCGTGTTGGATTTTGTTGGATTTTTGTGAAAAATATATCAAACATTTATATCTATATCATTAACGGGAAGCTTAATACAAAAATTTATGACAAAAGAGATGATTTTTCATTTTCTATCGTTAATTATCCATTTTTAGATGGTGATGTTCCCTTGTCACCATCTTATGGTGTTTATATATCTCAACTTGTACGATTCGCTCGTGTATGTAACAACGTATTAGATTTTAGCGAGAGAAATTTATATATTACTGAAAAATTATTACACCAGGGTTTTCGATATCATAAACTAGTCAAAACATTTACTAAATTTTATCATCGGTATAAGGACATAATTCGTAAATATAACTCAACATGCAGACATCTTATACGTTCGGGTATTTCACATCCAATCTTTTATGGTAATATTCTTTACAAAGCACAAAAATGTCAGTATTCACCTCAAAAGCTAACAAAACCTTTAAACAGACTTATTAAGAAGGGATATAGTTACGATACTGTTGTCAGTTCATTAAAAATTGCATATTTTGGCTTTAATATTGATTCACTTATAGGGTCTTTGCATCGGAATTAAACATATTTATTCTAAAACCAGTTGTTGGCATGACACGGGTTATGTTCTTCTCATATATTTTATGACGGTATAATACTAAACCCCTAACAGGAGGGATTGTGCCTGATATTCATATGATGAAGACATAATCTTTCAATCAGTTTAATTGAGGTCTGGAGCTGGCATGTCAGTAACTGCTAGTAGTCTGTTGTTATTTATGTATTATTGTCATTTTGTTTATTTTCTTTTGTTTCCTATTCTGACATCGGACTCGGACTTCTCTTAAACTGAGTTTTACTGTGCGTACTGTTGTACGTTTGTTTTTTCTACATTGGCTAGAGGTATAGGGGGAGGGTTGAGATCTCATAAAACATGTTTAACCCCGCCGCATTTTTGCGCCTGTCCCAAGTCAGGAGCCTCTGGCCTTTGTTAGTCCTGTATCATTTTTAATTTTAGTTTCTTGTGTATAATTTAGAGTTTAGTATGACGTCCATTATCACTGAACTAGTATACATATTTGTTTAGGGGCCAGCTGTAGGACGCCTCCGGGTGCGGGAGTTTCTCGCTGCATTGAAGACCCATTGGTGGCCTTCGGCTGTTGTCTGCTCTATGGTCGGGTTGTTGTCTCTTTGACACATTCCCCATTTCCATTCTCAATTTTATATGAGCACTCAAAATGAAAATATTTAGTAGAGTTATTTCCCTTGAACAAATAAATTATTTGCTGCGGTTGGGGGGAAATTGAAAAACAGTTCTTTTAAAGTCCCATGGTGAAAGCTTGTAATTAGTCAAATCCCTAAGGGATCAAAATATATAAAAGCATGTGGAACACTTAAAGATTTATATCAAGGTTCAATTGTGACACACTCGCTTGATAAGGAAATTATAACTAAAGCATATAGGCTTTGATAGTTTCTGCTCTAGATCTAGATATTTTCCAGAAGTAGATAAAGATATCTGTATTTGAGTATTTTAAAAACGAATCATGATTTACATAAATTTCCATTTTAACATGGCTACTTTTAGTTTTATTTGTTTTATAGATAGGTCCCTGGTTGAAGAAGAAAGACATTCCATCAGCAGGCAGATTTACCACCATCGACGACAAGTTTATAGAAGAGAGTAAAAAGACACTCAGTAGTTACTTAGAAGTAAATACTTTTAATATGTGTATAGTTTTATGTCTTTGATGATTAAAATAAGTTACATGAAATTTTCTTACCATAATTTTAAAAGTGACAAAAGCTCATAAAAGATACCAGGCTTTGTCAAGCAGTTAGGATTTTAAAACATGATTAATGATTTGTCTAATTAGAACTAGGAAAGAGAAATTTAAGAAATTCTTTTCTATTGAAAGGCTTACCATATCATATATATGAAGAACATTGTTCTTTACAGAACAATTATTTATATAGTAAAGTAAACTTTTATTTACAGAACTAGTATTGTTTTAGTTTCTATCAATAATTATTCCAATTAAAAAAGTATAAAAGTGAAAATACAGCAGAATTAAAAGAATTATAAAAGTTCAATCCCCATTCTCCAATTAACTTTATTATAGCAGTAAAATGAAATGTTGTATAAGGGAGACAATTCTGTATTCTTTCCTTTTTCATGCCCCCACCGTAGGCAACAGAGGCATTAAGTGTTACCTTTGACCGTCCTTCTGTCCCTCCTTCCGTCTGTCTGTCCTTCTGTCCATCCCATTTCCTTTTCGCACTCTTACTGAAGTTTGCCTCATGGAAATTTTATGAAACTCATACACAATGCTAAGAACCAAACTGGCAGACAGAGTTCGAATTTGGGCAGTGAGTCCCTTACCATTCTAGAGTTATGATCCTTATAACTTGGTACTTGCAAATATTTTCTTTTCCGCACTCAAACTCAAGTTAATCTCATCCAAATTTTATGAAACTAATACACAAGGCTAAGAACCACAACACGTAGACAGAGTTCGAATTTGGGTTGTGAGTTATTTACCGTTCTACAGTTATGCCCCTTTTTAACTTGGAAAATTGCAAAGCTTGAAAGAGGGCCTCCGGGTCCTCAGACACATTCTTCTTATATTTTCAACTAATTTAGATGTTTACCATGAATCTGTTTAATCATATAGTATGTTACATTAGATGTGGGCATTACACATCAACTGATCAAATATTCAGACTGGAAGGTTAGGTTAAATAAATAATTTGAGCACATAGATAATATTTTGGAAAAATGGAATGATTTCATATAATTATCTAGGCAAGTATATTACACATTCGGTATGTGCCTGTCCCAAGTCGGGAGTCTGAAGTTCAGTGGTTGTTGTTGTGGCTCATATCTATCATATTTGTTTTTTATAAATAGTATTGTTATAAATTATATAGGCCTTAATTTTTCACATTTGAATTGTTTCACATTTTTCATGTCAGGCCTATTAAATCCAACAATACAATATGGGTTTTTCTTGTTGTTAAAGGCCATATGGTGATCTATAGTTGCTTAGACCCACTTCATTTGAACTCCACATTTGTTGGATAATTATCTTATTGACAATCATACCACATCTTTTATATAAGTATAGTAATATCATTTGGAAAAAGTATCTTACAATTATATCTGTTTCCAAATAAGAAAGGGAGTTTCTCAGCTACAATCTCATCAAAGAGCATCAAGTTTAAACGACCATACTGATAGTCTGTTTATTCCTATTTTCCTACGCAATGTTAATGATGGTGGGCTTATGACATCATAATTTCATTTTACTAAACAGAGAAACTTGAGTAGCATGAGATGGAAAATTATCACACAGAAATATTCAATGTAATCTATAGAAAATAGCAATAATAATATATCCTGTGCATTTTCTCCTTAAAAATAGATAAATGAATTTAATTTTTGAAATAGTTTCTATTCAGTCCCCATTCTCCAATGATAGTATACTATTAAACAACAGCTTGACTGTTCATTAATATTTACAGGTTATTTTAAAAGATGAAAGGATGGCCCATAGTGAGGCTCTGTATGCCTTCCTGTCTCCATCACCAGAATACTTCAAACAGAACAAGTTAGAGAAAAGTAACTTCTTCCTAAGGACTCTCCTGAAAAAGTAAATATTGCAATCATAAGTCACTAATATCTTGTATAAAATCAAATTAGGCGAAAATATATTCACATTAACAGTTCAAGTTATAGAAAGATATGAATAGAATAGAGAATGGAAACAGGGATTGTGTTGAAGAGACAAAAACCTGACCAAAGAGCAGAAAACAGCTCAAGGCCACCAATAGTCTTCAATGCAGCAAGAAATCCCTCACCAGGAGGCAGGCTTCAGCTGGCTCCTAAACAATAATGTATACTAGTTGAGCGAAATGTATGCCACACTTAACTCTGAATCATACAAATAAACCAAAATTTAAAAAAAAAAAACAGGTTCATAATGTGTTCAGAATAATTCTTGTACCATAATGCCATTGAAAGTAAATAATACTGCATAAAAGTGATATTATTACAATACCACAGTTAGAGGCTAAGATGAAGGATACATGTATCATGTTTCAACAATTCCTGTCTTTGTTTCGTTTCAACTCTAGACTAAGAAACGAAACAAAATTCTTACAAAAGGGCATTGAAATATTGGCTTATGTAGTACTTACAACTGACCCAAAGACAGTAATCATGTACAAAATAAATATAATAATATAAATTGATGTTGTATTTACAGATTTCCCTCCAGACAACCAGAACCACATGACAGTGATGATGAACTTCTCTTTGGCAGGGAGGAAGAGTAAGACACTGATTTAGTTTAACAATTAATATCCATATCTTCTCAAATTTTCTTTTCATCTTTCCATATGAATATTTTCAATCCCACACTTCTTGAGTGATGATATGGGTTTTTCACGGCCTAGAAGAAAGATTATGCATGACTTCATAACCCTATGTCATCCATGTTGCCTAGGAAAAAAGCATAATACAAATTGTCAATGGTCTTTCATACTCATGATTGTTTATTAAAGTGATTTCATGGCAATTTAATGTTATTACAATTGCTATACCCCACAGCTCTTGAAAACAACTTTTACATTAATACAGAATTTGTTCAAACTAGCACAGATTCTACATGATTTTTTAAAGGCAGTGCTTTAATGCCTTTCTAGTTGCCGTGTTAATATTTCTTTCCGCGATATCCAACTTATCTACGTGGGGGGTCATTTAGCTCCAAGTAGATCCGGAAAATGTTGATTCTCTCCTCTTCTTATTGTGGTATAAAATGTTTTTTGTCTCATTTCATTTACATTGGGAAATAGAGAAACGATCATTGTGTTTTGTTAGTTTTAAAATCTTTTGATTTATAAGTATTTTGCATTATAAGCAGTCAACCGATTGACAAACTAGAATTATTTGAATTCCGTGGGAAAGAGCTCGGGTTAATTTCGAGTGCTATCTGCAATCTAGATGTTTATAAATCATTTCAGTCGTTGATATAATAATTAAAGGTCGACTGAACATGAATTATATTATACAATTTAAAGCGCATTTCTGTTTATGCACGTGAACCCGTCTAACGTAATTGTTATTTCGCAGTTATATAAAGTAGCAAATTATCGTTCCTGAATAGGTGGCGCCGTGGTAGCGGATCCTGTTCCTCAACTTCCGGTTTCTGCACAGTGCAACTATTTCAGTTATATTTTTAATTAACGATGCCAAGTACTTGTTGTTGTGTACCTGGATGTCATTTAAGAGGAGGACATGCATTTCCAAATGACTTAAAAAGAAGGAAAAGTTGGATCAACGCCATTGCCCATACGCAGATTGGACGAGAACACGATGATATCGTGGAGTCCATCTCAATCAGCTGTTGTTTGCAAGGCACGTTTTACTGAAAAAGACTACGTGCAGGAAACTATTCATGGTAAAACTCTATTTTCTTTGTGAAATATATAGTTATATATGTAATCGCCATGCAAATAAACCAAAGTCAGTTTACAACCGCAATTATCGTTTTAGAATAAAAGGGGGTGGTTAATTCAAGACGTCATAATTTTTTGGATTACGATTCAATGTGATCTGTTTGAGATTTTTTGGTGCTTGCTACAATTATAATGATTTCTTACAAGAGGTATATCATACTGAGAATTATTTTAGCAGTAATTATGCTTATGTAGTAATGACAGGAATGCATAAGCTATGCCTCATAGACTTTCTTGAAAAATATCAATGACAATGTTAACAGGAACAAAACAATGACATGCTCTCATCTATATTATAGTTATTTAGGTACAAACAATGTATGTTTGTTGCATACGTCTCTCATTGTTTGTCCTTTGGATTTACATAACATACATTTTGATGTACATTGAATCAGGCTAACATAGTTTTATCCAGATTGTAATGAATAAATCTAGTTAATATTTTGCCAGGTTACGAGTACAAAGGAATTATAGTTATCTCGTACCATTGTAACTCGTACCAATGTCAACTCGTACCACTAAACAAAAACTCGTTCCAATGCAAACTCGTACCACTGCTAACTCGTACCACGGTAAATTCATACCATTGTAAACTCGTACCAACTTATTTAAATGCATTCAAATGGTGTTTAATGATGAATATATACTTTAATTTTACTCAATACCTCTTAAGTCTGTAAAATGTATATAATTTGAAATTACAATAACCAATTTGTAGCTTATTTTCCTTGTCTAATTGGATAGAGAAAACCGTGGCAGATTGGCTTTGTTGTCTCCCTTGAATAGACTCTTTTTTAAACTTTTACTGACAACTATTTGATTTAGTTTTTAATCATTCCAAATCAGTAACATTGAATAGATTTGGGTATTTTTCTATTGTTTCTAAAAGGAATTTTATTTAATGAAGGAATTTATTGATTGTGTTTTAAAGGTTTAAAATTGTTTATGACCAACAGTTAGAAAGTATGAAATTTATTTTTATACAATATTCAGCACATTTCAGCAGAATATGACCATGCTTATATGATTATACAAGTTGATTAGTAAAAGATAAAAAAAAACAAGTTGATTAGTTAATAATCAACCAATAATCACACAATCAAAGGAATTTAATATATTTATTAGCATGGTAATTAAGAAATTACATTTGTATTTTTGTCTAAGTTTTCATTAAAATCTGGTATAAATTTCAAAGATATTTTAATTTTTTGTATAAAGCTTAAAAAAAAAATAATCATAAAACATTCGTATTTTTGTCTAAGTTTTCATTAAAATCTAGTATAAAATTCAAGTAATTCAACTTTTTTTATTTAGTTTACCAAAAAAAAAATCATAAAACTTTCGTATTTTTGAATATATTTTTAATGATACGAGTTTGCAGTGGTAAGAGTTCTGATTGGTACGACTTCCCAGTGGTACGAGTTTACGTTGGTACGAGTTTACAATGGTACGAGTTAACTTGCTTCTGTACAAAGTATGCATTGCTAATGGAAGTTCATTTAATTATAAAAAAACTAATGTTTTATAACCTTTTTCAGGGCACAAACCCACCATACAGAGACTTAAGTCTACTGCCAATCCCAGCCTATTTTCCTGGACCAAGCAAGAGACTGAATCGTCCGCAAAAAGAAAAATCAGGGCAGTTTCCTGTGAAAACAAAAGAACTAAACTTGATGAATATTGTAGTAGAAATCTAGAGGAAAGTTTTGATTGTAAAGTTGGTTTTCCTGAAGAGGTAATTCATACTGCAGACAGGATTTATGACTGTCCACCACCAACTGCCGAGCTAATGTTGAGCTTCACAGATGGAATTACGCAAACACCATCAATGCCTTATTTTCAGCAGAGAATTTTGAAATGAAGACACGTGACACAGCCATGCATTTTTATACCGGTTTAGAGTTGTATACTAAATTTTTATTTGTTTTGACCACACTTGGTCCAACAGCACATTGTTTGAGATACATATATTTTCAAATTGATAGGGTGTCATTTGAAAATCTGTTTTTTTATGACTTTGATGAAATTGATGCATTATACAACCAACCTTGAACTGTCTAGATTCTAGATTGAAACTAGTGTTAAGAATATTGTGTAAACATGGATTGTTTTTATGTCTAAACAGTGGCGTGAGGCTAACACTTGGCCATTTAGTGGTTTAGTCAGGTATTTTTCGCCATCCAACTTAGAATTAAAGTTTCCTACAACTTGGATTATTATTGACAGCACAGAATATCCCATGATAAAACCTAAAGCTCCTAGAGCTCAGGCAACCTTTTCATCATATAAAAACAGAAACACTGAAAATACTTGTATGTTGGACACCTGGTGGTTTAGTCAACTATGTCTCTAATGCATATGTTGGTTGTACCAGTGACTGTGAAATAGTTGAAAGATGTAGAATAGTTCAATTATGTGATCCAGGTGACAGTGTGATGGCAGACAAAGGTTTAAATGAGCAAGATTTGTTTGCTCACTTTTTTCAAAAAAAGAAACAGAATTAGTTCCAAAACTCTTATACGGGATAGAAAAGTCTCCAATTAACACGTGCACATAGAGCTAATTATTGGACTTGTCAAAACATACAAAATTCTAATAAATCCTATGAATGGAACTGAAACAAAACTTTCATCTGAAATAACATTTAGTTGTTTTATGTTGTGTAATTTTAGAACTTGTATTGTGCCAAAGGATGCATAAATAAAAGTGACGCAATGAAGTTTGTTCTGATATATATATATAAATATTATTTACAATTACATGCACATGTAAATTGTAATGCATATAAAAATAAGGAGATGTGGTATGATATTCAGTGAGTTTATCGAACCAAAGTGCATAAGAAATGGGTTAAGCAGTTACAGGTGTTACTGTCACCATACAATCTCCAACAATTAGAAAAACTTGTACCGTGTAAAAAATTTCAGAGATCTTGCAACTAAGTTTTGTTGTCTCACCTTGACTTTGGTGAATTGTTTATATCTGTTGATGTAAATATAAAAAAGAAGATGTGGTATGATTGCCAATGAGACAACTCTCCACAAGAGACCAAATGACACAGAAATTAACAGCTATAGGTCACAGTACGGCCTTCAACAATGAGCAAAGCACATACCGCACAGTGAGCTATAAAAGGCCCCGAAATGACAATGTAAAACAATTCAAACAAGAAAACTAACGGCCTAATTTATGTACAAAAAATGAACGAATAACAAATATGCAACACATAAACAAACGACAACCACTGAATTACAGTCTCCTGACTTGGGACAGGCACATACATGTACATACAGAATGTGGCGGGGTTAAACATGTTCGCGGGATCCCAACCCACCCCCTTACCTGGGACAGTGGTGTAACAGTACAATATAAGAGCGAACTATAAAAATCAGTTGAAAGAGGCTTAACTCATCAGATGGATAAATACAAATACAAGTGGACGTGGCCTGGTAGTTGTACATCCAAACAACAAAAAGACACTAAGTACAGATCTGAGAGTACTCGCATTTACTGACAGCTAGTTCAAAGCCACAAACAACTGATAAAAAAATCTTGCATCTAAGACTAAATTATCAATCCGTAAGCTCCCTTTAGAATTTTATAAATTTTAGATTTTACATTTCTGAGTTATGGGGTTTTATTCATTAAAAAGGGGGGATTTTCCAGTTTTTGGACAACAACTCAAAAATGCTTTAAGCAGTTCGCATGAAACTTTGGTGAATTATTTATAGCTATTGATGTAATCTCCCTATTGATTTTCATAAATTTCAAATATGACATTGAGAAGAAATTGAACTTTATTTGTTTATAGTCTGGCAACAGATTTATTAAGTATTGCGCAACAGCACAGTGTATTGCACAACAGCAAGAAATCTTTAATTGAATGTAAATTCAATTCATATAACTGATTTCAAGTTCTTTGACTACATTTATTCAGAAACTATAAAATGGCAAATATTTAATTACAATCCAAATTCAGACCTGTATCAAGCTTGAATATTGTGTCCATTTTTGCCCCAACTGTTCAGGGTTGGACCTCTGTGGTTGTATCCAGCTGCGCTCAGCGAATCAGTTTATTACTTAATTAAGAACTCCTTTTTGTCGAGCCTGCGACTTTTGTCGCAGAAAGCTCGACATAGGGATAGTGATCCGGCTGCGGCGTTAGCTAACTTCTTAAAAGCTTTATATTTTAGAAGGTGGAAGGTCTGGATGCTTCATACTTTGTATATGGATGCCTCATGTTACGAAGTTTCCGTCAGTCACATGTCCAATGTCCTTGACCTCATTTTCATGGTTCAGTGACTACTTGAAAAAAAGTTAAGATTTTTTGTTATGTTGAATTCTCTCTTATTATATTAAAAGTAATAGGATAACTATATTTGGTATGTGCATACCTTGCAAGGTCCTCATGCCCGTCAGACAGTTTTCACTTGACCTCGACCTCATTTCATGGATCAGTGAACAAGGTTAAGTTTTGGTGGTCAAGTCCATATCTCAGATACTATAAGCAATAGGTCTAGTATATTCGGTGTATGGAAGGACTGTAAGGTGTACATGTCCATCTGGCAGGTGTCATCTGATCTTGACCTCATTTTCATGGTTCAGTGGTTATAGTTAAGTTTTTGTGTTTTGGTCTCTTTTTCTTATACTGTATGCAATAGGTCTACTATATTTGGTGTATGGAATGATTGTAAGGTGTACATGTCTAGCTGGCAGGTGTCATCTGACCTTGACCTCATTTTCATGGTTCAGTGGTCAAAGTTAAGTTTTTGAGTTTTGTCTTTTTTTCTAACACTATATGCAATAGTTCAACTTTGGTGTATGGAAATATTTTATGATCTATATGTCAGTCACGCAGGTTTTTTTTTTACCTTGACCTCATTTTTTCAAGGTTCATTGCTCAGTTTTAAGTTTTTGTGTTTTGGTCTGTTTTTCTTAAACTATAAGCAATAGGTCAACTATATTTGTTGTATGGAAGACTTGTTAGCTGTACATGCCTGTCTAGCATGGTTCATCTGACCTTGACCTTGACCTCATTTTCTTGGTTCATTGGTCAATGTTTAGTTTACTTGGTTAATGTTAAGTTTATGTGACAGTTGTAATAAAGCTTTATATTTAGGACTATCAACATAATATCAATGATTAGTAAAGAAGGCGAGACATTTCAGCGTGTGCACTCTTGTTTCATTCATAAATTACTTTATACTTGGAAATATAATTTTGCTTGGAGTTATAGTTTCTAAAAAAAGTATTGTCATTGAAAGAGTTGACATGTTGCAATGTACATTTATTCTACATAGTTCTATGGTACCAAATCAAAAGTTTATATTAAAGAAAGAAGTCAAAGGTTTCCCATCATAGTTTAGTTACATACATTTTTTTTGTACCTGAGGTTGTTGAATATAGATCATTATATAAATAAGGAGATGTGTTATGATTGCCAATGAAACAACTATCATCCATACATTGTACTTACCAGTAACAAACCACATTTGCAAAGTTGAATAAAATACAGTTGATAACATTTACTTATTACTTAAAAGAAAATGCCAAACTATTTTAAACAGTATTTGACTATAAACATAGATAAAAAAGGTACAAACTGGACATAATGCACTAGTTCATAAACAAGTGAGAACAATCGCCTTCATATAGTGCTCAGAATATGACATTCATAAAACTTGTTCAATATCATTAGAGAACTCTAAATCTTAAATACTGAAAGCCACCTCTGATAAGTACAATGTACTATGCAAGATAATGATATAACTGGACTAAATATACACACAACCTGTAATTAACTGCCTTTACAGCGCTTTCGCGCTTTGATTGACTCTTCTATTTTATTTTCATTAGAATGATTTTTGGCATTTCCTATTTCAAAACATGGATTTCACCATTTCTTGTTTAATTGTGGCAGCCATCACATCTTCCTTGGAAAACCCAGACATTTTAGTGATGGATACTCTTTGTTTGATAAATAAACTTGATGATATCTTTTTACTTTGTAGGACCAAACTGGATAGAAATGTAGATTCTATTGCCGAACCTTTCTATAAACTGGTGAATGAGATTTTTGAATCTAGAGGAATGTTTAAATGGCTTAGGAAAAGTTTTATTATGTTTGTAGAGGTTACTTTTGGCAGAACTATTAACAGGTTAGTATGTACTGATTAAGGTAATGAAAAGGTTAGATAATAAATGAATGATGGTCCCTTGTTGTAAAATGATTTTTTTGTCGAGTCTGCAACTTCTGTCGCAGAAAGCTCGACATAGGGATAGTGAGTGGGCGGGGGCGACGTTAACTAACTACTTAAAAGCTTTATATTTTAGAAAGTGGAAGACCTGGTTGCTTCATACTTTGTATATATAGATGCCTTATGTTATGAAGTTTCCGTCTGTCATATGTCCATTGTCCTTGACCTCATTTTCATGGTTCAGTGACTACTTCAAAAAAAAGTTAAGATTTTTTTTAAAGTTAATTTCTCTCTTATTATGGGTAATAGGATAACCATATTTAGTATGTGCATACCTTTCAAGGTCCTCATGCCTGTCAGACAGTTTTCATCTGACCTCGACCTCATTTCATGGATCAGTGAACAAGGTTAAGTTTTCGTGGTCAAGTCCATATATCAGATACTATAAGCAATAGGTCTACTATATTTGGTGTATGGAATGATTGTAAGGTGTACATGTCCAACTGGCAGGTGTCATCTGACCTTGACCTCATTTTCATGGTTCAGTGGTTAAAGTTAAGATTTTGTGTGTTGGTCTTTTTTTTCTAATACTATATAGGGGCCTCGGTGGCCGAGTGGTCTAAGTAGTTACTACTGTAATCACTAGCCAGTCAACACTGAGGTTGTGAGTTCGAACCCTGCTCGTGCAGGTGCACTCGACTCCAATCTTAATTGACTAGGATTGTCAGTTTTCCTATCGAAGGTCAGTGGTTTTTTCCGGGCACTCCGGCTTCCTCCACCAATAAAAACTGGCCGCCACGAAATAGCCCAAAAGCGGTGCTTAAAAGTAAAAAATCAAATCTTATACTATATGCAAAAGGTCAACTATATTTGGTGTATGGAAATATTTTACGATGTACATGTCAGTCTGGCAGGTTTTATTTGACATTGACCTCATTTTCATGGTTCAATGCTCAGTGTTAAGTTTTTATACGACCACAAAAAATTTTTGTGGTCGTATATTGGTATCACGTCGTCGTTGTCGTCGTCGTCCGAAGACACTTGGTTTGCGGACAATAATTTTAGTATTAGTAAATAGAAATCTATGAAATTTAAACACAATGTTTATAACCACAAAAGGAAGGTTGGGATTGATTTTGGGGGTTATGGTCACAGTTTAGGAATTAGGGGCCAAATAAGGGGCCCAAATAAGCATTTTCGTGTTTTCAGACAATAACTTGTGGAACGGTGTATGGATCTCTCTGAAATTGTACAACAAGTTTCCATACCAAATAGGGATGGTTAGGATTGGCTTTGGGGGGTAATGGCTCAAACCGTTTAGGAATTAGGGGCTAAAAAGGGGGAAAAAACAAGGGTTTCCTTGTTAATGGACAATCACTTTTAAGTACAATGTTAAATTTGGATTACCTCCCTTACACTGCTTTAAAATTATGTATATTTTCTACTTTAAGACTTTTATGATGTATTTAAATGGGTAATTATGGTTGCAAACTCCATTGTAAATTTGAATTGAGATAATAACCATATCTTGAGAGAAAGATTTTTTTTTTTTGGAAAAAGGGGAGGGGGAGGGGAGGTGAAAAAAAATTGGAGGGGGGGATAAAAAAGAAATTGGGGGGGGGGGGAACAATTTTTTTTTCTTATTACAGATTTCAGAAATAAATAAGAAAATTTCTCAATTATTTTTTTTTGCAAAAAAGAAAGGGGTGGGGTGAAAAAAAAAATTTTGCCAAAAAAAAAAGGGGGTGAATTTTTTTTTTTTTTTGGGGTGGGGGGGGGGGATTTGCAACAGCATAGTGTAATGCACAAAAGCAAAAAAAAGAGGGGGTAAATTTTTTTTTTTTGGGGGGGGGGCAATTTGCAACAGCATAGTGTAATGCACAAAAGCAAAAAAAAAAGGGGGGGTAAATTTTTTTTTTTTTGGGGGGGGGGGGGGGGGGGGCAATTTGCAACAGCATAGTGAATTGCAAAAAAGCAAAAAATTGAATATAAATTCAAATTATATACTGTGGATTCATTTATTTTCGTGGGTACCAATTTTCGTGGATTAAGGAAAACTTACATGTTCGTGGATATCTAATTTCGTGGTTTTTGACAATGTCTGCATACAAGCCTATAGTAAATTTGCCATTCGTTGAACATTTAATTTCGTGGTTAACCTATAACCACGAAATCCACGAAAATTGGTATCCAACGAATAATAATGAATCCACAGTAACCAATTCTAAGTTCTTTGACTACAGTTATTCTGTGTCAGAAACCTATGTGTCAAAGCAATTTATTGTGTTTTGGTCTGTTTTTCTTAAACTATAAGCAATAGGTCAACTATATTTGGTGTATGAAATGATTGTAAGGTGTGTATGTCTGTCTGGCAGGTATCATTTTATTTTCATGGTTTATTGGTCAATGTTAAGTTTTCATGGTTAAGGTTACTTCTTAGATACTATAAGCAATAGGTCAATTATATTTGATGCATAGATTGATTGTAAGGTGTACATGTATTTCCGGTTTGGTTTATCTGACCTTGACCTCATTTTCTTGGATCGTGTTAAGTTTATGTGATACTTGTAGTAAAGCTTTATATTTAGGACTATCAACATAAAATCAATGGTCAGTAAAGCAGGCGACACATTTCAGTGTATGCACACTTGTTTTTATTTAAATGCATCGTCCCTTATAAGTTACCCTATATTTACTTTTATTCATACAGTACGGGTAACACACTCAAAACTATAGTACTGGTATAATAGACAAGGAAAACAATGCAAAATTATATTTTTTCAAAGATTCACTGAAAGTAAGTTCAAATGCACTTAACCTGCTGATATGAAATCATTGTTTCATTCACTCTAATATTGATGGCGTTCCTTTGTAGAAGATTTTATTCAGAAACATCTTGATTAGTGCAGGAAGCAATATTGTGCAATGACTAAGTAGATTGTTCACAATTCATACCCAGAAAAACCAGACCAATACAATGTCTAGAACTGCATCACATCTGTTTGAAGAACAGTCTTCAGTGCCATTTAGATTTTAAAACTCTCAGGTGTAAGAATTTCCTCAATTATGGTAGGCGCACCCAATCATAATGCATGAATATGGTAGTTTTCAAGGAAGTTAAGAAAACTGTCAGACTGAAGCCAGATATGACTAATTATAGCAAAGTTGTGAAAAGAAACATTAAATTCTTTATCAAACTATGAATAAGCAAATTATACATATTTTTTTATTCCAGACAACTGTGTGAGACTGTGGACTGGATATTTTCTGAGTCTATGATAATATATTACATACAACAGTTTACACTATCCATGTGGCCTGATGGAAAACTAGCTGAAAATGAATCGTCCAGAAGTGATGAAGAAAAACTTAAAACAAGGATGGAAGCTAAGGAAAAATTCTTACAAAATATGCCAGGTATGTACAATCAAAAACTCTGGTAGAACTAATATGCGTCATTCGGACTGTTCCATTATATCATACAGGGGAACCATGGAAGGCACCTTTAAATTGGGGTAACCATTTATAGGGCCAATTTTAGAATTTCTTTTTCATTTTCATAGTACAAAATTGTCTGTAACATTTGCCTTTCATGGATCCCATGTATGTTTTTATGGAACAGCCCTCTACCCAAATATATTGAATTATTTGGTAGTCCTTATTGAATATCTCTCTCTGAACAAAGAGTCTAAATCAATTAATTCAAAATTTAATTTTGATAGTTACGTCCCTATATTCAAATTGTATCTTAATGAGGTAGAGCCAAATTTCCATGAATTTATTTCACACCCATAAGTTTTTCAGAACATGTTTGTCAGTACTTTGTTTAAAGCTTTTTATTATTTTTATTTTTCAAAACTTTTCTTTTGCACTGAAAAGTATTTTGTTAAATATAGAATTAAATAGAAGACATTAAAAAATCTATGAAATCAAGTTGAAGTATGACTTTCCAGATTTATTCTCATTTCTGATGAATATCTTGATAGCTGTTTAAAGACAGGAAAATGCCAATTTAGATTTTTTTATCATTAAATTTCTAACTAAAATTGGATACTAATGTCAGATTTTGCAACAGATAAATCAAGATCCATCTTTAATTTGAAATATGTAAAAAATACACTCCGAAATTAAAAATCGTTTGTGCTGCCTGGTATAATCTAAAAGGGTCAGTTTGATTGTTTAGCAAATGTAAATTGTACATATATGATTGTAACCTCTTTTTTCAGATATGTAAAGAGAGAATTATTATAGTGAAGATTTCCCCTGACTTCCTACTTTCCTATTGTAATTAACCTTTATTTTATTCCTCATTACAGATGCTATAAAAACATTGTTAGGAGAAGACAATGGACAACTTTCCCATTGTAATTAACCTTTATTTTATTCCTCATTACAGATGCCATAAAGACATTACTAGGAGAAGACAATGGACAACTTTCCCATTGTAATTAACCTTTATTTTATTCCTCATTACAGCTGCTATAAAGACATTGTTAGGAGAAGACAATGGACGACATTCCCATTGTAATTTAACCTTTATTTTATTCTTCATTACAGATCCTATAAAGATATTGTTAGGAAAAGACAATGGACGACTTTCCCATTGTAATTAACCTTTATTTTATTCTTCATGACAGATGCTATAAAGACATTACTAGGAGAAGACAATGAATGGCTTTTCCTTTGTAATTAACCTTTATTTTATTCCTCATTACAGATGCCATAAAGACATTACTAGGAGAAGACAATGGACGACTTTCCCATTGTAATTTAACCTTTATTTTATTCTTCATTACAGATGCTATAAAGACATTACTAGGAGAAGACAATGGACGACATTCCCATTGTAATTAACCTTTATTTTATTCCTCATTACAGATGCCATAAAGACATTACTAGGAGAAGACAATGGACGACTTTCCTATTGTAATTAACCTTTATTTTATTCCTCATTACAGATGCTATAAAGACATTGTTAGGAGAAGATAATGGACGGAGAGGCACAATTAAAATATTTGAGGTGCTACAGGATACTAGACTCAATAAACAATTATTTTATGTAAGTATTTATAGTTCTATAATTCTTATATAATTTGCATATCAGGGAATATGTTGATATGATTGGTCGAGAGGGCTTCTGGTAGTTGCTCTTGATGTTATTTATTTTTCGATAGACGAGGTTGATGGAACTACTTTTTGTAACCAATGTAAACAAGAGGGAGACGATGATAACACAAACCAGCTCGACAATAAAAATATTTATTTTCACTTTGCTTTCATCATTAAATTACATTATAAACACAAAATATTCATTTGAATGATAATAAGATATTTTTGTAGTTTATTTTTCATCAGAAAGCATTTTTCATGGAATACATTTTTTTGCGTTAACCAAAAATATATTCATGGGCCAGGCCAACTCAATAACACAATTATACAATTTAAGGGTGATAGAGGTCACGGGTGGGAAAATTAAATTAATTATCTCCAATTTTAAAGAATTACAAGGACTTTTATTTGTTTGTGAGTGACTTGATCTAGTTTATATGTAACAGCCACTATGTTCCGTCAGTTACTTTGTTCCGGCGGAACTTTTCAACTAGTTATTTCGTTCCGATGGAACTTTCCAACTAGTTGTTTTATTCCGAGTGCAGTCGAAAAGTTCCGGAAAAAAGTAGCTAGTTGAAAAGTCCCGGAACAATGTAGCTAGTTGAATAGTTCTGGCGGAACAGAACAACTAGTTACATCGTTCCAAATATACCATATTTCGTCCTTTTTGTAGAAAGAGGGGAAAGAATGAGTATCAGTATACATAAGAGCAAATCATTAATTTACAAGAATACCCAACGCACTGAAAGGGGTTTCTTTGGGGACAAATATGCAAAATTTAAGTTGTATTTCATAGCTCACATAAAACGGAATAACTTGCATTATCATGCAAATTTAGTATTCATAGTACCCTCAAGAGAGGGAAGAATACCCCCTCTTCATGTGGTTCTTTGCATCAATTCTCCAAATGGAACTTTGTGACTGGTTGATAAGTTCCGTTGGAAATTTTGGGCTAGTTTGTTAGTTCCGGTTTTGACTTATTTGCCAAAGAGGAACTTTGTGGCTAGTTGATAAGTTCCTTTTGACTTTTGTAATCAGTATCTTGGTTTCCCTTTGAAAGGTTCAAGTATGATATGTTGCGCTTTTACTTTGCATCAATTCTCCAAATGGAACTTTCTGCCTGGTTGATAAGTTCCGTTGGAACGTTTGGGCTAGTTTGTTAGTTCCGGTTTTGACTAATTTGGCAAAAAGGAACTTTCTAACTAGTTGATATGTTCCGTTGGAACTTTTCAACTAGTCACTTTGTTCCGGTGGAACTTTTAAACCAGAGGAAGAACAAAGTAACTAGTTAAAAAGTTCCTCCGGAACTTTTCGGCTAGTTAGTTCTTTCCGCCCGGAACTTTCCAACGTCGGAACAAAAGAGCATTTACATATACACCAATAAATTCCTTTAGAAAGAGGTTTAATCCTATAATAAATAATAATTGCAAAACAAGATTATAATACTCCTGTTTACACTTAGCAGGGATGTATTTTTGCGCCTGTCCCAAGTCGGGAGCCTCTGGCCTTTGTTAGTCTTGTATGTTTTTTTTTATTTTAGTTCATTTATATGTTTTGGAGTTTAGTGTGACGTCCATTTTCACTGAACCAGTACACAATTTTATTTAGGGGACAGCTGAGGACCACCTCCGGGTGCGGGATTTTCTCGCTGCGTTGAAGACCCATTTGTGGCCTTCGGCTGTTTTCTGCTCTTTGGTCGGGTTGTTGTCTCTTTGACATATTCCCCATTTCCGTTCTCAATTTTATGTATATTTGCTGTATCCTTCTCTCTATTACTACATCTGTCTGTACTTTGTGTCTATTATTTTTCCATGACTTGGAGACTGGTTTTCTGTTAAATCTTTAATAGTATCTGCAGTATCTTCTGCACCTCCTTATTACTTTCTTTGAGACTAATCAAAACAATAAATTAATTTATAAGGAAATGATTGAAAGAGATTTTGAATTGATATTAAACAAGACTGACTCTCAGAAAGTCCATAGGCAAATACTATTATAACGTGTGTAACCGGAGAGCATGATTCTTATGAGAAGATCACATTGTCTCCATCTGGACCTCTGTGTTACAAGGCAGTGCTCTAACTGACTGAGCTAAGGAAGTACTTCCCTAGCTCAACTGCTTAAGGCTGGCTAAGTATCTTCTATTTGTACTAAGTGAAGCAATCCCGCCACACTTCCCCTACCCAAGAGTCACTATTCCATTATGACTCAAACAACACATACCCTAGCTAGAATTCCTCTCTAACTACCATGGGTTATTTAGTTGGACGCCAAATGCAATCCTGCTACATGTGTATTCAAATTTTGACTGTACTAAACAAAAATACCGAATTAAATATGATATTCAAACATCAGATAAAAAGAGAATTTTGATGATTGACCTCCTACATAATAGTTAAAAGTGTGAAAGAAATATCAACCAACGAAACTAACTTTGTAATATGCCCCTACCGTAGGGGATGGGGACATTAAGTGTTATCCTTGACCGTCTGTCCTTCCATCTTTATGTCCTTCCGTCTTTTTGTCTTTCCATCAGTCCATCCCATTTTCGTTTATTTGAAGCTTGAGCTGGGGCATTCCTGTCCTCAGATACATTCTTCTTTTATTTTTTATTTATTTTGCAATGTTAATATATTTTTGTCAATATTGCAGGATCTTGTAAATCTACTGACTCTTGAACTCTGTCCAGAAATCAAGAACAAAAAACCGTTCGTACCAGACGCAACAAAAGAAACAAAGTTTTAGTATTGACCTTTGAACTGAATCAATGTGGTCAACATCAAACAACTGTTTGTGTCAAACAAGAAAAGAAAAGAAATCATACAGAAAACATAGTATCAAAATTGATATTATGTAATGCAGTGATGATATTGTAAACTTATTTTGTAAATATAAGTGATATCTTATGTAACTGGCATCTGTCTAAATCTGCTCAAAATGTCATTGCCAACTTTAATATTATTATCGCTATTTAATTTTCTTAAATTTTTTCCTTGATCTTTCTATGTGATAATTAATTTTCCATTTCAAGTTTTTCAATTGAGAATGGTTATTCTCAGTTGAAAAGAGTGAAAACTTTATGACTTCATAAGCTAACATCATCGATGTTGCCTAAGAAAATAGCAATAAACAGATCATCTGTGTTCTTTCCAATAGAGAAACTCCCTCTCATTGTCAAAACCAAATAATTTATTTATATAGTAAAGATATTTTTGTGACTGTCAACTTTCTTCTTGACACGATTTGAAGCAATAACATTCAAAATCTAGAACTTAAAAAGGATTGGTAAAATATTGGTTACTCATCATGTTTTTTCTTTATACCCATTGTTTCAAGAAATATATATTTGTACTCTTGAACAAATAGACTACTTATTTTTATGAAGTATATGGGGTGTAAAAGTCAATTAAGTGTCAGATATGGTATTTATTAATGATCAAGTACATATCCATTTGAGCACACAGAAATGTGACTCTTGATTCAAGTCTACATATTTTCATCTTTAATATTTTGCAAATATATAATGCAGTGGTAAGTTGATATTAATTTGCAATGTTTTTTTTATAAATGGGATAGAATTGACAATTTATTAAACTTATAGGTTGTTGTTTAATTTTATCAGAGAGAAAAATGGACATTAGATATCATATATTTTCTTAGAGTGGCTAGTATAAAGTTGTTCAATATTATTAATTTCATTATAGTCATCCATAAACCATTAAATGGTAAAACTGTAAAATTGAGATAACCTTGTTCTAACTGACCTGTGATAATCAGCATTATATTTACACAAATTATTCATATTCTTGGAACACTGGACGTTATGCAACAAACAATCAATCAATCATCTTATTCTTAGGAAATATTTTTGCAATTTCATGATTAAATTATATACAGCATATTAATTATCTTTGTGTGGTACTAATTATACAACCACTCAGAAGGAGGGCTATACTGTTTTAAGTCTGTCCTTTTATCTGTCCCAACAAAGATTTTGTCACATTTTCCTCAGAACTACTAATCAGATTTCCTGAAATATAGTATCAAGCTTCATATGAGCTATACTTTATAAACTTTATATTTATCAAATGCTGATAGATAGGGTATTATTAGTGAGTAATAGCTCTCAGTACATCTTGTTTTCCTGGATTTTTTGGGGAAAAAACATAAATTTTAATGATTAACAAAAATTACAATTTCCTGTAGGCTTCATGGTACAATTTGCCAAAACAATGAAATCAAGTATTCATAAAAATGGTAAAGAATAGAGTCAGTGATTAATTGCAATTTGGAGGTCTCCAAACTTTTGATTCCGACAGCTTTGAGAGCATGGAATTTGTGGATCAAACAATCCTATTTTATGGGGATGTCTGACCTACGGTCATTTGGATTGTTCCAGAGAACTTCGATGATTTCAAATGGCATATGGTTAATGTTGTGTCTGATGGCATTGTGAAATGGCATTACCTTTCCTATATTTATCCATAAAAATACTATTTTACCTGAATCCATAAAATAATTGTACCCAAGAAAATAAAAATAAATCAACTGTATTTTATCTGCTGCTTAGTATATATATAAAGTTCATTCTGTGTCTATCAACAGTTCATTTTAATGTAAATCAGGAATTAATTACAGCCTTTTTTTGTATGGAATAGTTAAAGTTATACTGTAATATCCTGTATCAGAAAAAAATTGTGAAAAATTTTGATGAGGAGGAGTCCTGTCTTATTGGAGACTATGTGGCCATAACTGTTAGATAGATTTCATGACTTATGACTTTGAAGATTTTTTTTTTTGTGTATTTTATATGCTCTGTTTAATCATGCTTTAAATTGTTATCCTCGCCATTAACCCATGACCTGTAAGGCACCTGCCTGGTTCCTTCATATTTTATCAGAGCTATGAAGGGAGACGGATTTATATAAGTTATTCTTGTTTCCGAATCCCAGAATTTATATTGTATAATTGTATTTTGTGCACTTTTGAAAAAAAAATATTGTTTAAACCAGAGCTATGAATATTCATAAATTGAGTTGACCAATGAAAATACTGTGATATCTAATTCTATATGTTCTATAATGTTATAGGTTGTAAGATGTGAGCAAGAGTATAAACACAAGCAAATGTGATGGGGATTGAACTTTTTGTATTCTAATGAAAACTAAATTTATTTCATGAATGTTTTGTGGGTAAATAATTTTTTTCTTATCAATCATAAATGAGAGCAGCTTGTTTGCAAGCCTTTGTCATATTTTCAGATTAACATATAGTTGTAAATCTTAAATGCAGATTAAGTAACTGTCAGTTGCTTAAGAGCTCTTTCCTTAACTACAATGGTGAAAAATACTCTTTTGACATTTTTCTTCGCCTCTAAAATTTTTTGAAAATGTCTTTCGTGATAATGGCACCACAAAAAGTCAGATAGAAAACTGCCACTAAAGAATATGCCAGAATTTTCATATACCATTTAGCAGGAGAAATAAACTGTTTTTAGCTGTAACTGCTTTCAGATGGTCTGAAGTGTCTGTATGGCATTTGGCAGTTGACCTTGCCCTCATTTTCATTGTATATTGACTTATTAAAGTCCAGGTTAAGTTTTTGTGATTGGGTCATGTTTATATTGAGTAAGAGCTCAACTGTACACAGTCTATGGTATATTTGTATGATGAACTATCTGCTTGACAGGAGTCACCTGACCTTGACTTCTTTTCATGTTACAATGATCAATGTAAGTCGTCTTCATTTCGTCCATAGAATCATTGCATGGTGAACATGTCTGATTGACAGGAGTCACCTGACCTTGACTTCTTTTCATGTTGCAGTGATCAATGTAAGTTGTCATCATTTCGTCCATAGAATCATTGAATGGTGAACATGTCTGGATTGACAATGTTCATACGACCTTGACTTCGTTTGAACATTACTACATGGTATTTTTTTCTGAGTATGAAACCTTGTCTTTTGGTATAAAAACATAATCAAGAAATAATTTGCATTGCCTGGCTAAGATTGTGCTTTCAAAACAATATAAATACTCTGCACTCATTTTTGTACAGATTTCTATAAGTTTCCTCATTTTGAAATTTTAAAAAATGCCTGAACTGTCTTATCATCCTTAGTATGCATGAAATACTTGCTGCTGGGCATTACACAACTATAAATTTAAACAGTTTTATTGTTTTGTAAATGAATCAATGTGACTTACCATAAAAACTAAAAGGGAAATATAAAGATGTTCAATGAACTGGGTTTATTTTTAGCTCACCTGGCCCAAAGGGCCAAGTGAGCTTTTCTCATCACTTGGCGTCCGTCGTCCGTTAACTTTTACAAAAATCTTCTCCTCTGAAACTACGTGGCCAAATTTAACCAAACTTGGCCACAATCATCATTGGGGTATCTAGTTTAAAAAATGTGTCCGGTGATCCGGCCAACCAACCAAGATGCCACCATGGCTAAAAAAAGAACATAGCCGTAAAATGTAAATTTTGGCTTATATCTCTGAAACCAAAGCATTTAGAGCAAATCTGACATGGGGTAAAATTGTTTGTCAGGTCAAGATCTATCTGCCCTGAAAATTTCAGATGAATCGGATAACCCGTTGTTGGGTTGCTGCCCCTGAATTGGTAATTTTAAGGAAATTTTGCAGCTTTTGGTTATTATCTTGAATATTATTATAGATAGAGATAAACTGTAAACAGCAATAATGTACAGCAAAGTAAGATCTACAAATAAGTCAACATGACCAAAATTGTCAATTGACCCCTTAAGGAGTTATTGCCCTTTATAGTCATTTTTAGCTCACCTGGCCCAAAGGGCCAAGTGAGCTTTTCTCATCACTTGGCGTCCGTCGTCCGTCGTCCGTAAACTTTTACAAAAATCTTCTCCTCTGAAACTACTGGGCCAAATTTGACCAAACTTGTCCACAATCATCAATAGGGTATCTAGTTTAAAAAAATGTGTCCGGTGACCCGGCCAACTAACCAAGATGGCCGCCATGGCTAAAAATAGAACATAGGGGTAAAATGTAGATTTTGGCTTATATCTCTGAAACCAAAGCATTTAGAGCAAATCTGACATGGGGTAAAATTGTTTATCAGGTCAAGATCTATCTGCTCTAAAATTTTCAGATGAATCTGAAAACCCGTTGTTGGGTTGCTGCCCCTGAATTGGTAATTTTAAGGAAATTTTGCCGTTTTTGGTTATTGTCTTGAATATTATTATTGAAAGAGATAAATTGTAAACAGCAATAATGTTCAGCAAAGTAAGATCTACAAATAAGTCAACATGACCAAAATGGTCAGTTGACCCCTTAAGGAGTTATTGCCCTTTATAGTCAATTTTTAACCATTTTTCGTAAATTTTTGTAATCTTTTACAAAAATCTTCTCCTCTGAAACTACTGGGCCAAGTTCATTATAGATAGAGATAATTGTAAGCAGCAAGAATGTTCAGTAAAGTAAGATCTACAAACACATCACCATCACCAAAACACAATTTTGTCATGAATCCTGTGTCCTTTGTTTAATATGCACATAGACCAAGGTGAGTGACACAGGCTCTTTAGAGCCTCTAGTTTTATAATGTAGGAGGGATTTTTTATTCATTATAACCATGATAACAGTTGATTCTGACAATGTTAAGTATGCATAAAATGTAACTAAAGTCATTCATTGTACAATTATTTTTGTATATTTTGATGGGAAATGTGCAATAAATTTATACAATAATCTTGGGTTTTTTGATTGGTGATTTATTTCAAGAGCATGTCGAGGCCAGTGTAAATGTAAAGTGCATTAGTACTTATAAAACACAGACTAAATGTTTCAAAGATAAACCAGTTAGATTGAGGTGCATTGTTTTTCAGAGTCTATTTTGACCTGAAGGCATTTAGATAGCTTCTCTTCTCACTCACTCAAATAATGAGAACATTTTGTGCCTGTAGCTATCTGAACCATGTGTTGTAGCTATCTGGACCATGTGTTGTAGCTATCTAGACCATGTGTTGTAGCTATCTGGACCATGTGTTGTAGCTATCTTGACCATGTGTTGTAGCTATCTGGACCATGTGTTGTAGCTATCTAGACCATGTGTTGCAGCTATCTGGACCATGTGTTGTAGCTATCTAGACCATGTGTTGTAGCTATCTGGACCATGTGTTGTAGCTATCTGGACCATATGTTGTAGCTTTCTGAACCATGTGTTGTAGCTATCTGGACCATATGTTGTAGCTATCTGGACCATGTGTTGTAGCTATCTGGACCATGTGTTGTAGCTATCTGGACCATGTGTTGTAGCTATCTGGACCATGTGTTGTAGCTATCTAGACCATGTGTTGTAGCTATCTGGACCATGTGTTGTAGCTATCTAGACCATGTGTTGTAGCTATCTGGACCATGTGTTGTAGCTATCTGGACCATATGTTGTAGCTAACTAGACCATGTCTTTGGTTGTGTGTCTGTGTGTTCAGAGGGGTCTGTTTGGGAATATTGTGCTGTCCAGTATTTTTGGTGATTCTTTTTTGTGTATTATTTCAGTTTATTCACAATATTCTAAAAACATAAGCTTTCAATATTAATTTCATGTGTGGAAAATTGAGTCATTTTAACATCTTACCTACATACCTGTTTCATGGTGGGTGGTTTCTTTTAAAGTGGTATACGACACCAGAAGTGGAAAGACTGTACCTAATTTTCTAAACTTCTTAGCTATTTAACAATATCAAGATGTAGAACTTGAGTTGTAAGCAAATAAGTATTAAAACAGACCAATTAAGTTGATTAATGGAATGTAAAGATACCCCTATTCTTTCTTTTATACTGCTCAGTTTATTTCCAAACAAGAATCTATAAAATCATTGTATCATTCTGATCTTGACTTTGGATAATGGGCTACATTACTTGGAAACCATTTTTTCTTCTTTTTGCAGGTCTGTTAATATTAACCAAACTACCAAAAACGACCATGACCAACAATGATTGATAATGATGATATTGTAACACAATACGGGTTAGAACATTATTTAATTACAACCAAGAGTTCCAAGTGGTGAATTTGAAATCATCCCTTTGTAAATTTTATGGACGCCATCACGAGTTAGTTGATCGTTATGGAATATCCGTTTCACAAATGATAGCGGATATGTTCCAAATGTCGTAACTACAATCCCGTCCCCTTTCCCCCCGAATGTGACCTACCGAATTAGACTTATTACCGGGTTTGTACTAACAGGAGCAACACGACGGGTGCCACATGTGGAGCAGAATCTGCTTACCCTTCCGGAGCACCTGAGTTTTTGGTGGGGTTCGTGTTGCTCACTCTTTAGTTTTCTATGTTGTGTTTTGTGTACTATTGTTTGTATGTTGGTCTTTTTCTGTTTTAGCCATGGTGTTGTCAGTTTATTTTTGACTTATGAGTTTGAATGTCCCGTTGGTATCTTTCGCCTCTCTTTTACATAACAACAAATGTGTAATGTATTAACAGACTATACAAGTGGTGTTACAATTATTTTGACAATCGTAAAAAAATAACCTTTGGACAATTTATTGTAAAGTGAATAAAACAATTACAGAAGTGACCATTAACAAACTTAAGTGAATATTATTCCAGTGTAACTAATACATGTATCCTACAGGCAAATAATAACCTTGTCCAAAACACGGAACCTCAAATATAAGCTAGTACATGTATCCTGTTGACGATTAATAACCTTGTACAATACCAGGAACATACTATAAATACTAGGAAAGAATGAGACAGAACAGATTCCATCAGGTCTCTACATCCCCCCCCCCCCCCCCCCCCCCCCCCCGTGGCTGGGACTAATATATTATGTCAAAGCTCGTGGGTAGGCCGGAATTCAATCAGCACCAGAATTCATTTTAGTCAGGACCGAAAATATGACACTTTACGGTTTACGTGTCCGTGTGATAATTGTGAACTTTAGAACATTCTTAACTTTTTAATGACATAATAAATTTAATTAACCGACTTCGTTATAATATGATTTACTACCTACTACATGTACCTACGGTGTTGTTTAACGACCTTGACTAAACATTAGGATGAGGGTCTAGCATGGTCGGCTATGATAAGCAAATATAATTTGCAAGCACCAACAGATGAACCAATCCATCTGTTCCAGTACATTAATTGTTTTAGGCAGTACCGTGCACTTGGGGTGTGTGTGTGCTGAGAGTGGCACTTACTAAGTACTTCACCTTTCAATGTCATATGCGTAAGCTAATAGAACATTATCGTTATGGTCCCCTCAAGGTTTGAATACTAAATCACTTAACTCTACCGAACTATTTACAAGGATAGATAAAAATTCAAGTACATCACTGCATTTGCATAATCAGCTCTTAAATGGCATACCTCTATCTCTATTCTGATGACCTGAGAGTCAATTTCATTTTATCTTACTAAAATAAGAACACATTCAAGGTTTCCTATCATTTCTGCAGATTTGACAAGATGGCTGACACCACTGGCAAGGTAGATTAAATGTTTTCACGTATTAAGTTATTATTGCAAATGTCTTCTTGATGATGCAAGTGAAAAACTAATGCATAATTACAATGTCTAAATTTTTTTAGATGTGACCGGCCGTCGTCACGATCTGCAGACAAACATTTTTTAGATGTGAGTAGCCGTCGTAACGATCTGCAGACAAAGATTTTTTTAGATGTGACAAGCCGTCATCACGATCTGCAGACAATCTTTTTTTTTAAATGTGTCCGACCGTCGTCACGATCTGCAGACAAAGCCTTTTTTTTTTTAGATATGTCAGGTCGTCGTCACGATCTGCAGCCAAACATTTTTAAATGTGACATGCCATCGTCATGATCTGCAGACAATTTATAAATTTGAATCATTGCTAGGCGATATAAGGCATACTCTAATAACAGAGACGTCAAACTAACACACGGGACACACACACAACAACAAATATTAGGCATACGCTAATAACAGAGACGTCAAACTAACACACGGGACACACACACAACAACAGATATTAGGCATACGCTAATAACAGACGTCAAACTAACACATGGGACACACACACAACAACAGATATTAGGCATACGCTAATAACAGACGTCAAACTAACACACGGGACACGCACACAACAACAGATATTAGGCATACGCTAATAACAGAGACGTCAAACTAACACACGGGACACGCACACAACAACAGATATTGGCATACGCTAATAACAGAGACGTCAAACTAACACACGGGACACGCACAGAACAACAGATATAAGGCATACACTAATAACAGAGACGTCAAACTAACACACGGGACACACACACAACAACAGATATTAGGCATACGTTAATAACAGACGTCAAACTAACACACATGGGACACACACACAACAACAGATATTAGGCATACGCTAATAACAGACGTCAAACTAACACACGGGACACGCACACAACAACAGATATTAGGCATACGCTAATAACAGAGACGTCAAACTAACACACGGGACACGCACACAACAACAGATATTAGGCATACGCTATATAACAGGCATACGCTAATAACAGAGACGTCAAACTAACACACGGGACACACACACAACAACAGATATTAGGCATACGCTAATAACAGAGACGTCAAACTAACACACGGGACACGCACACAACAACAGATATTAGGCATACGCTAATAACAGAGACTTCAAACTAACACACGGGACACGCACACAACAACAGATATTAGGCATACGCTAATAACAGAGACGTCAAACTAACACACGGGACACGCACACAACAACAGGTATTAGGCATACGCTAATAACAGAGACGTCAAACTAACACACGGGACACGCACACAACAACAGATATTAGGCATACGCTAATAACAGAGACGTCAAACTAACACACGGGACACGCACACAACAACAGATATTAGGCATACGCTAATAACAGAGACGTCAAACTAACACACGGGACACGCACACAACAACAGATATTAGGCATACGCTAATAACAGAGACGTCAAACTTACACACGGGACACACACACACAACAACAGATATTAGGCATACGCTAATAACAGACGTCAAACTAACACACGGGACACACACACAACAACAGATATTAGGCATACGCTAATAACAGAGACGTCATACTAACACACGGGACACACACACAACAACAGATATTAGGCATACGCTAATAGCAGAGACGTCAAACTAACACACACACATACAGCAACACAAAAGACATCTAGAGTAACGCTTGTTTTCTTATTTAGATCACCACCGTTGAAATAAGATTGGTTGTTTAATATATGTTTTTAGCATAAATCACGCTGCTTGTTTTTTTTTTTCTTTTGGATTGTTTAACTTTTTGCCATGGCTAGGCTTTTTTATAGCTGACTGAACGGAAGAGATTTTGCTCATTCTCGAAACCCGTGCGCGTCTTCAGAGCTAGGATAGATAAGCACCATTCTGTATCTGACAGTTTTAAAATCAGTTCGCGTTTGTATTAAGATCTCAGACTTCCATAAAAAGGTTTCTATATAAATAATCCTTAAATCGCTACAAAGAAGTCATACGTTAGTGGTTTATTTTAAAGATAAGGAGATGCGGTATGATTGCCAATGAGACAACTACCTACCAAGTTCAAATGAAGTGGATGTAAGCAATTATAGGCAACCGTACGGCCTTCGACAATGAGAAAAACCCATACCGTATAGTCGGCTATAAAGGGCATGAAAAATATGAAACAATTCAATTGAGAAACTAACGGCCTTATTTATTTATAACAAAACAATTTACGAAAAATAAAAATGACAGACATGAACCAACGACAACCACTGAACAATAGGCTACTGACTTGGGACAGGCACATAAAGAATGTGGCGGGTTTAAACATGTTTGTGAGCGCTCAATCATCCACTAACCTGGGACAGTAGTGTAACAGCACAACATAAGAACAAACTATAAAAATCAGTTGAAAAAGGCTTAACTCATCAGATCGATACACAGAAAAACATCAAACAAAAGCACAGACCGGACGTGGCAGGGTATTTATCCATCCCTCATCCCTAGCAACAAAAAAGACACTAAGTACAGATCTGAGAGTACTCGCAGTTACTGCCAGCTTGTTCAAAGCCAAAAACAACTAACAAAAAAAAATCATGTATCTAAGACTAAAATATCAATCAGTACACATCCAACATCCAATGGATTTAGGAAAAAGACGTCATTAACAATCAGAGAAAATCATGACATTGTGCAATGCCAAAATAAAAGTATCGACAGATTGTACTACCGTGAAAGTACATTTAAGGAATGACTGTAACATTTTTCTGTCTATGAAGAAATAACATCAAAAATGTGGTGCACACTGAATAACCTGCGTCACATAATAATTATTTTTCGGTTTCTAAACTTTTAAATCCACAAAATATTATTGAATGCAATTATTTATACAAATTTATTAGAGATGCATTAGAAATAAGAAACAATTCTTAAAATTATGTGTACAATTGTATTATTATATACTACATGTAAAACTTTGAAATGTTGTTTTGTATATTACCATATGAATTGTAAAGGAGAACACTAAATGTAATATTAGTTATCTTAATAAATAATCCGTATCTGTATATCCGTAAATTATGTATGCTTCAAATATTTGTCCGTGGACCTTACGCAATCAACAATCGATTAACTGTTGGGAATGGAAGATTAGTATTACCTTCATACTTAGTTTTAAACATGTTTCCTTCTTATCACAACGTTTAACTCATGTGAAAAGACACGTTCTATTCGGGATTTGAAGGCAGATAAACATCGAATAAAATTGTGCACTCATCCCCTTCCAAAAATTGTCGGGGAGTCAAAACTATTCAATTAGACATAAATGGCTCTCGGGTCTGTAAACTTCTATGTAAATCCCACTGCAAAATTTCATTTCCATGTACATGTATCTGAAATGAAAATCCTACTGCCATCTTCTGCATGTGTTAATTTTCTGAAAATGAGAGATAGTTTGATTGGCATATTCCACGAAATGAAAGAATTTGCAAAAAATTCTCCTCTGGCTGTGTTGAAGACGAAATCCATTTTTTAACTTCATGTGAAAAATTTAACTCTGATAGAGGTGCTCTCTTTGACTTTGTTTGCCAAAAAATTCCAAACTTTTCTATATTGGACAAAAATTCATATATCTATTAAGCTATGAAGACAACCAGCTCCTCAATGCTGTTGGAAAATTTAATAAAGTCAATATGACTTAGATCTATTTATTTTTCATGTAACTAAATTATATACTATAAACCAAGGGTTTTATTACAGTCTAATTGTATGTAAATTCTATGTTTCTACGTAACCTGATCAATATTCTTTTTCCTTCTACGTGTATTCTCTATATGCCCCTAGTGGGCCCTTAATTGGTAATAAAATATGTTCTTGTTCTATTTAATTCAAGAAAAGCATTTAATGAGGGGCCTGATGGGTTATTTTCGTTCTTCGTGATCGGCGCATTTTCGCTATCGTGATCCGTTTTTCTACAGATTTTTTTTTTATATTTTCGTGATCCGTGATCATGGAAATTTATTTTCTGTGAATCGTGATTGACAAAAAAATCAACTCGTGAATCGTGATGAGACCCCCCATCAGGCCCCTCTTTAATCTTTGTCATCGTTCATTAATATTACAAATCATATATAGCCTTCCGCTTTTCGTGCATTAGATACGTTAATTCATAAAAGTCTTGTTAAATATAACTTAATCTATTTCAGACTATAAGATGCAAGGCTGCTGTCATGCGGGAACACAAGAAACCCCTGATAATAGAAAATATTGAGGTGGCGCCACCGAAAGCTGGTGAAATCAGAATTAAGGTTACTTAAATTTCAACACTCATGTGTTGTGATTTGTAATGCATTAAGAAATTATTGATATAAGATTATACAAATAAAAAGAAATAGCATGATTGCCACTGAGACAACTCTCCACCAGAGACAAAATAACGTAGAGGGTAGCAACTATTATAGGTCACCGTACGGCCTTCAACAATGAGTAAAACCCATACAGCTTGGTAAGCTATAAAAGGCCTGCAATGGTAAATGATATTGTCCGTGTGAACATCCATCTATCCGTGAGTTATCCTAATTCCACGTGTGTTTCTTAACCTTTATTTTGGGTAGGATGTTTTGTGACTGTTGTCTATTAGTGGGTTTTTTTCTTATTTTTCTTGGTATTTTTTTATTTTTGTATCGCTGCCTTAATTGGTATCTTCTCCCTTGATTTTGATGTAAAACCGATTTTATCAAAACTTATACAACGTTATCCACGTGGATTGTAGTTTTGCATCCTCCGTCAAACTGCTTTCAGCACTTTGTGAGCTAAACTCACATAGTACATTGATTTGATTGGACCATGTACATAATTGTTGTTGGTAAAATGTCTAAATCTGAATAATATAGACAGTGGTGTTTCGGGTAGTAACATTACTGCATTAAATTTTTGATGCAGTACATCCACTGATATTAGAGTGTATTGTGGGATTTCATATATGTATCAGCTTTCTTTCAGTTACTGCGATATTAATGATAGATGATGTGAGGTATACGTTGATGAGACCGTCTGTATATTTTTATATGGTATGATATTGTTTTTCATTGCTTTGTTTAAACTAGTATATTTGTTAACTATTATACCGTTATTTTAGAGAAATGTGTTATTTGTGTAGTGATTTATTGTATGAACTTTCCAGTATCTTGTGATAGTCCACCGATTGAAATTAAAAGGCAGAGAGGTAAGACGTGAACAAATTAGTCTGTTATTCCGTCCGAAGTTAGTGGTCTTTTATCATATCTAATGTGTTTTTGAAATTATGGGAAATTTTGTGTTGAATTTTCACTACCTTTCTCGACTGAAGCAATTTAGAGCTTGACATATAGTAAAGACATTTGTTTTTGATTTTGTTTATATTTTGTAGATAATGTACTCCAGCATATGCCATAGTGATGAGAACTACTTGGGTGGATCGAGGCCTTGGATAGTGGATTCTATCCTGGGACATGAGGGTGCTGGGATTGTAGAAAGCGTCGGAGAGGGCGTGACGGATTTTAAAGCTGGTACTGTAATTCATTTTAGGGACGGAATAAGAGGGGTATCGGTAAAGCACAAGGACTAAACGAGTTTTTCCCATCTACTTATTTAATTAAATTAGCTATATAAGTATATGGGAGGAACTAGTCTTCCCTAGCGGTAAAGTAAATAAAATATCGCATTGTATTAATGTCAGGAAATCCTAAAAGCTAACTCAACCCCTTCGCTGTTCTACTTGACCTTTTTGCTAAGAACATTCTCATGGGTCCTCCACTGTAGCTTGTCAGTTTCGTGCAAAGTTATCTTTTGCGAATTATCATGTCATTATCGAAATATCGTGTCAAATCGAATTATCGTGTCATATCGAATTATCGTGTCATATCAAAATATCGTTTCATATCGCAGAATGGAAATTGCACTTATTATGTTAAATTTAAAACATTGTAAAACGTATATGTGAATTTTCGCCTTTTCTCTGAAATGAAAAATTGTACATGTACATATACACCCTGAAGTTTGATATATTAGAAACATGACTTCATACTTGCATCTTTTGAAGCACATTTTATCTTTTATAAAAAAAAACTTTATATATATCCTTCTGTTCATACTTACAAAAATGTACGTTTCATTGAAATTTAGAACTATCAGGACTAAGAATATTTTGATGTTATAGTAAATCTGATATTTAACATTTATATATCATATATCTATAACACTTAACAATAGCTTTGAAAAATCTTTTAATTTTCATTGTCATGGACTATGTTTGTGACGTCCTGGATTATAATTTAAATGTGTGTACAGTCCTGGTTTCAAAAGGTGATTTACAATTTGCACTTAACAATAAGTTATCATTTCGTTATTTTGTAAGTTTTTTTTTAGGGCTCGAGAAAATATGCTACTGTATTGAGTACAAGAGTACATTCTAAGATTTATTTATAGTAAATTAAAAGTAATAAATAATGACACTGTTTTAATAGGTGATCACGTGATTCCATCATTTATGGGGCAGTGTAACCAGTGTAGAACATGTAAGAGTGGAAAAACCAATGTCTGTGAAGTGTTGAAAGGGTATAACTAAATAAAATATTATAATCTATAGCTTTTTCAATATCACATCCGTATCAACCCGAGACACCAATATAATCCCAAGAGCTCTGCTCGAGGGATTATATTAGTTGAGGGTTGATACGGTGTGTGATATTGAAAAAGCCATATCATATACACTTTATTATATATCTCAAGTAGATGTTTTTTTCATGTTTTGAACATGACGTCATACAGATTATGGGTTTGATAAAGCCTTTGCAACGGTGACTGATGTCGATGACGTGACGTCATACAGATTAAGGGTGTGATAAATAACACCATTCTGATATGGAAAATGATTCAGTTCAACTGAATATGTACAACACATATTAACCAAGACACACCGTATGGGCACAATGTAGATTTTAACGAATAATGTATGTATTTGGATTGAAGGAAAGCATCCAACCTTATAAACCGACGAATCAACGTTATAAACCAAACCACGAAATACATCTTGCCATTATCAGCCTTACTATTATTTTTGCGTTTTCATATTTCTTATATAATAAAATTGGTAAAATGGCTCCTTTCTGGATAAAATGATGATAAAGATATTTTTTGGGGGAGTGTCTTTTTTGCAGTTGAAACAATATACAATTAGGATTTGCAATACTAAACCAAACAGCTATACCTGTATCTTTAACTTTCAGAGAACATTATTTGAAGGGAGGAATGTTGGATGGCACTGTTCGGTTCAGTTGTAATGGTAAACCAATCTATCATTATCTGAACACCAGTACTTTCAGCCAATATACAGTGGCATCGGAGTGGTCTTGTGTCAAGGTAAGATAATCCAATCTATCATTATCTGAACACCAGTACTTTCAGCCAGTATACAGTGGCATCAGAGTGGTCTTGTGTCAAGGTAAGATAATCCAATCTATCATTATCTGAACACCAGTACTTTCAGCCAGTATACAGTGGCATCAGAGTGGTCTTGTGTCAAGGTAAGATAATCCAATCTATCATTATCTGAACACCAGTACTTTCAGCCAGTATACAGTGGCATCAGAGTGGTCTTGTGTCAAGGTAAGATAATCCAATCTATCATTATCGGAACACCAGTACTTTCAGCCAGTATACAGTGGCACCAGAGTAGTCTTGTGTGAAGGTACCGTTCTATCATTATCTATCATTATATATATCACACAGCCAGTATACAGAAGAAGTTTTTTGTCAAGGTAAGATAATCCAATCTATCATTATCTGAACACCAGTACTTTCAGCCAGTATACAGTGGCATCAGAGTGGTCTTGTGTCAAGGTAAAATAATCCAATCTATCATTATCTGAACACCAGTACTTTCAGCCAGTATACAGTGGCATCAGAGTGGTCTTGTGTGAAGGTAAGATAATCCAATCTATCATTATCTGAACAACAGTACTTTCAGTCAGTATACAGTGGCATCAGAGTGGTCTTGTGTGAAGGTAAGATAATCCAATCTATCATTATCTGAACACCAGTACTTTCAGTCAGTATACAGTGGCATCAGAGTGGTCTTGTGTGAAGGTACCGTTCTATCATTATATATATATAACACAGCCAGTATACAGAAGATGTTTTGTTTTCTTTTTGTGTTTAAGAAGACTCTGTATGAACCCTCGTTCACATAAGTACAAAAATAAGTCGGTTGGTAGGTGTTTTAACCCAGACAAGTAAAAGTAGGAAAGAAATAGAAGAAAAAGAATAACTGTTAATAAATCAATAGTTCTTTTATCTTTTTTTAAATTTATTTGCTAAATGTATCTTTGTTTTGAATTTGATCAGTGTGTCAGATATGTATCTTGAAGTACTTTTGACTTACATTTAGATCAGGAACGTTTCTGAGGTTAGAGATGTTCGAATAAGCTACTACCGTCTAATGTCAGACCTGATTGATGTTTATATTACAGATAGATCCAGCTGCACCATTAGACAAGGCTTGCTTACTTGGATGTGGCATTGCAACGGGATATGGCTCGGCTATCAATACTGCAAAGGTATGAATGTTTATATTTTGTCTATTTTTTGCATAAAATAAAATTATGAACCGAATACATCTTTTTTAAATTTTATTGGGTGAAAAAGGCGTTTACCGAAGGATATCTTATATGACGCATACTAAAAATGTGTAAATTAACGATCAACGCTTTCACAAACTTATAGAATGACAAAAAATAACATTACATTTTTTAATTGCATTGTATACTATAACCATGAAATAAGGAGTTAAACTGTTATTTCTTTTGCCAAGCTTAAAGTTTTCGGTTTTTTTTCCTATGCATTGTTGCCAGTTTAACCGTGCAGTCCTACACATTGCATGTTATTTCAGTACCATTTTAACCATTAGAAAAGAAATATAAATGTAGCGTCTTTCTATCAATAGATATAAGAAGATGTGGTTTGAGTGCCAATGAGACAACTCTCCACACGAGACCAAATGACACAGAAATTAACAACTATAGGTAACCGTACGGCCTTTAACAATGAGCAAAGCCCATACCGCACAGTCAGCTATAAAAGGCCCCGAAATGACAATGTAAAACAATTCAAACGAGAAAACCAACGGCCTAATATATGTACAAAAAATGAACGAAAAACAAATATGTAACACATAAACAAACGACAACCACTGAATTACAGGCTCCTGACTTGGGACAGGCACATACATACAGAATGTGGTGGAGTTAAACATGTTAGCGGGGTCCCAACCCTCCCCCTAACCTGGGACAGTGGTGTAACAGTACAACATAAGAACGAACTATAAAAATCAGTTGAAAGAGGCTTAAGTACGGTCTTCAACACGGAGCCTTGGCTCACACCGAACAGCAAACTATAAAGGGCCCCAAAAATTACTAGTGTAAAACAATTCAAACGGGAAAACCAACGGTCTAATCTATATAAAAAACGAGAAACGAGAAACACTTATGAACCACATCAACAAACGACAACTACTGAACATCAGATTCAAGGCTTGATATTTTAGTATGTGGTAAATAAGGCTCCTTGAATGAAGTCAACTTTAAAAAATGGAATACAAGTTATGTAAGGTTGCTCGTTTTTAGGTAGAACCCGGCTCAGTATGTGCCGTATGGGGATTAGGTACCATTGGCTTAGCTGTTGTTATGGGTTGTAGAAATGCCGGAGCGTCTAGGATAATAGGAATAGATACAAATCCAGCCAAATTTGAATTAGGTGAGAATTTTTCATATTTCCTTTTGACACGTGACTTATTTCTCTGTTATTTCACGATGAAAGAAACCAAGATACCGCGTACCATTAAAAGTATAAAAAAAAACTTACAATGGAATATCTTTCTGGAGATTATTCCTCTTGTTAAACTCCTAGGTCACACGTGTGCAGTACATAAATCTAGAAACCAGTTCAGAAAAGCGCTGAATTCAGTTAAACTAGGTATGACAGACAACAATTAAAAAAACTATGATAAATTTAATACTATTAAATACCTTAATTATCAATGAGTATGAGCATACTAATCAGTTTGCTTAATTATTTTCAAATAAGGCAAATTATTTGTTCTCTTTTGAAAGACTTCTGTTGTAAGTCTGAAACGTCAACAGTACTTTTCTTTCATTATTTCTACTTCGTGCAATCTTGATGAATATTACAATGTCTTTATAGTATAAAATAATTCTTAAAAACTATAATTGAAATTCTCTTACATATAGGGAAAAAGTTTGGAATGACAGAGGGAGTTAATCCTAAAGATTTTAAGGAACCACTACAAGATGTACTTTTAAAGATGACAAACGGTGGACTCGACTATGCATTTGAATGTATTGGTAATGTTAAGACTATGGTAAGACTGTGTATTTGAATGTATTGGTAATGTTAAGACTATGGTTAGACTATGTATTTGAATGTATTGGTAATGTTAAGACTATGGTAAGACTATGGTAAGACTATGTTAAGACTATGGTAAGACTATGTATTTGAGTGTACTATAGTAAGCTACAAAAATCCATAGTTAACTTGTTGTTTAAACTTAATGTAAAAAAATCAAATATTAACTGCTCCTTTTTATATACTTCTTGATTTAGTGAATTTACGGTAAAAGAACAACAGACAAATCTAGATGAATTGCATATAATCATAAAAAAAAAAACAGTACAGACAACCCGTCACAATAGAAAAATTTTAACAAATGTATGAAAAAAGTATAACAAAAATACAGAACTCCAAGGTAAATTCAAAAGGGGAACTCCATAAAAACTGACAAAACCAAATTTCGTTGTCAACCAACGGAACGAGAAGAAAACAACTACATAAGGATTTGTTACGATTTGTGCAGTGGCGGATCCAGGGGGTTCCGAGGGTTTGACCCCCCCCCTTTTTTTACGACCAATGCTTTTGAATGGGGACATATGGTTGGACCCCCCCCCCCCCCCACCCTTTATCCTGGGTTGGAACCACCCTTTTAAAAATGGCTGGATCCGCCCCTGTTGTGTACGCCACTTATTTCACTACAGTCTACTATGCAAACTGTTCAAGAGATTCAAGTCCTTACTACTATACAAATCCTCGATGAAATGTAAACAAAGCAATAGTATAAGAATAAATAAATTCAAGACAAGCATCTGTCTATACATTGTACACGTAGTTAGCTTGACATAAACAATTTACAGAAGAATGCATTTCAGTGTGCCAAGTAAAACAACCATGCGCACACTTCATTAGGGGGAACATTAATGGAACATTCAGTGTGTTGTATACATATATATACGTTTGAACTGTAGCACTGGTGAAATTTGATTCACTCTATTCACTGTATGCACGTTTTAGTAGCTTTCTCTTGCAGAATCCGACTATCCTTTAGAGCGTTAAATATGTGTAGCATTGTATAAGTTTTCCTTACTTTATCTGTTATTTTTTGTTATGCACGATTAATTGAAAATAATCTGCTTGTTAAGGTTGTTAAGGGCGATGTGATTCGCAAATAAAGAAAACGTATCTGTAAGTCTGCATCTGAAAGGTAATCTATCAACATTTATTGCATTATGCTTTATTTTAATTTAGAAAGTGGCTTTTGACTCCGTTCATAGATGTTGGGGTAAGACGCTGTTGATTGGTGTTGCTCCGATTACAGACGAATTTGTCACTAATCCTTACTCTGTTACTATGGGAAAACAAGTTATAGGATCACTATACGGAGGTAAGTCAGAGAAGACCGGAAAAATGGGGTACCTTTTTCACAAACCCTGCCAATGAATTAATTCAATGATTTGAGAGACAGATGATAGGATTACTCCATGATGGTATGAGAGAGAGATTATACCTCATTCCTTTAAAATGATTAAATACCCATTCAATGTAACATTATATAATAATAAATTTTAATGTGGTGGATACTATAGGAATAATCAAGTCGAGAGTATTACATGAATTTCACAGAAGCTGTGTGTTTTTTTCTGTTTAGCTTATATGTTTAACATAAGCTGTAATGATTTATTTAGTGTTTGATTTCGCTGTGTGTAAAACGTTAGAACGTTGTATTTATCGCACGCAAAGGCAAAAGAGGTAGGCTTAACGATTTGTCAGAGAACTACTGATGACCTCTACCAAATGGCAATAATGAATTTGTTTTATGTTATTGGGTTGCTGTTTCATTGATGTATACCCACATCTCATTTTATTCATACTCCTTTTTCTGGCTTGCATGTCGACATTTTACTTATTTATTTTTTGGCTTGCAGGTCGACATTTAACATGTTTAACTTATTTATTGGTATTTATTTTTGCAGATTACAAATTGAAAACTATCAGTAATTTAGTGACGGAGTACATGAATAAAAAATTAATGGTCGACGAGTTTGTTACTCATAAGATGAGTTTGGATAAAATCAATGACGGTTTCGATCTTCTACGTTCTGGGAAAAGGTAATTATGTTATAGTAACGAGAGGATCATACCTGGAAAGTCTTATGATTTTGATCTTCTGTGATACGGTTATATTATTACCATGCACCAATAGAAGTGTTGTATTTTGCAAGACAAAATAAATGACTAAAATGAATTTAAGACAATTGTGATCTATAACCAAGAAAAGATAAATAGGTCAGGTTTTTATCATTAAAAGTGGACAAAAATAGAAGATTTTATCTTCAAAACTTCACTAATTAATGTAAGGTCATGCCTGTTTTTCAACGTTTGTGTTAGGTTTTGGACTTTTACATTTTTGGCTTTGAGCACCCCTGATCGGCCATTAATTGTCGAAATGCGCATCTGATGCAGTAAACGTTGTACCGTTATAGTTATTACTTTTTATTGCCTTAAAGGGGCATTAACTACGAGATATGAAAATAATAAAATATGATTTTGTTTTGTTCAATCATTAATGAAAGTGAAATAGTGTAATAATAATAATTAACAGCCAGTTTGGTTCAGTTTTGTCAAATTAAGCAAAGAAACATCGCAAATGAATTATTCACCTGCAAGTGAATAATTCGACCTCATTGAATCCGTATTCATGTGAACTTTAATTGATCCCTATAGCTAGAGATGGGTTACGCATGAACTAGGCGTGTTCAGGTATTAAATGGAAAAGAATGTAAACATTGAAAGTGAAACAAGGGTAAACTGGCCATTTGATTGACTGGTTCGATCTTGAAAAACTCATTCTTATACTGGTAAAATGATTATTAACATATTTTTTAACCTATAGTATGAAATCAAACAGACCTAGAAAAATCCAATTGCACAAGTTCGTAATCTATTTATATCTATATTCATGTTTAGTTCGGGTTATATGACTGTCGGCAGTCTTCGGAGGTCGCCTCGATTACAAACGAAATGCTGATATATATTATAGAGTCTATGCATCGTAAATTGTTTATTTTAGACTTTTATAATTTGGATATGCATTTTAGTATAATATAAGTCGAATATAAGAATTTGAGTCAAATCGGTGAACATGAATTTGACAGCTAATATGCCCCTTTAAACATGAAAAGGTCTTAAATATCGAATTAATACTTCACCAGAGTCCCTTATGTTTACAGTCAATAATTTCACATGGTTATTACAACAAACCAACAATAAAACCAAAAATAATTCATTAGGTCAACATACGGTCTTCAACAACAGAGAAGTATCCATACCTCATTTGAACCTCGTATACTCAATTGCCACCGGTTGAGCCAAGTTGCAAAGAAATTTCACGAGTTTGCCATCAACACCAAAGAAAGGAAGTACAAAAACAGAGGCACATAATCCACCATGACAACAGCAGTCATTGGTATTAGCATCTGACAGGCGCATTAAGATGTAGAGGGGTTAAACAGTCTCTTTAGTACTCCTCTTTTTTTGGGGTCGGTCAGTGTAATAACATAAAGTGCATAACAGAACGCTATATAATTCTGTTCATTCAGAAAAAGAACTCAACTCCTTAATACCGGTACTGCAAAAACAACAAAAAACACAGCTGTAAGACAGTTTAGTAAATAAGCACTAAATAATACCTTACAAAAAATGCTTTGCAGAAACACACGATTTTGTGCAAAATTCCAAGGTAAATTCGTTTGTGCACATAATTTAAATACAGGAATGAAAATACATATTTTAGTTGTGATTATCAACTCCCTGCGTCAAAGACGCAACTTGCGCTTAACAGTTATCATGGTTATGGAGCATATTTATTTACAATCTATATAAAGTTCATTATAAATAGTAAGAAAAACATATTTATACCATTTAAACAAAAAATATTTCAAGGTACCTTTGTTTTACTTTCAGCTTGAGAACTGTCTTGGATATGTGGGCATAGTTGGTCATTAACTGAAGAAAAATCGAAGGAAAAGAAAAAGAATGGCTTATTTCTTTGTACCATGGTTTAAGGAATTACGAAAATATTATACGGAAATTATAACAGTCAGTTTAAGTATAGAAGGTGGTGAGCCATATTGACTTCAATGCTTTGTTTTAATATGCCTAGAATAAACTTATTAACCTATTATGTTTTCATTGTCTCTGTATTGCCATAGCGTGATTTATTTGAAAGTTTCAAATACAAAAAGGGCAACCCTAGGTATAAGATTGCCACCTCTTTGGCAAACATCACTTAAACACTGAAAAATTCTTAATTTTTACCATGTTCACTGAAAGCTTAACTTTAATATATATAATAGACCAAGATATTTATTAGGAGTGTCTCTTAAGGATTTTCCCCATCTTCTTTCATTAATTGAGGTTATATTTCATTTGTTATTTATGCAATTATAAAACGGAATCTTTAATAAGTAAGAAATATAACCGACGATTATCAGTTGTTCAAATTCTAATTTGTTGAAGAGATTTTCGTAAAGTTGGCCAGTATTTAGAAACATGCAGTTTCCAGTAAACATTGGAGCTTATTGCATTGGTATTCCATTTTTATCTGACGACTTTCAAATACGTAGCTACACATAAATGAACTGCACTTTGTTAACTCATTTTGAAACAAATGAATATGCATATTGGAATGTTATCCAAGTATTACATTCACAACGATGAACCGAATCATAATCATTAAAAAAGACAGAAGACAGCAATGGGATGATGAAAAAATCATCAATGGGATGATAAAATAAACATAACTCGAAGAAAAACAGACAATACCATGACACTGGTCAAAAAGAACAACGACGGAAAGACAAAGTGACAGTCTACAAAATGCAACACAGAAGTCGAATGAGCGACAGGAACTCCTCCAAAACACCGAGGTGCTATCCGGCGCTCCAGGAGGATATTAAACCGCCGTTTTGGACAGGTCAAGTAAAGATTCGCTAAAAAGCCGCTTTCGTTGATGACACAATGAAAAAGGACGGGTTGTGGTTACGATAATTGGAGCATATCATTAGTGATCTGTGACAAAGATATTCTTTAACGGAAAACCGAATCATGATGGCGTCCATAACACTTTTATACGCTGCAGTTGTAGTTATAGCCATCTCAAAAACACATCTGAACTCTTATGTTCGTCACGAACAGAAGAACACGGAATTATTCCGTTTCCCATTAATAGACCGATTCTTCACTTGACCTTTGCAACACGACGGTTTTTACTGCTGAAATCTGAATCAAAAATTGATTGTCTTTTGGGCCTTTTTTTTGCCATGGCGTTATCAGTTTATTTTGACTTCTGAGTTTGAATGTCCCTTTGGTACCTCTCGGCTCTCTCTTATACATCAATATAACAATATCTATCAACAATTTCAATAACAGGATTTTCTATTGTAATAGTTGAAAACAATCACCACTTTTGATTTATCTCCATTTACTTCAAATTCACGAAGCACAAACATCATTCAATTTATCACTATCTGGGGCAGGATCAGTTTACCCTTCCAGGGCGCATGGGATCACCCCATTTGTTTGGGTTCGTGTTAATTTATCACTATCTGGAGCAGGATCAGTTTACCCTTCCAGGGCGCATAGGATCACCCCCATTTGTTTGGGTTCGTGTTAATTTATCACTATCTGGGGCAGGATCAGTTTACCCTTCCAGGGCGCATAGGATCACCCCATTTGTTTGGGTTCGTGTTAATTTATCACTATCTGGGACAGGATCAGTTTACCCTTCCAGGGCGCATAAGATCACCCCATTTGTTTGGGTTCGTGTTAATTTATCACTATCTGGCACAGGATCAGCTAACTCCTCCAGGGCGCATGGGATCACCCCCATTTGTTTGGGTTCGTGTTAATTTATCACTATCTGGGGCAAGATCAGTTTACCCTTCCAGGGCGCATGGGATCACCCCATTTGTTTGGGTTCGTGTTAATTTATCACTATCTGGAGCAGGATCAGTTTACCCTTCCAGGGCGCATAGGATCACCCCCATTTGTTTGGGTTCGTGTTAATTTATTACTATCTGGGACAGGATCAGTTTACTCTTCCAGGGCGCATGGGATCACCCCATTTGTTTGGGTTCGTGTTAATTTATCACTATCTGGGACAGGATCAGTTTACTCTTCCAGGGCGCATGGGATCACCCCATTTGTTTGGGTTCGTGTTAATTTATCACTATCTGGGGCAGGATCAGTTTACCCTTCTAGGGCGCATAGGATCACCCCATTTGTTTGGGTTCGTGTTAATTTATCACTATCTGGGGCAGGATCAGTTTACCCTTCCAGGGCGCATAGGATCACCCCATTTGTTTGGGTTCGTGTTAATTTATCACTATCTGGGACAGGATCAGTTTACCCTTCCAGGGCGCATGGGATCACCCCATTTGTTTGGGTTCGTGTTAATTTATCACTATCTGGAGCAGGATCAGTTTACCCTTCCAGAGCGCATAGGATCACCCCCATTTGTTTGGGTTCGTGTTAATTTATCACTATTTGGAGCAGGATTGGTTTACCCTTCCAGGGCGCATAGGATCACCCCATTTGTTTGGGTTCGTATTAATTTATCACTATCTGGGACAGGATCAGTTTACCCTTCCAGGGCGCATAGGATCACTCCCATTTGTTTGGGTTCGTGTTAATTTACCACTATCTGAATCAGGATCAGCTAACTCTTCCAGGGCGCATGGGATCACCCCATTTGTTTGGGTTCGTGTTAATTTATCACTATCTGGAGCAGGATCAGTTTACCCTTCCAGGGCGCATGGGATCACCCCCATTTGTTTGGGTTCGTGTTAATTTATCACTATCTGGGGCAGGATCAGTTAATTACCCTTCCAGGGCGCATGGGATCACCCAATTTGTTTGGGTTCGTGATAATTTATCACTATCTGGGGCAGGATCAGTTTACCCTTCCAGGGCGCATGGGATCACCCCCATTTGTTTGGGTTCGTGTTAATTTATCACTATCTGGGGCAGGATCAGTTTACCCTTCCAGGGCGCATAGGATCACCCCATTTGTTTGGTTTCGTGTTAATTTATCACTATCTGGAGCAGGATCAGTTTACCCTTCCAGGGCGCATGGGATCACCCCCATTTGTTTGGGTTCGTGTTAATTTATCACTATCTTGGGCAGGATCAGTTTACCCTTCCAGGGCGCATGGGATCACCCCCATTTGTTTGGGTTCGTGTTAATTTATCACTATCTGGGGCAGGATCAGTTTACCCTTCCAGGGCGCATAGGATCACCCCATTTGTTTGGGTTCGTGTTAATTTATCACTATCTGGGGCAGGATCAGTTTACCCTTCCAGGGCGCATAGGATCACCCCCATTTGTTTGGGTTCGTGTTAATTTACTACTATCTAGAGAAGGATCAGTTTACTCTTCCAGGGCGCATGGGATCACCCCATTTGTTTGGGTTCGTGTTAATTTATCACTATCTGGGACAGGATCAGTTTACTCTTCCAGGGCGCATAGGATCACCCCATTTGTTTGGGTTCGTGTTAATTTACTACTATCTAGAGAAGAATCAGTTTACTCTTCCAGGGCGCATGGGATCACCCCCATTTGTTTGGGTTCGTGTTAATTTACTACTATCTAGAGAAGGATCAGTTTACTCTTCCAGGGCGCATAGGATCACCCCATTTGTTTGGGTTCGTGTTAATTTATCACTATCTGGGACAGGATCAGCTAACTCCTCCAGGGCGCATGGGATCACCCCCATTTGTTTGGGTTCGTGTTAATTTATCACTATCTGGGGCAAGATCAGTTTACCCTTCCAGGGCGCATGGGGTCACCCCATTTGTTTGGGTTCGTGTTAATTTATCACTATCTGGAGCAGGATCAGTTTACCCTTCCAGGGCGCATAGGATCACCCCCATTTGTTTGGGTTCGTGTTAATTTATCACTATCTGGGACAGGATCAGTTTACTCTTCCAGGGCGCATGGGATCACCCCATTTGTTTGGGTTCGTGTTAATTTATCACTATCTGGGACAGGATCAGTTTACTCTTCCAGGGCGCATGCGATCACCCCATTTGTTTGGGTTCGTGTTAATTTATCACTATCTGGGGGAGGATCAGTTTACCCTTCTAGGGCGCATAGGGTCACCCCATTTGTTTGGGTTCGTGTTAATTTATCACTATCTGGGGCAGGATCAGTTTACCCTTCCAGGGCGCATAGGATCACCCCATTTGTTTGGGTTCGTGTTAATTTATCACTATCTGGGACAGGATCAGTTTACCCTTCCAGGGCGCATGGGATCACCCCATTTGTTTGGGTTCGTGTTAATTTATCACTATCTGGAGCAGGATCAGTTTACCCTTCCAGAGCGCATAGGATCACCCCCATTTGTTTGGGTTCGTGTTAATTTATCACTATTTGGAGCAGGATTGGTTTACCCTTCCAGGGCGCATAGGATCACCCCATTTGTTTGGGTTCGTATTAATTTATCACTATCTGGGACAGGATCAGTTTACCCTTCCAGGGCGCATAGGATCACTCCCATTTGTTTGGGTTCGTGTTAATTTACCACTATCTGAATCAGGATCAGCTAACTCTTCCAGGGCGCATGGGATCACCCCATTTGTTTGGGTTCGTGTTAATTTATCACTATCTGGGACAGGATCAGTTTACCCTTCCAGGGCGCATGGGATCACCCAATTTGTTTTGGTTCGTGTAAATTTATCACTATCTGGGGCAAGATCAGTTAATTACCCTTCCAGGGCGCATGGGATCACCCAATTTGTTTGGGTTCGTGATAATTTATCACCATCTGGGGCAGGATCAGTTTACCCTTCCAGGGCGCATGGGATCACCCCCATTTGTTTGGGTTCGTGTTAATTTATCACTATCTGGGGCAGGATCAGTTTACCCTTCCAGGGCGCATAGGATCACCCCATTTGTTTGGTTTCGTGTTAATTTATCACTATCTGGGGCAGGATCAGTTTACCCTTCCAGGGCGCATGGGATCACCCCCATTTGTTTGGGTTCGTGTTAATTTATCACTATCTGGGGCAGGATCAGTTTACCCTTCCAGGGCGCATGGGATCACCCCCATTTGTTTGGGTTCGTGTTAATTTATCACTATCTGGGGCAGGATCAGTTTACCCTTCCAGGGCGCATAGGATC